AGCTTAGTAATAAATATATAATACTATAAGATAAAGCTAGTTTATATACTTAGTTTATAGATATTAAAGCTCTAAAAATAATTAATTTAGGTATTAATAAGTATAAAAAAGTCTTTTAAATATCTATAGTATAAAGTATTACTTTTAATCTAAGTACTATTACTTATAAATAGATTAAAGAGCTTCTATCTAACTTAGATATAGGTTTTCTAGAGAATTTTAATAAAAATAGTTATATTACTATAAATAATTTATTCTCTTACTAGAATACTAAAGATAGAGGTCTTAAAAAGATTACTCTTAATAAAACTAGAGTATATAACTTTTATATACCTCTTAAGAGAGGATCTATAGATAGTTAGCTTAGAAATATATAGTTCTTTATAATATAATAAGCTCTCTAATTTAATCTTTATACCTATCTTATTATAATTATATTATATAATAATAAAGAGTAGAGACTCACCTCTTATCCTATACTAGTAAGATTTATAATAGAATAAATAGAGCTAAATTATTTAGAAATATATAGGTATCCTAATAAGTAGTATTACTATAGGATACTAATATATTTAATATATATAATATACTTAGTAGTAATAACCTAGTATAATTAGAGTTAGTCCCTTAGTTAAGGCTTTATATTAGACTTTATAGCTATAAGAAAGTAGTGGGATAAAGATATTAATAATAGAGTTATTAAATAGGCTTTACTAAATTCTAGCCCTCCTATAGAGATAATTAATAGTATAAAAGTTATTCTAGATAATTTTAAAAGTATTAGATAATACCCTCTATAGCTTATTACTAAAATAGTAATAATACTAGAGATCTATATTAAGAAATTAGAACTTATACTARACTTTYCTATTATTTTTATAGTARTAAATAAAAGCTAGAGGGATCTAGAGGTCCTAAGAATAGAGATTATTATAAAGTTATAAAAGTATTTAAAAAATTTAATATTATCTAATATCTAGCTAGATAGATTAATACTATAATTTTAATTTATTAGTTCTTAGGGACCTTCTATTTTTCTTATACCTTAAATATATATTAGAGTAGTACTTATTAGTTAACTTAGATAAGATAATCTAGAGGTTATAAATAAATTAAATATCTTATTTTATAAGCCTATTAATATTATATAAGAATTTCTACAGAAGGCTATAAATAATATTATTATTTTAGTAGAAGAAATAATAAAGAGATTTAAATTTATTAAGTAAGAGATTTATAGCTCTAACTCTACTTTTACTTATCTTAAAGAAGGAGTAATAAAGTAGAAATATAATAAAGAGATTTAATAAAGAAATATATCTTTAATAGCTACCCTAAGTAGGGTAAGGAGATTATTAATATAAATATTTATAATTATATCTAAGACTTTAGTAAATAAACTTATATCTATCTTAGATAAAAGAAATAATAATATTCCTCTACTAAACCTTACTAAGGGTGCTAGTAATATAGATCTTAATAATAATAAGGAAGATAAAGATAATACTACTAGTATAGCTAATAATAATAGAAAGGGGCCTAATAAAGGTAATAGTAATAATAGAAAAGGAGATAATAATAGGGATAATAATAGAAAAGAAGATAATAATAGAGATAATAAAGATAATACTAAGTCTTATAATAAAGATAAAACTCCTTAATTTAGGAGATCTATTAAGGGTGATAGGGTAGTAAGGGGGGGAGATAATATAATAGAGAAATATAGTATTAGTTCTAGCTAATTACTTATGTTTATTTCAGGGCTTAACCCTTGAGGTAGATAACTAGGATAATAATAATATTATTACTAAAAGAAGAGGGATCTTCTTCCTACTATATTATTTTTTAGAGAAAGATTATAACTACTATTTAGAAAGGAATAAATTACTTTCTATTATAATATCTCTTCTATCTAGTTAAACTTATATCTAACCTGGACATGACCTAGTTCATAACTCCTAATTATGATGAAGCTTGACCTACTCTTCAGAGTGCTATGCAATATCCCTCATATAATAGGTAGGGATCTAGTATATCTTTATAGTTCCTAGAGCTAACCTATACACCCTTAAGGCCTCTACACCCTTATATATCACTATTAGGATATATTAGCTAGAGGGGTAGTGTAGGTTCTATACTACCTTAATAGTAGCCTAGCTATTAGTAAAGATAATAAGTAAGCAGGGGCTTAGCTCTCTAGTAGTAGTAGTATATAATGCTATATAGATTCTATCTAGCTTAATAGTATATATAGTTAAGTCTACCTCCATGCCTAGGTAGTTCTAGTAGATCTATTAGTTATAAGAGTAGATAGTTAAGACACCTATATAGCCTTAGTAGCTACTACTATTAGTATAGATAACTAGTTAATTATTACCCTTATATATTTTATTATAGGTCTTTAGTACAGCTTTATAATCTTTAATTATATAATAGAGGGGGGGCTCCTAGGGGGGAGTATATATACTTTCTATATTTCCTATTCTTTTAGATATTTTAAGGTAGGGGCTAGTAGGCCACCCCTCTTTCTAAGTACTTCTAGTAGAGTAAGACTACTCTACTATATCTCTCTAGTTAGTTATAGCTTCCCTATAAGCCCTTATAGATATATAAAGTATAGCCCTATCTAGATTTAAATAGTAGTTTCCTTAATAATTTACTATATCTACAGATAGATTAGTAATAGATATAGTTCTATATTAAGTATAGCTATAGTAGTCCCTTAGAAGGTACTACTAATTAGGATAGCTATATACTTCTAGATCTTAGTAAATTTATTAATAATTTTAGTCTATTCCCTAGCTAGGATTAGCCTGCTAGCTAGGATAAACTATACTATAGCTCTATATAGGAGCTATAGAATAACTATACTATAATAAATTATATATATAGCTTCTAGGAGGTACCCTAGATTAATCTAGTAATGCTTTAGAGTGCCTCCAGGCTATTATTTATATAGTTAATCACCTTAGTATAGTAGGTGCTGAAAGAGAGGGTCTTATCTAGCTAGATATTAAGATATCTAGCTAACTTAGTAGGTTAAATAGTTACTTCTCTATAGTAGATAGGCAGTTAATTATAACCTTTATAATTATCTAGTTCCTATATATTAATAAGGCCTATTAGAGTTAGCCTATAAGGGGTATTAGGTTCCTTTAGATTAGTAAAATAGATAAGTTTAAACTTATTAGGGGTAAATCTAGCAGCATACCTACTAGCCTAGTAGTCTGCCTTCTTAAGGCACTTTTCTAGGACCATAATATTCTAAGTATAGGTCTAGCTAATAGCAAGTATATAGGAGTCATCTATCTAGCTAATTAATATTATCTTTATATTACTAAGCTAGTAGACCAGCATTTAGATTAGTAGGGTATTAAAAATTAGGAAAAGGATAGGTAAGAGAGGGCTATCCTATAGGATCCCTGTAAGTATTATAAATAGCTTACTAAGGTATCCAGGTAGCTACAGGTGGGTATAATAGTCTAATAAGAAGGATTATAGCTAGCTAGTAATCCAGCCTAGCCATATAGTTTAGAGGTTATGTAGTAGATGTTAGAGAGAGATATTATTAAAGGTACTAGAGATATCTAGTAGTAGTATACTAACCTTCTAGCTATGCCCCTAGATATAGTAGATTATATTAATAATTAGTTAGATAGTATAATTAATAGAGACACTCTTCTAGCTATCTAGGTAGCCTTTTAGGAGCAGGCTATGCTCTTCTAGAGCCTAGGAGATATAGAGTATGATTATTAACTCTAGGACCTTGCCTAGGGTGCTAAGTAAGGTAATAGGGTAGTTAGACTTTAGGAGGTAGAAGTCTCAGGGGGCCCCCTTATAAAGGATAACTATAGTAGATATCTAGAAGTATTAGGGGTTGTAGCTAATATAGATATAGGTATTAAAGATAGTCTTAAGTACCTAGATAAAGGCTAGAACTATAGTTAGGGCATGCTAGATCTTATTAGGGATGGTATCTAGTCCAGGTGCTTTCTTAGGAGGTGCCTATCTAATGGCTTTAATAATTTCCTAGTTATTAATCTTTAGGAAGATAATATTATATGATTAGTTATATATCCTATCTTTAATATCTAAGAGGTCAGCAGCTAGGGGTGATAGGAAGAATATCTCTTAGAGTAGGTTAGCTTTCTACTCTGCTATCTCTATAATGTAGTTTCTATAGTGAAGGGTAGGAATAAGGCCTGCTTAGCCCCTAGTATAGTTATAGGCCTATTTAGTAATATACTATATGCCCTAGGGGCCCTGGTTAACTATCTACTAGATATATTTATAGTAGCCCTGCTATAGGGATTAGGAGATAACCTTTCCCTTATAGTTATAGGCCTTTATATATATAATCTAGTTATTAGCAGTGTGTATATTAGTGTAGGCTTATTAGTAGAGGTAGGTTAGTTTAACTATCTTAGTATATTTAGGCATCTAGTCTGGGTTAGCCTATTTAGATAGGCAGGCCCACAGCATGGAGTAGGTGATGGCTTGCTAGATAACTTTAATAAGGAGGTTAGTAGTATTTTTAATTTAGTTAGATATAGTAAGAGTGTAGGGGTGCTTACTAGACCACCTTTTTAAGTTAAGGTTAGTGGCTATAAATCCACAGAGCTTCTTAGTGTCTATAGCCTTCTAATTACAGCATCTAGGGGCCTGCGGTGGGGGCATTAAGATGTTAAGAAGTAGGTAAATTAGCAGGTGGTCAGAATTAGTATGGATGTTATGGGCCACCTCACAGGCCACTAGGCGGGCTGTCAGGTCCATGGATCTGAACATTAGGTCAATAGTTGATTGGTGGCCTTGCTTGTCCCTGGTAATGGCCTCCAGCTCTGTCCAGAGGTCTAGAAGCCAGGCATCAGTTAGCTCAAGTAGCCTGTCAGACCTGGGGTCGGTATGGCGGACGTGATCGCCGCCCCAGGCTGGGTGATGGAGGTCTGTCACAGATTCAACCTGTGATAGACAGGACGTGAACTCGTCCGGTCCAATACCGGCTACATGCAACTGCGTCAGAAGCATCAAGCGGAGCAAAGGTCTAAAGTTCCTCAATGGAATATACCCATCCGTCAATGTTGAGTTGGACGAAGGAAAATGTTCAGAGGGAGGATATTCAGGCCCTTTGGTCACAGAGGTCGGAAAGTGTGCATTGCGCCTGAAATTACCATACGTAATTAGATCTAGCGCTTTCTGAAGATGAAAGTCATCTTCCACATTGCGAGATGTATCAGTAGTAGTTGCTTGCACATCTGCCATGCTCTGAAACAATAGCGTGCGTTGTGCGGCATTGAGACGATCAGGGTAGATGAGCGACGCTTCGTCGGCATCCTGTTGAAGAAGCTTGCCTCCATCTAATCTCAGCAGAATAATAATTCCTGTGCCCAGAACATCCTGCGACATTATACGGTGTGGATCGTTGTGGTATGGAAACGATCCAAGTCGCAGGAGACAGCGATGTAGAATCGGGGCAGCTTCACCGACACACGCTACCAATTCTGGAGGAAAGGTGCTGATCATGAATTCCTGCAGGTCTGACACCGTCCAGACTATATAATGTTACTCCTACGAAGTGGACCAACTATGAACTGTACGTACATTTCTCCGATTCTGACTCGGTGCAGAAGATATCGAAAATGCTCTGCAACCATTCACTCCTCGCATTACTCAAAAAGTGCTTTGATAGGCACCATTTAAATCTCTCCTGGAGTTCGTCTGAATCCGTCAGTATTCACTGCCATATAGTTAGATGGAGATCACCCTACCGCGGGTTTGAACCGGCGGGAGGAACTCGACAGCAGATTCTTTGGTTGCAGTCTGGCCCATGGCTTCAATCTGACAGCATTTAGCAAACTGAAAAGAGTAGGAAGCTTTCTTTTTGGGATTTGATGAAAAGGAGATAGAACTCAATGAAGTGTGATATGGAGAGAAGAGAGGGGGAATGATGGTTGACGGCAAGGAGCAAGGATTGAGACCACCAGATCAGGTGACCGGACGATGATGAAGTGAGTGATGTTGGTCGAGTCTGCCTTGACTTGACATCTGCATCCACTCTCAAGAATGATTTTCGGCCGTCTTGGTGGGGAAAAGAACCAACTTGAGAAGATCCCTGATGCCGGGCAATTCTGGCCCCATCAACCAACAGAGGCCGTGTTTTCACGAAGCTGGAATATGTTACGACATCAACCCAGCATATGATATCAATTTAAGCCTCTTTCCTCGCCCCCGGTCCTGAGCATCATCCATCATCTCATTGTCCGATTCACAGCCTATCTTCGTAACTGCTATCCAAGATGCCTCTCAAACGAGGACAATATTCGTCTCGGCTGCTTCAATAAATGCAAAGGAGCCTTCAGTCCCAGCAGCACCGAATACCGGGTCTGTCGCGATCAGTGCACCGAGTTTGTCTTGCAGGATCACTGCTGTACCTCTTCCTGCAGCAGCAAATCTGACGTCTGTCTGAATGACTACTTCCATTGCGTGGGCCTGACCAAGCCGGACTCGATGGACGAGGAAGTCTATTATCGATCTCAGCTAGATGGGATTCGCTGAAATCCCGATCTACTCGACAAACGAGCGCTGCTAGCCGGTGATGCTCCATACCATCTGATTCGAAGCACGGAGGACTTACACTCATTCAATCATCCGGACTTCAATGAGACTATCGTGTAGGATATGAGCGAGCTGAGCGAGCATAAGGGCCCAGGGACTCTGGATCGTCGGATTGACGAGGGCCAAACCTGCTGCTGGGCCGCGTTGGCGGTGCTTCAAAAGGGACTCGTCGACGTTGGGACAGCATGGGCAAGTAATGACTGGACCGACGAGCAGCGCCAGCGACTGGTGCTCGTCGGCTCAGGGGTTGCAGGAGAATATGCTTGCGACTATGTTTACAATGTACAATGTCTCTTATTCAATGCCAGGCCTGCGCCGCAAGTTTGAAGGGAAGGCAGTTCAGGTGATCTGGGGATATTGTTGGTTTCATGGTGCAGTTTCATTTGACTGGTTATAAGTCCTTTGTCATTTTCTTTTGTAACTGTACTTGTGTCATGATCATCACTGTCGGCTTGTAACAAAGTAACATCTGGCCTTGCTAAGCTATATATTAATCCCCCGCCGCCGTACTTGGTCTTCATTACTTATCCTATTCTCCCCAAGTCTTAGGAAAGTTCAAGTGAGTTCTTACGCCAAGCTATCAACTCTCGAAGCATTTGAACTTCACCTCACCATGGAGCAAGAATCGTCGACACCACTCTATCTTCGACGGGCTCTAGCAATCACACTTGCGCTCACTGCACTCCGTCAACTCAAATCCTGCCGTGTATCCTATCTGTTTCCCTTTTGGAATCTGTCGGATTTTAACCCTAATAAGAGTCTTCGCTGGTCCGGACACCGCCCCTAGAATAGAACCGGCGGCCTGTCTGGGGATTCACCAAGACGGAGTCAACCATCCTGTCAAGTCAAACTTGTTTCATCCTGTGTTGTTCTGTTGGTCATTTATACCTACATCCGTTGGATTTACCCGCGATGATTTTTCCCAAGAGTGTGGTGTCGAATGTTGGATTAAATCGCAAGTTGTTCTGAGGTTGGCTATTCTTCATATAAATCATTGGCTGTAGTAGTACATGAATTCTCCACGACTCCATTAGCAGCTTAATTATTACGAAGCAGTATTACCTTAAAAGGCCCCTCTTATGCTTTAATTCCTGCGCGGAATACCCCAGGCAGCATAGTGTGACAATGCAAACCAACAGCGGGGTCAGTGTTTCGGCCAGGATTGAGAGTGGTTTTTGATCATGCTAGCATCGGATTCCAGAGAATGATTATGATAGTCAGGCTGATTTGTCATACTCTCTTCATTTATCAATGTACCATCCCGCCCTTTGTCTCGCACGATCTACTTCGACAATAAAATCTCATGTGAACGAAGGAAAGTCATGACATGGAGCCTGAACGCCAACCTCGCTTACCAACTGAGATCTTCCTACTTATTGCCAATTATCTGGACCCTCAAGACCTACTGCTTCTTCTACACGCTAGACCAGGTATCACATCTTTGCTAAACCATGCCCATCTAAAATCTGTGGATAGCGAAGGCAACACTCTGCTTCATCTAGTGGCAGAGCACAACATCAACAATGTCAATCAATCAATCAATCAATCAAGATTCTATTAACCTGTTAGAGCCTGTCTATAGAAGCGACTAGCTATGCAGGTGCTTTACTGAATGAAGCAGGAATCTAGTATCTAAACACCTATCCCATAACCCATAAATACAGACAAAGATATAAGAAATATTAAAAAGAATGTAGAAATCATAACTAAAGCAGCCTGCTACTTAACTATATATCTCCCCTGCACCATCTAGTATAATACCTATCCTACCTTATTCTATGTAGTCATTCTAAACATAGTGTAATTCCATGTCTAGGAAGACCCTCCCTAGGTAGCTATTTAGTCCATCTAACTATTATCTTCTATATCTATTCTGGAGCCTTATAGGAGGCTTCTATATTCCTAGTTCTACTTATCTACTGTTTCTACATAGTAGAACTAGCTAAGCAGGCCTATTTAATGCATGAATTTAGTAATATAGTAGATCACCTATAGGTTAGATATAAGTATATCATAGTCTGATAGTTTCCCCTAAAGTCCCTCTATATTATATAGCTTAGTAATCATCTTCCTATAGGCTTCTATATATAGTAAACACTATAGGAGAATATGCTTAGGGGTCTAGGACCCCTCTCTATAGCTGCACTAGTCTGTATCATAGGCCTTAATCTTAAAAAGGAAGTATTATAGACTAATCTATATAGTCTATATTTAGATAATAATTAATATATACAGCTTTAGTAGGCCCTTATAGAGTCCTAGATTCTTCTTATAAGGGGCCTTAATTAGCTACTATATTAGCTTAGCCCCTCTCTCTATCTCCCACTATTTCTTCTAGTACTACTAGATTTATTAGTAAATAGCCTATTTAGTAGCTGCAGCAAGCTAGATAATTAGATATTCTAGCTAATTAGTCTATCCTACTAAGCTTAATTAAACCTTACTATCTTATATAGCAGCCTCCTTTACTACCTTATCTATAGCCTTATTCCCCACCATACCTACATAGGTAGGGATCTAGTATATCTTAATATTTTCTAGAAGTAGCCTACATGTCCCTAGGGCCTGTATACTTCTATATATTATATTCAGGATGTACTAGCCAGAGGGGTAATATAGGTTCTAGACTACCTAGATAGCAGCCTAGCTATTAGTAAAGAGGGTGAGTAAATAGGGGCTAGTAAGAGGGTAGCTTAGTTTTATAGTAATATCTAGTACTATATAGATTCTCTCTAGCTTAGTAGTATATATAGTTAAGTCTACCTCTATGCCTAGATAGCTCTAGCAGATCTATTACTCTTAGAGATAGATAGCTAAGATACTAATATATCCCTAGTAGCTACTACTATTAGTATAGATAACTAGGTCTTAGTTATCTACCTTATTATATATCTTATTATAGGTCTTTAGTGCAGCTTTATAATCTTTAATTATATAATAGAGGGGGAGCTTCTAGGGGGGGAGTATATATACTTTCTATATTTCCTATTCTTCTAGGTATTTTAGGGTAAGGACTAGCAGGCTACCTCTCCTTCTAAGTACCTCTAGTAGGGTAAGGCTACTCTACTATATTTCTCTAGTTAGTTATAGCTTCTCTATAAGTCCTTAGGGGCAGGTAAACCTTAGCCCTATCTAGATTTAAATAGTAGTTTCCTTAATAATCTGTTGTATCTATAAGTAGATTAGTAATAGGTGTAGTTCTATATTAAGTATAGCTATAGTAGTCCCTTAGAAGGCACTACTAATTAGGATAGCTATATATTTCTAGATTTTAGTAAATTTATTAGTCATCTTAGTCTATTCCCCTACTAGGATCTATCTAGGATTAAACTATATAGCTACCCTATATAGGAGCTATAGGATAACTACTCTATAATAGATTATATATATAGCTTCTAGTGAGGCACCCTAGATTAATCTAGTAATACTTTAGAGTGCCTCTAGGCTGCTATTTATATAGTTAATTACCTTAGTATAGTGGGTATTAAAGGAAAGGGTTTTATTAAGCTAGATACTAAGGTATCTAGCTAATTTAGTAGGTTAGATAGTAGTTTCCCTATAATAGATAGATATTTAGTTATAGCCTTTATATTCACCTAGTTCCTAGATGTTGACAGGGCCTCTTAGGATTAGTTAATAGGGGGTATTAGGTTCCTTTAGATTAGTGAAATAGATTAGTTTAAATTTATTAGGGGTAAATCTAGCAGCATATCTACTAGCCTAGTAGTCTACCTTCTCTAGGTACTTCTCTAGGACTATGATATTCTGGGTATAGGTCTAGCTAATAGTAAGTATATAAGAGTTATCTATCTAGCTAATAGATATTATCTTTATGCTGCTGACCTGATTAAATAGCATTTAGATTAATAGGGTATTAAAGATTAAGAAGAGGATTAGTAAGAGGGGACTACCTTATAGGATCCTTATTAGAGTTATAAACTATTTACTTAGGAACCCTAGTAGCTGCAGACAGGTATAGTAGTTTAATAGAAAGGATTATAGCTAGTTAGTAATCCTACCTAGTTATATAGTTTAGATGTTATATAGTAGATACTAGAGGGAGATATTATTAAAGGCTCTAGAGATATCTAGTAGTAGTATACTAACTTTCTAGCTACATCCCTATATATAGTAGATTATATTAATAATTAATTAGATAGTATAGTTAATAGAGACACCTTTCCAGCTGCCTAAGTAGCCTATTAGGAGTAGACTATATTCCTCTAGAGCCTAGGATATATATAATATAATAATTAACTCTAGGACCTTGCCTAGGGTATTAAGCAGGGTGATAGGGTAGTAGGACTTTAGGAGATAGAAATCTTAGGGGGCTACCTTATAGAGAATAACTATAATAGACACCTAGAAGTATTAGGGATTATAGCTAATATAGATATAGGTATTAAATAAGGTTTTAAGTACTTAGATAAAGGCTAGAACTATAGTTAGGGTATGCTAGACCTTATTAGGAATAGTATCTAGCCTAGGTACTTTATTAGGAGGTGCCTATCTAATAGCTTTAGTAATCTTATACTTATTAATATCTAAGAAGGGAATATCCTATAATTAGTTATATTTCCTTCCTTTAATATCTAAGAGATTAGTAGCTAGGGATAATAGAAAGAAGGCCTTATAGAGTAGGTTAGCCTTCTACTCTACTATCTCTATAATATAGTTTCTATAGTGAAGGGTAGGGATAAGGCCTGCTTAGTCCTTAGTATAATTATAGGCCTATTTAGTAATATACTATATACTATAGAGGCCTTAATCTACTATCTGCTAGATATATCTATAGTAACCCTATTATAGGGATTAGGAGATAACCTTTCCTTTATAGTTATAGGCCTTTATGTATACAGTCTAGTTATTATTAGTATATGTTCTAGTATAGATCTGTTAGTAGAGGCAGGTTTATTTAACTATCTTAGTATATTTAGGTATCTAGTCAGGGTTAGCCTATTTAGAAGGGCATGCCCATAGTGTAGAATAAGTAATAGCTTACTAGATAGTTTTAAGAAGATAGTTAGTAGCATCCTTAATTTAATTAGGGGTTTTAAGGTCTCTGCACCACCTATAGAGGTTAATATTTATAGTAATAAATTTATAGAGCTTCTACATATCTATAGCCTTCTAGTTATAGCATTTCAGGGCCTGCGGCAGTAGTGTTAAGATATTAAGAAGTAGGTAAATTAGTAGGTGGTTAGAGTCTATATAGATATCTAGAGCCACCTTACAGGCTATAAAATAGGCTATTAAGTCTATAAAGCTAAATATTAGATTAATAGTTAATTAGTGGCCTTACTTATTATAGGTGATAGTACCTAGCTCTGTCTATAGATCCAGGAGCTAGGTATTAGTTAGTTCTAGGAGCCTATTAGATCTAGGGTTAGTATAGTGGACATGATCACCCCCCTAGGCTAGGTAATAGAGGTTAAAATCTTCTAGGAGTAGGTAGCTATCTTATTAATTTATAATTTACTCTAGGAGGTTAAGGGTATCTGTTTAGGTATTAGTATTAGGGTATAGATTATATATATTATATAGGTATAGTATTCCAGTATTATAATATAGCTTAAGCTCCTAGCAGTCCTGTAAGTAAGCTATATATTTCTATTTATTTAGGTCTATCTTATAAGAGATATAGAGGTAGACCTAAGTATAGCCACTAGTTTCTGCTTTCTTAGGGTAGAGTAGCTAGTGGGTTACCTTAGCAGGGTAGTAGGTGGTATTCTAGAATAGATTATCCTAGGGTTCTTATATAGTAATAATATCTGCCCTTAGGACCTCTAGGTTATATAAGAACTAAGCTATTACTATATTCTTAGAATAGTGCATATTATATTAAAGAATTTAGAATATTCTATTTATAGGGAGCATAGTGTAGAGTATTCTATATACTCTTTTAGTAGCTACTAGTAAACTAGGATGTCCTGGTTTCTACAGAGAAGTTAATCTAGAGGTCTTTCTCTAGTTATATAGGGGTGTCTAGCCCCTATTTCTACTTCTTCTTCTTCTTAGCCTGGGTACTAGAGTTAGTATTAGTATTCTTATCTTATAGGACTAAGCTAGATTACTAGTTACTCCCTAGGGGGTTAAGGAGTTTAGTATAGCTATTCTTATCTTTATTATTAGTAGTGGTATTATCCTAATATATATTAAGGTAGGTCCTATATATGGTAGTGATTTATTAATTCTATAGTAGCTTTAGGGGGTGGATGTTATCTTTATTAGTTAGGTCTAGTAGATTAATATTATTTAGGTAGTCTATAATTTAAGTAGAGTGGTAGGAGATAGTAGAGCTAGTTTAATTAGTTAAGGCCTTCCTTAGGGATAAGGATAGGGCTTTAGAGGGTGGCACTAAGGGGGTGAATAAGATATTATTAATATTCTAGTCTAATAGTAATATTAGGGATGATATTAAGATAGGTGCTTAGCCACAGGGTGGCTACTTATAAGATAGCTTTAATCTTACTTTCTTAGACCCCTTAGATAGTCTAGTAGCTATTTTTATTATAGTGGATCCCTTAGTGCCCTTAGGTCCCTCTATTTATATTAGGGAGCCCTCTACTAAGGTATCTATATCTACAGGGGTGGATATCAGGGTGGAGGTACTTAGTATAGTAGTAGAATCTAAGCTACTACTCTTAGAGTCCCTTTAGAAGTCTTATAGGTATAGTAGAATATAGTAATATTACTAGTAGTAATAGGATACTGTCTATATCTTATCTACCTCCTCTATATACTTCTTATATCCTTTAGACCAGGTAGCATGTGCATCCCTATAGTTAGTATACTTTTATAGCTCCTGGCTAGCAGTGGCCTGCTATAGTAGGTAGTTATAGGTCTTATAACTACCTACACAGAGGCTATAAATAGTTTTATTAGAATAGATATTTCCTATATAGCTATATTACTAATAGTTAAAACACTGGTGGATATAAGTAGACTAGTTATATAAGACTATAGTTAAAATAATAGAATTCTAGATAGTTCCCTTATTAATAGCTTTATTAGCAGCCTGGGGGGTAGAGAACTTAATTACTAGGATAGAAGATTTCTTATTAGTAGGTTAATTTATAAGCTAGGTAATATAGATAATTTTTACTAAGTTATCCTATATAAAGTAGTTTATAGTAAGTAGCTAGTTAGCTACTTACTTAGCTTCCCTAGGGTCTATTAGATTACTAGTTAATTTAACCTAGATATTATAAACCACTATACCCTATATTAGTAGGTGAATGATGGCTCCCTAGTAGAATAACTTAGCCTAGCTAGGGTGATAGTATATAATCTTAGCCTACTATATAATCTATAGGCTAAGGCTTAAGTTACCTAACTTAAGCTAGCAGGTAGCTATAAACTTAATAGATATAAGGATAGCTACTATAGCCTTCTTTAAGGCCTTTATATAGGCCTTCTTAGCCCTATTCTTTATCTCTATAGCTTTTAGATAATAGAACATGCTCACAGCACTAGTATTTAATAGTTTAATAATAACCTTATAGTCCTTACTTAGCTCTAAGGGGGTGGCCCTAGGGCTACTTAAGGAGCTATAGAAGAAAGTTATATAGCTAGGTAGGGGTGCCCTAGTAGCTATAGCAGCATAGGAGTAGACTTTAGAAGCCTAGGGGATAGTTAATTAAATAGTTAGAATATACTAGATAGTGGTGGTGTTCTTTTTAATATTAAGAGTAATCTTATAGAGGTTAGTAACTACCTTTCTCTAGTTATCTCCTAGGGGGTTTCTAAGCACCTCCTTAATGATAGTATATATGTTAGTAATAAGCTTAATAAGAGGCTTTAGGATTCCTTAATTATAAACCTTTAAATAGTTTAAATAGATGCTTATATTATAATAAAGGTCTAAGATGTAGTTATACAGAGTTTTCTATAGCTAGAGTTGCATTTGGTGTGAGTTTAGGCAAGTTCAAAACCAGTTAGCACTGAACTGCTGTGATTTCAAGTTCAAATTTTAGAACCCGCAGCCAACCCAGATCTGATCTGGGTTGGTGGCGGTTTCACTGTAAAAACCCGCTACTAGGCCTAGCTAGGCCTAGCTAGGCCCCTACTAACTAACCATGGTTAGATTTAGTTTAATTTTAAGTTGGTTAAACCGCTACCCCTTAGTGAATTTTGATAGTTTTTGAATTTCAATGCCTCATCAAATGCCATATTATCTATTATAATATCACTATGCTAATCAAAAATTATTATTTTTATATGAAATATATCATAATTATCATCATACTAATCTATATCTAAAATTTTAATTTAATATCTATAGGGCTGAATGGGGGGTGGTTAAAAAATCATTTTTAAACTATAGTGGTTGTTAACTATTAGTTATATATATATATATATCTACACCACTTTCATACCACCCCATGATGAAAATGATTATTCCTCTATATCTCAGCAACCACTAGGTATTTTAAATTAATATTTATATCACTAGATAGCCTGGATCAGGGGCTATCTAGTGATATCAAAATTATTAGTGAAATACTAGAAATTAGTGATTTCTATCTAAAATGGATTAGGCGGTTTCACCTAATCCGCAAAAACTGCAGAAATCGAAACTGATGGTTTTCACCGAACCCGAATCGGGCCCGGGGTAGGGAACTCGAACCTGAAGTGATTCCCTAGGCTAGGCCCTGAGCCCAACCCACTGCGGGTTTGGTGAGGGTTGGATTCGATTTTTGCGGTTCGGTTATGCAACTCTATCTATAGCCCCTTTTCACTACCTTAGGAAGCTGTTAGGGGCGGCCACTCAGGCTTTAATAATAACATAGTAATCAAAACCCTATAAGATTAGGATCATTCAATAGCTATCGATGTTACGAGAAACTGGGCAAAATTTGGGGTCAAAAGACATTGATTTGGGCGAGGAATTTCAAAAATTTGTTCTGCGTCGAAGTTGTTGTTTTTAACATCAACAATGTGATCAGCCGACTGAGCCCAACCACCGCAGCCCAGAGCATGGCCGAAAACAACGCCGGTCAGACACCGCTCCACATAGCGGTCAAAAAAGGTCACTATGGCATTGTTCAAGAACTGCTATCAATGGGATGCAATCCATCCCCAACGGACAAGCACTCCCGAACCCCCCTGCACTATGCTTGTCTGACCAAGCAAGACATAACCATGGTGCGGCTGCTCCTGGCTCATGGCGCTGATGCTTCAGAAAAAGACAAAGAGGACCGCACCCCAATGCACATATGTTGCACCCACGGGCAGGCTGCACTGCTCAAGGCTCTCATCAATGCCGGCGCCCACATCAATGCAGGGGGAAAAGCGCAAGGGCAGACACCGTTCCACAATGCAATACTGTGTCGACAGACAGAGTGCGCGAAGATTCTTTTGGAGGCAGGGGCCGATCCAAACGTGCTCTATGGGCCTGGAGAACACATTATAGGCTCCGCAGTATTCAGCGGGCAGACAGAACTCGTGCAACTGATGCTAGACAAGGGAGCTGATCTGAACAGGGCAGACCGCCTAGGAGTGACGCCCTTAATATATGCTGCTACTGCAGACAGAGAGCAAATCGCGCGGATCCTATTGCATGCTGGCGCCAAACCAAACATACGAGGGCCTCATGACGGTGTCGCCCTACACGGCGCGGCCAGGTCAGGCCTGCCATCGATTGCGAACTTGCTGCTCGACGCGGGTGCTGATCCTTCCATTACGGATAGGTCGGGTTTTTCTCCGTTAGATTATGCTACGAAGAAGGAAGCGACTCCTGGAGAGTGGGCTTCAACCCCGGGACATGAGTCGGTAGTCAAACTGCTGCAACAGGCACAGCGACAATCAGAAGCTGGGCTAGGCTGAAAAGAAGACAAATGCAATCACGCCTTAGGATGAGAGATGCTTCCTTTTCCGAGTCAACACGCTTCAAAGAACTTCCATATGAACTAACTCTTGGCCTACTATGTCGTATAGCTAGAGTGCTAGACGTGTTGCCCCGTGTCACCTGCCTATTGAAACGTGAAAGACTGAGAGTAAATCAAGTACACAGGCCGAATAGTCGAGGTGAGAGGCAACTCTCTCCCTACGTTTAGTTTCGACTGGCATTGATGTGCAGAGAGAGCGAGGGATGGTATCAGAGGGGCCCTCCCTAGGTGGCTTGATAGTCAGAGTTATGTTACCAACAGAGCAAGCTGGCATGTACCATCAGTTCTACAAATCTTTCCCACGACCGTAGAAAGCTCAGTCTGGGTCCATCCTGATACTCCTTCACATCTGTGAGGCTTGGAATAGCAACTCAGGATATTAATCATAGTGTCCATGTGGACATATCATCGCAATTATGACTCCTAACCCACGCCAGGTTCCATGAAATGTACTCGGTATTTTGCCAAACATCCTTGTCAGTGCTTTCCCTCCATTCTTCCCAATCCACAATGTAACTGTTAGCGCAAGGGCTGCCTGTCAGCAAACTGAGTGAAACAAACATACAAGCCCAATATCATAGCAAAACAAGAATGAAGCGTTTATTTGCCATTTCTGCTTTTCATGATCCCAGACAAGATTTCGAATACCACAGTCTTCGTGGACTCTGCCATAGGACACGCATTCTCTTCCACGGTAGTCAGCTAAAGTATCCCATATTTCTCTTCTACTCAAGACTGACATCATCGCATCAATGGAAGTCGAACAACTTACATCCATGCTTTCTTGAACGATTCCCGAAGTAGATCACGTTCTGCTCTACTCATGCGGCCGGACCAATACCCAGGGGTTTCCCCGGGAAGTTTCTCCATCAGGATATAGTCTATATAGCCTCCTGGTACCCAGTCATCATCGCCTTGGGTTTCGTGTTTCCATGCGAACAATTTCGGCGTTGATGAACAACCTGCTTTGGTGAGGTAATCAAGGGCACTGACCTCTCGTCGTGAAGCTTCCCTCACGTCCGGATCTGCCTGTCGCGCCCTCGCTTGGCGAGACTTGAAGGCCGTATTGAAATACGGTATCCTTAATGAACTTGCTTAGAAGATGAGAGCCATTAACCATGAGACGGGGAACATACTGCATCCGAATCTTAACGACATTTTCTTGAGCAGGGACATCAATGTTCGAACACACAAAGATGCCGCGGGCTTCGGAGGGCATCATGCACTCCTTCACATCGCTTTCGGTGGCGAGGTCTTCATTCTCTGCCAGTTTGCGATCGATTCTCCATCTTGACGGCTGAGCATCCGTAAACGTGAGATAGGACCCGATCCACCTATCCTCATCAAACCAAGTTATTCCTGACCGAGTGCTATCCATCACCGTCGACATAAAGTGGATGTCATAAAGAGAAGGCGAAATTCGTATGTTAGTCTCATGGAAGGATGATTAGCAAGTTCCTCCGTCCTCATATGCTCGACGGGGTCAGTTTTGAGTTGAAGACCTCAAATCCCTTGTCCGCGAACTTCATAACTTCACAAGCGCTGCTGCGCACGGACCCTCTGTCCCTCTGCGCAGTCAGGTTTCACCAAGGTTCCTGGCATTGCTGTCATGGACAGCAAGCAAGGCCCGGTTGCTTCTGGTAGGCGAAGCAAAGACGCCCTGGATGCACGAACCATTGAGACTTCCTTTTGACAGCACCTGTACAAGTCCTGGAGAGGCACCCGATGTTTCGCCAGACAAATTCGCCCTTCACCCGCTTCTGCTCTGTGATGAATACTTTCGGGAGCAACCAAGCATGGACATGAATAATGATGAGATATCCCTTGGTCATTTGACTTCACATGGATTCTCTTGGATTCAATCCTAATGCTGTCCTCTTAGCCACTGCGACAGTGAAATTTGAAACACTTCATGAATAATCCAATACAGAACATCCTTCCTCGTGCATGATATCTTGTACCCAACAGAAAGCTTAACCAAATATTCCACATAACCAAACATGCTATTATCTCCTTTCTTACGCCTCACTTTTACATATTCATGCTAAGTATTGGGCTAATGTAGAGCTAGATAGCGAATTTCCTTCGTTCTCCATGTCAGGAAGTTCGTCCAGCGCAATATTCCAGGCCTCTTCCCAATCATCTCACGAGATGGATCATAGAAAAACCGCTGCAATATTCTGCCTATGTCGTTCCAGTTACTCGCCAAGTATCTTTGCAGAATCGACCTCCTCAGCAGTTGCCGCTGCTTCTGTCTGGAGATGTTCTGCCTGTCCTGTGGTGTCGCAACGACAGTACACATCCATATTACACACTCAATAAGCAGGGGGTCGTTCTACACCTCTGCAATGGCTGCTGATACCTCAGCACCTCGCTGAGGCTTCCGAAAAATCAACGCTGCCGGATGAGTCCCCATAGCGCTGAGGTCGTCGGCGAGACATGCCAGGGTGACACATATGCACTTCTCAAGGTTATTTAAGTCGCAGGACATAGAGCAGCGCCACGTTTGTCGGACTGTAGACTCGCTTTCTTGACTTCTGGTAAGCCAGTGCGAAAAATCCCTGACAATTCCAATCGCCTCTTCTGACAGATAGCGGTGACGGGCCAGATCGCGAAAGCCCGGCAGATCCTGAGCTGCATCCCCCGACACCGGCAGAGGATAACCCAGCTCCCAGTTTGCAAGCAAAGTTGGGCCATTTATGATTGCTGTTTGGACGTGAAACTCGACCATACTCTGGATTACAAGCAGACTCATGCGAAGGCTCCTTCCAAATGAATTCTCGTCGGAGCTTCCGACAGCGTCGAACCCTCCATGGAGCTTGACCACCTCTCGCACACCGTTCAGATGGACAGGACCAAACTCATAATGCCCGAGATAGTCATCCACCCAGATCAGCAGAGCCATCCCTTGTAATAAGACGTCGTCCACCTTGCTGCCTGGACAGGCGGCTGTGTAGATCCAGCAGGACCTTGTTCCGATGGTACATGATGACACGACTGGTGTTGCTGGTAACATCCTGACATTCCAGACTACACAGGGTAAATGCTGACAATCCATGCAGGATCAGATCGTGCTTTGAGGCCCACTAGAGGAGTCCGCGGCTGAATGATCTCGTGCCACTTCTCCCAGTCCAAGAGCGTTTGCGTCGTGAGGGAGAAGGATGTCGAAATCTAGACGATATCAATGCCGGTGCCTTCAAATCTGAACAGGATTGGGTAACTACTCACAATAGCTCAGAGCACGCGCAGTCAAAGGGCCTTTTGAGGAGAATCCCCCGAATGGGTAGAACTTGCCGGCCCCAACAGGTGTGGAAACAACCATCGCTTGTGTCCACGGCTTCCTTTGTGCCTTGCGATCATCTTCCCGAGACTCGTCCCTTTCGTCAATTATTGGCTCCTGTGAATCAGGACGATTCGGAATCTGGAGCCACTGCAGGGTCACCTGCCTCCCTCGGTGCTCAGGCTCTTCTCCCCTTTGCTTGCGCCGTCTGGTGCTCGCCTCCGTTGCCACGAACGCATTGATTGCTCGTCGCGTGTTGGTGTCTTTCTTCTTTGAAGGTCCGCGATAGGGGATGAACATGGTGAGTTGGACTTTGGGCCGTCACGGACTCACGGTCGCATTATCACAGTCAGAATACTATTCTTGGCAGGTGCACATGTGCAATAAACACAAGTCTCTATGGCTCATGCTTCGGTCTTTGCTTCATTATGATCAGCCTTTGCTTGATAATCTCAGCTGCACGTCTTCGGATCTGAGTCAATATACAACATCCTGGAACAAACACCGTGATTTCAAATGGTCAACTCTAAAATAAACAAAGTATTCAATGCTGGCATCATATTCTGTTAGTTCCACGTTCAAACAAGATCAGCAAAAGCATCAAGTCATTCAATTGATCAAATTTGTCAGCACCAGCGGAAGGTATCACAGTTATAGCCAACCCATGTCCACAGACATACATGCAACCACTCGAGAATATGGCTCGTATTCTAGTCTGCATCACCAGAGCACCGCATGCACAAATCGATATCAGCTTCAAGGTCTCCAGTCGATTGTGCAGCCAATTCCTGCAGATTCTTCGACCTTCTTTTCAACTGCATAGTTACCAATTCCGCCGTCACAGTTGAAGGACAAGATCTTAAAGGACGACATTCCGACTGGAGTATGTCCCATCCAGAACGCTCAACTATGTTGATTCTCCAGCTCCTCTCCGCTTTTGCCCAAATCATTATTTCACCCTTCCACAACACGCTGATGGAATCCCGGCCGTATCGAGTCCGATACAACTCCACCAGATCTGGTATCACCGACGTATCGGGTGGTCCAAAGAAGTCGTATTCGCCGTAGAGGTCACCATCAAAGTCGATATCCGGCTGGTCGTTACCAGAAATATAGAGCTTAAACCAAGTCCGGGGCGACATATCAAACCACCTAGAATTTGGGTACCCGGTCCCTTGCTCCGCCACGTATAGTTCGGGGCACAGCAGTCGGTCACCAAGCTCATTTGCGCAGCAGTTGATTGTGACTACGACATTGCGACAGTCTCCAAGGAGCTTGAATATCTTCTCAATCGTTGGACTGATGTACTCCACCCATCCACCCGTTGGCGAGAGATCTTCCCAGTCCAGAGGCTGGTATAGATCAAGATCACGTAGGTCGGTGACCCACCTTTCACCTGGCCGCCCATCTTCTAGTATCGGAGCCCACTCCAGACAGCAATAGCGTATTTCGATCCTCCCGAGATTTTTGCGATTGTGCGGACCGATCATCATAAGCCACTTGTATATCGTCTGCCAGTCTTTCTCCCCGAGCTCAATGGAGGCGTGAAATATACTGTGGGTGTAGAACACATTGGCAGCTTCCAGATAGACTTGCTTGTTGGTGAGAAATAGTTGCATAACGGGATATCGGTAACGAACTGCGGCGTGGAGACTCCTTGTCTTTGTGGTATTCTGCTTGTCTGATCTATGCTTCTCAGACTTTCGTAGCCGAAAATGTATAGGGCTACCAGGATATATCCAAAAAGGTCTTTGTAGATCTGGATACGCAACTCCGGCGGGAGATCCAGGAAGCTGATGGGATTATCGATCCCCATGATGAGACCTACTTGACTTTCAGGCCATATGGAGGACAAAGGTATATGAGGATTGTGTTGGATTGTTGTTACAACATTAGAAGAAAAGTTCAAGTGGTAGTAGAGTGTCGAGTTGAATCGTATTTATTACGACATCCTACCAGAGATTGCACATGGTCTCAACCAACGTCGGACGTGCGATTCTGGCTTAGTAGAGGAAGCTTACCAAGGACAAGATTTGATCTTGACGGATTCTGAAGCATGAATTATGGATTACACATTAGATCGAAGTTGCGCGAGGTTGTTGGATATCCGCATACAAGATGTCAGTCCTAAGACTATTAATCAACCTGTTCTATTACCGTCTGATGATTATAGGCAGGTTATAAGTGACATCCACATGGTGAATTAAATTTAGATAAGCCATGTAGTAAGTTGTGACCACATTCATCCTAGGCCTCAATCTTCCAGCCATCTCAAACGTACCTCCCGTACAAGCAAATGACTAAAATTCAGTCACCTAATTGGGATGACGTCAAGATATAGCGAATTCTGAACAGGCGAATGAACATCTGCATGATGCCTAGAGTCCAAAGCATTATGCACCAGAGCATCTGCTTAAGAACCCAGCCGAGGTTCTCTTTATGGCAGTACTATCCACTCCGATAGTGATAACGGCCTGACCCGTGGCAGCAACATGAACGACGTGCTACTGTTCGCTGTCTCGTTACAGGCATTACGCGCGCAAGGCTCTCGAGGCCAACAAGGCATTTGATTCCACTGGGGGCTTGAGGGTCTTATGGACACCTATGATTTCGGCGGAACAGAGAAATACGGCTACCACGGCATGTGCATCTACCGGCACGATGTCATCTGAACTATCTGCCATGGTCCGCGAAGCGAACATTCCCATCAACTACCACAAGAAATTCGTCCATATCCTCACAGAAACAGAGGAGGGCATCATTTTTAAATGCGCCGACAGCACCACCGAAACCGCAACCTGCCTTGTTAGCGCTGACGGCATCCACTCCCGCGTCCATAAATACCTCTATCTGGACCTGGAACCTATCTTCACTAACATCGACGCTGTGACGGCTGCTGTGCCAGCAAGCCAGCTCTAGATCCCAGCGGGTTATGGCCTCCCTGTAACAATCCTGAACAGGACGCACGGGGCATTCGTCACGCGCTGTAGTTGGCCGATGGCCGGAGGTGCTTATCGGGCGACAGAAGCGGGCGCAGCAGCTGAGTCAGGAGGGGTGGAATGAGCGCCTGAGTAATAAGGAGTGGTGTGTGGATTTCCTGCAGGAGGTGGCAGACTTAATTTCCAGAGATCATGCAGTGGGCTGTAGCGGATATCACAACCAACAAGATCAATCTGTGGCCATTTTATGTGGTTCCGAAACTTAGGACATGGAGCTCGGGGCATTCCCAGGTGGTGATATTGGGGGATGCAGCGCATGCGATTCCGCCTTCTGCGGGACAGGGAATTAACCAGGCGTTTGAGGATGTTTTTACGTATGCTTTGATTCTTGGACGGTCGGCTAAGGAGTCTCTGTCTCTTCAGCGGGCACTGAAGATTTGGCAGGAGGGACGCCAGGAGCGGGTGGATAAGGTGCTGGCGCTGAATGCGCAAATTGATAAACGGAGGATGCAGAGGAGCCGTTTGATTTGGAATGGCGTACAACCCGGATTTTGTGGAAATGGTGGACGGCTGGCTTTCAAGGATGGAGGAGTGATACTGAATCATTTTGCATAGATATAGCTACGTATTACATGTCAATTATTCCCACAGTACCTGAAAGGTTACTCAACAACCTCAAACCGGACATACCGGTCTACACCAAACGTATCCCTCCAATCATCCCACAACTTCTCCAGTGCCCTGATATACTCCTCCTGCAACTGATCAATATACTTCTGATCCGGATCCCACCGCTGCTGCGTAACAGCAATCGGCTTCCCAACAACAACATTCAACGGCCGCCGATACGGACAGAAGATATTGAATCGTCCGGTAGAAAACGCGACCTTGTGCCCAACAGCCCATTCCCAGACCCGAGCCACAAGCCCCAGCACAGACGAAGAGGACACATCCACACAATCGAATAGCTCATTCTCCCCAAACGCGATGACAGGGACGATATCCGCCCCCGTCTCAACCGCCACCCGCACAAACCCTTTGCGGATGCGGACAACCACGCCCATTGTCCCCGGCTTGGCGATGTTATACTCGCGGCTTCCGCCCACGGTGATGGTAATCGCTCGACCCATACCTTGCCTATCGTGCCCGCCTCGCGTCAGGTGTCGGATACACGACGAGCGGGACACGCCGCTCACGCCGGTGGAGAGGAGGTACTCTCTGTAAAGGGGTTGGTAGAACGACTCGTCTTTCATCAGGAGGGTGTTCGTGATGCCCGGGAAGAGATCAGCGAATCCGGCGGCGTCGGCGGCCAGGGCGCCGACTGCGCCTCGGATGGCGATGCCGTGGGGATGGTAGCCGAAGATGTACTTTTTGCGGGTGGAGAGGGGTGCGGAGCGATACAGCCGGAGGGGGAAGTATGAGGCGTAGGCCTTCCAGATCCATGATGTGCGGAAACGGTCGTTGCGGAGAGATAGTGTGCCGGTTTTGTGTGCTTTGGCGAGGTATTTGATGTAGAGGATGTAGAACAGTACGAAGAGACGCAGTCGAGGGACCAGAAGAAGGGAGTATCCGAGTAGTGGGAGGAGAAACCAGGCGTTGCAAATCGTAGTCACAACGAGGGTTTCCTTGATGTCTCTAAGAACTGGTACTCGGGCAGATTTGCTCTTGGTTTCAGGGGGTTGGGTGGTTTGTAGCACCATTCCAGCGCGATTCTTGACCTCGTAAAGAGAACACTGGGTGTCTTCAACCTTCACCTCGGGTATGTGCATTGCCATTCTGTCTGGGTTGAGCGCGAGCTCGACAATCTTCTCGGCAGCCGCTACACGGCCTTCTTTCTTGTGACAGAGCTTGGCCAGCTCGAAGGCCTTGGTTTTGTACGCTGCATTGCCCATGACCTTGAGCAAGGCCTTGCTTAATTCTTTGGCATCGATATTAGGCGCACGACTCTTGTTGCCATATACACCGATCCCGAGCCATTCCGCACGGGCTGCATTCTCGTAACAGTCTTGCCACGCAGGCAGTACCACGTGGGGCACACCGTTTCTATACCGTTAGTCTGGCCCAGTGTGGCAGGAGAGAAACTTACTGAATTGCTTCATACCACGAGTTCGCACCACCATGGTGAACAGAGCAGATGATCTGGCCCGTTTGCAGCATGGCCATGGGCTCAACCTCGAACCAGGGTCGGATGCGCGCGCTGTCCGCCTCGACCTCGGCCTGGAGCGGCTTGATCGATTGAGCGTAGACATCATCCTCGTCATGCGGATGTTTAGGCAGCTTCCACAGAATCTGGACCTTCTCTCCCTTCCAGGAGGTGAGGAACATCTTCAGTCCTCGGGCGATATTCTCCGCTACGTTTGGGTCTGGCGCGTACAGTGTTCCCAGATTAACCAGGACAGTCGGCGCCTTGCGCAGCCACCTTGCGAGTTCTGGGTCCTGTTTCTCAACAGACGCAGTGGGAAGAAGGATTGGTCCGCAAGGCAGGATGTTATCTGGCACGTCCATGGGCCAGTCCAGCTCTTTCAGCGCCGGCGACAGATGGAAGCGGTCCGGCCGCCAGGCATCTGCAAAAGGGAACCGACCATGGATCTTGTGCCGGATGCGCCATTCGCGGATTTCACGACGGCGACCGCTGCCATGGTACATTTTGGCCGTTTTGAGCACGGCCAGTGCATTGAGGGGGATGAGGTGCGGAGGAAGGGGGTAGGGGAATCCCGTTCCGGGTCTGTCGCGGTTAGTACAAATCTTACTGCTGGGCAACCGACTTACAAAGGATACTTCCACAGAGCAGCGGAATGAGGCTGCAGGCCGAGGACGATATGAGTGAGAGATGTGGTGTTGATCAATATGGCAGTGTAGCCAGCGTTATAGGCGGCATCGCGGCCCTGCAGGAAGAAAAAGTCGGCTGCAATCACTGAAGGCTGCACCGACTTGATGATTTCCATACAGCACTGGTAGATGTCGACATATTCGTCTTCTGTCCAGCCCCAGATATCTTCGCAGAGGGACTGGAAGCCAAGCACAGCGCCGCTGTATCCTGGAGGATGGAACGCTCCTCGCTTGCCCGTGCGAATGAAAACATCTGTATTGGAGGGGCCGCGTATGGGGTGGAAATGAATGCGCGATCGAAACGAGTCATTGTATGAAGGGGCATTATCGTTCAAGAGTTTGTTCACCCGTCGTTCCAACGCAGGGAATGAAGCAACGTGGACGTCCACGTCTCCTCTGACCAGAAGCTCATGGGTAATGGCCAGGATGATGTTCGTCTGGCCATGTTCGCTGTTAGCGAGGAATAATACCCGGGTAGGAGTAGCCATAGAAGTGAGTTGAGGCAAAGATGTTAGGGATGGAGACAAGGTGGTACGTAGTGGGACAGGTTTTTATATGCCAATCAATGGACTGAATCAACCCGTGTGATTCAGGTAAGTGGCCGCAATATGTAACACCAGTGTTCAGGAGAACCTCCTGACCGATTTGATCAGTAATGTCGTGATCAAACTCGGGATCTGATTTTCTCGACTCTGTATCCAGGGTTCGTTTCATGTGTCCGTCGCCGGCGGATCCACCACTGCCAGACGAAGGGCAGATCGGCATCGAGTCTTCACATCGACCACCACACCATAGGGAAGAGATAGATCAAGGGAGTCCGGACGAACGCCGAGCAGTATCACATTATGAGCAATTTCCACCCGAAACAGGTGAGCAAGTCCTCGGAGTTCTACCCAAATCTAGCCCTGGCTGATCTGATGCCGAGGAATGAGATTTTAGAAAGGATAAATAGTAGAGGATGTTCTGTAGGCTCGATAGCATCATCATCCTCAACACTCGTTCACTACATTCTCAATATGGTCCTCGTTGCGATGTCGCTGCCCTCGGGGCCTTTTCCTGAAATCTCCTACCCGGTTGTCCCCTTTCCCGTTCTTGCTGTCATTCTAGTGCCATGCCTTGTACTACTGGCGATACGTCTGGTGCCAAAGGGACCGGTCATCAAAGGAGTACCTGGATCGTTTGTTGACCTATATCTCTACGGTGTAAGTCCCTATCCTGCCAACTAGAGTCCCATCTCACATGCGCAGATTGGCACCAAGCTTGCCTTTATCTCCGGCCGAAGTGCACAGCACTTCCACTCCCTTCATCAATCTTATGGTAAGGAATTGCATCCCTCGTTGGTGATTGCTCGTTGCAAATAGCTAACAAACCAGGCAACATCGTCCGATTCGCCCCCGGTCAAGCCACCACCAACACTGTCAAAGCCCTGCGTCAGATCTACGGCACCGGGACTGGCAAAGGCGCTGCATTTCTGAAAACTGGCTTCTACAAGAATATCTCCCGTCGTAACATTTTTACGGCGGCAGATCCCGTCTACCATGCCTCGGTGCGCAAGCTGTTCGGTCCCTCGTTCACCCCTGGCTCTATGCATGTCCACGCAGGGGTCATCCGCGAATGCATCCTGCGCTTGCACGAGGTGATCCGAGGCAAAATCGAGACAAAGGATACCCTCTCCCTGAACGAGCTCCTCTACTGCCACTCGGTAGATACCGTCTCCGAGGTCCTGCTGGGCAAGCCACTAGGCTGCCTGAAACGCGGCAAGCCCTACTTCTGGACCGAGCAACTGCCGCGTATCTTCTACTGGGCAACAATCCGGGACCAGTTCGAGGGCTCCGGCGTGCCAACGGCGATCAAGTGGCTGCTGCGTCGGTTGCTGCGCAAGGGGATCCGTCTTCGCAGCGAGCAAGCCCGCATGCGACTCATCAACGAGTACGTCTCTATTTCTGGGCATCTGACATGAGACAGGCTAACGTATCAGACAACTGCGCGCATCACACACCCGCCGCGATATCATGGTCGAGGTCATGGAGCGATCAGGGGGCAGCGATCTCCCCGAGGCTGAGATTGCCGAGAATTTCTCGGCGATCATGCTGGCGGGCTTCCACACGACGCAGAACGCCCTCTGCGCGGTCATCTATTTGGTGCTGACCCACCCCGAGGCGCATGTGAAGCTGGTCCAGGAATTACAGGCGGCGTTTGCGTCGGCCGAAGATATCTCGGGGGATGTCGCGGCGCAGCTGCCCTATCTCAATGCTGTGATTACGGAGGCGTTGCGCTTGTATCCGCCTGTGCCGTTGGGGGGTCCGCGTGTTTCACCTGGGGCGTACGTAGATGGGGTGTATATCCCTGCGGGGGTGAGTACAGCCGACAGGTTCTCTGCATTTGAGACAGTACGCTAATGATTATAGACTGAGATATGTACGTCGTTGTTTGCTCTGCATCACAATCCAGAGTACTTCAGCTGCCCCTACGAATTCATCCCTGAGCGATGGACGGAGCCTGGATCGACGGACAGGAAAGAGGCGGTCCAGCCATTCCTAGTGGGAAGTCGGGCCTGTATCGCCAAGTACTTTGCCAAACAGATGCTCCAGTTGACTCTGGCCGGTTTCTTCTTAGAGTTCGAGGCCGAGTACGTGGGCAAGGTCAAGGATTGGCAGCGGCAGTCTCGGTGTTATGCCTTTTGGGAAGTGCCGGACCTCAAGGTGAAACTGAGCAAGAGGTTGCTTGACGGGTAAATCGTGCTATTTTCGCTTTTGTTTTGATTATTGTGACGTATCTCATACCCATAGTTCCTCATGATTAGTCGTTTGACCTTGCGAGTGGATCGAGTCAGTCGTATGCACGGATTGTGCCAGTATCGGTCTAACGGTGATGATCCCCGTTTCGCACAAACCTTAAGAGCAGCCTTATTGATATGTAGTCTGGATTGCTCGACTTTAGGCTGTTAATTGAGTTTCGCGTTGGCCCAAATTTGAGACTGTTTCATGATAAGCGGCTATAAACACCGGATGTTTGAACCGTGGGACGTGGACACTTGAGAATTGACGTTTCATATTGCATTTGCACCTATTATTTCATCTATCGCAAACACGCATGCATCAGCTTACTCATTTTTGATATCTCGGGCCCGAGTGGTTTTCAATGATGAGATCGATGTTGGATGAAGAAAAGCTCGTCTAGTATCAAGCCAAGTGAGACGCTAGCTGCTTCAACTGTCGATCCCAGTGACAAGCAACCATTTGACTTTATGATGTGACTGAGCGCTGTCTCATAGTCAGCCACTGATCGTCACGGCAATGATAATATCGCAACCACCGAGGCTACGGTACTTGGGGTTCGGCAGTTGAAGCCGAGGCCATTGCCAGTTCGTCTGTCGTCTGATGTTTGAAACTCGTCCAGATCCCTGCTGGTGAAACGTTCCACCATGATGTTTTGAGTAACGAGTGCGAGAGAGTATCACAGGGTCTCAGACATGCCCCGTCTCCTGTCGACAGCCCGCATTCCTTCATACCAGTCATGTCGTAGCTAAGATGTCCAGTTCACAGCGAAGAGAACATACATGATGAAGTCAAAGGAGGACATAGAGCTAGAAGACCTGCCAAAAGTAAGCACACTGCACACTTCAGTAGCTGCAACTGACGAAGTAGTCTCCCGGCGGGAGTTCAGCAACTCTCTGCCTGTCTGAAGCGGAGAAGGCCGTCCTGCACAGACAGATACATGCACCAGAGTCGCATGTAGGCTTCTTTGGCATATACCGATATGCCTCGCGATCGGACATTGTCATCCTCGTCGTCAGCTCGGCCTGCGCCATCATAGGCGGTGCCGCACTGCCTCTGTTTACTGCAAGTACCATCATCCATTACCTACGTGCGAAACTGACGAGATAGGTCCTCTTCGGCAACTTGACCTCAACCTTTCAAGACATCGTCAGCGGACAAATCACTTACGCGCACTTCCACCATGAGCTCACCAAGTACGTCGTCTACTTTGTTTACCTCGCCATCGGGGAGTTCACAACCATCTGCCTGGCCACTGTCGGTTTCATCTACACCGGCGACCATATCGTGCAGCAGATCCGCGTCGAGTACCTGCGCGCCATCCTACGACAGAACGTCGCCTTCTTCGATACGCTTGGCGCGGGAGAAATCACGACCAGAATCACCGCCGACACGAACCTCATTCAAGACGGAATCTCCGAAAAGGTCGGTCTAGCGCTGACTGGACTGTCGACATTCGTCACGGCGTTCATCATCGCATACATCAAGAGCTGGAAGCTGGCGCTTATCTGCAGTGCCACGCTGGTCACGTTGCTGCTCATCATGGGCGGCTGCTCCACAGCCATGCTCGGCTTCAACAAGCGTGCGTTGGCTTCCCAAGGTCAAGGAGCCAGTCTAGCAGAGGATATCCTCGATTCCATTCGAACGGTGGTCGCATTCGACGCGCAGGAGACACTAGCAGCTAAATACGAGAAGCATCTAAAGGACGCAGAGAGACTGGGGATGAGAGCGCAGATGATCTTCGCGCTGATGGTTGGAGCCTTGCTATGTGTCATGTACCTCAACTACGGGCTGGGGTTCTGGATGGGAGCGCGGTTCCTGGTCGAAGCCGGTAGCCACGTCAAGGCCGGAGACGTTCTGACTATCCTTATGGCGATTATTCTCGGATCGTACAATCTAAGCAATATTGCGCCCAACACGCAGGCACTCTCCACCGCAGTGGCGGCCGCAACCAAGCTGTATAGCACGATCGATCGGCAGTCTCCTTTAGATGCGTCGCTGGACAAAGGAATTACCCTGGGCCATGTCCGGGGAAGCATCGTTTTGCAAAATATCCGCCACGTCTACCCTTCTCGGCCAGAGGTCATCGTCGCCCACGACCTGAGCGTCTGTATCCCGGCCGGCAAAACCACAGCCTTTGTCGGGCCGTCCGGATCCGGAAAAAGCACCATCATAGGACTCATCGAACGCTTCTACAGCCCCGTAGCGGGGAACATCCTGCTCGACGGACATGATATCGAGCATTTGAATCTGCGCTGGCTCCGCCAGCAAATGTCGCTCGTCTCGCAGGAACCACGCCTCTTCGCCGCCACCATCGCAGAGAATATCCGCGTGGGACTTATCGGCTCGCGACACGAACACGACCCGCCTGACCAGATACAAAAGCGAATCGAAGACGCGGCCCGCATGGCAAACGCGCACGATTTCATCATGGCGCTGCCGGGCGGGTACGCGACCAACATCGCCGGTTTCTCCCTCTCCGGAGGCCAGAAACAGCGCATCGCGATTGCGAGGGCCATCGTCAAAGACCCTAAGATTCTGCTGCTGGACGAGGCGACCTCCGCTCTGGATACAAAATCCGAGGGGCTAGTGCAGGCGGCGCTGGACAAGGCGTCGCAGGGCCGGACCACGGTGGTGATTGCGCACAGGCTGTCAACCATCAAAGAAGCGCATAACATCGTCGTCTTGAACAACGGATGCATCGTCGAGCAGGGCTCGCATGACCGTCTCATGGACAAAAGAGGTGTCTACTACGGCATGGTCAAGGCGCAGCAGATCAAGAAGCGGCTCACGCGTATGAGTCAAATGCCTCGAAACCCGATGAAGACTTTCTTTCTCGACCCGGATTATCCAACCGACGATGACGTTTCGGAGTATGAGCACCAGGACGACGCGTCCGATGTTGGGCTGAAAACAGGAGAGAAGCTGAAACAGCGGATGTCTCGGATGTCCGTATCGGCGCTGCCGGTGCACTTGCACAAAGCCAAAGAGGTATCCTACTCACTCTGGACGCTGTTTAAATTCCTGGCCTCGTTCAATCGCCCCGAGTGGCCGCTTCTCGGACTGGGATTGGGTGCGTCTGTTCTAGCGGGAGGCATCCAGCCCTCGCAGGCTGTCCTCTTCGCCAAAGCCGTTAGCACACTGAGCCTCCCACCCTGGGAATATCCCAAGCTACGCCACGATGCGAGCTTTTGGTCGCTCATGTTCCTCATGCTCGGCCTGGTCACGTTTATCCTGTATGCCTTCCAAGGAAGCCTGTTCGCGTACTCCTCCGAGAAAATGGTCTACCGCGCCCGCAGCCAGGCCTTCCGGGTCATGCTCCACCAGGACATATCCTTCTTCGACGAGCCGCAGAACACCACAGGCGCGTTGACAGCGACCCTGAGCGCAGAAACAAAGCAACTGGCCGGCATCAGCGGCGTCACGCTCGGCACCCTGCTCATCGTCTCGGTGAACCTGGTGGCCTCGCTGGGCATAGCACTAATCATGGGCTGGAAGCTTGCGCTGGTCTGCATCTCTGCCGTGCCGGTGCTCCTCCTCTGCGGCTTCATCCGCGTCTGGATGCTGGATAAATTCCAGCGGCGCGCGAAGGCAGCCTATCAGCAATCCGCCAGCTCAGCGTGCGAGGCGGCTTCGGCGATTCGCACCGTCGCCTCGTTGACGATGGAGGGGGAGGTGCTGGAGTCGTATCAGACGCAACTGCAGCACCAACTCAAGCGGGATATCCTCCCTATCGTCAAATCGTCACTGCTGTACGCCAGCTCCCAGGCCCTGCCGTTCTTGTGCATGGCACTGGGGTTCTGGTACAGCGGGACGCTACTGGGACACGGGGAGTACTCCCTTTTCCAGTTCTATGTCTGCTTCAGCGAGGTGATCTTCGGCGCACAGGCGGCGGGGACCGTCTTCTCGCATGCGCCGGATATGGGCAAGGCGAAGCACGCCGCAGGGGAATTCAAGCGGCTTTTCAGCGGCGAGACCATGAAGTCCAAGTCCGGGACTGCACGCCAGAAATTCCAGCCGGATATGCGCGGGCTGATTGAATTCCGCGATGTCTCCTTCCGGTATCCGAGCCGGCTGGATCAGCCCGTGCTACGCAGACTGAATCTGACCGTCAAACCCGGCCAGTTCGTCGCCCTGGTTGGCGCCAGCGGCAGCGGGAAGAGCACGATCATCTCGCTACTGGAAAGATTCTACAACCCTAGGACGGGAGGGATCTACATCGATGGTAGAAACATCGCTACCTGGGATCTAACCTCGTATCGAAGCCACCTGGCGCTGGTCAGCCAGGAACCGGCTTTGTTCCAGGGGACGATCCGCGAGAATATCCTCCTGGGGAGTACCAGGCCGTACACCAGTGAAAACGAGCTGACCAAAGCGTGCAAAGACGCAAATATCTACGATTTTATCATTTCTCTCCCGTACGCTCCCACCCACCCTAACCTCGGGCAAAGCTAATGCATCCCAGACAAGGCTTCGAGACCATCGTCGGCACAAAAGGCGGCATGCTCTCCGGCGGCCAGAAACAGCGCATCGCCATTGCGCGCGCCCTCATTCGCGATCCGCGGGTTCTACTTCTGGATGAAGCGACTTCCGCGCTGGACTCGGAGTCGGAGAAGGTGGTACAGGCTGCTTTGCACGCGGCGGCACAGGGGCGGACGACCATTGCCGTGGCGCATCGGTTGAGTACCATCCAACGTGCGGATGTGATCTACGTGCTGGATCAGGGGGAGGTCGTGGAGTCGGGGACGCATGATGCTCTGCTTCGGAAGAGAGGTCGGTATTTCGAGTTGGTCAATCTGCAGAATCTGGCATAATCAGTTGGTGGGAGGGCGTTCGGCGATCAGCGCTTGTTTTGTCTTTCCGGTTCTTATCTCATGAGCCATCTAGTTTAGGGCTGGACTGGGGATCATTGTTTCAGATCGCTCAATATCAAGTGATTTCTCCGGTCATGAGTCCAAATTGTGGAGATTGGGACGGTCGAAACCGCGTTAGGAAGTTCGTCCGAACTTCACCCAACTTTGGGGCGAACCACTCACGAACTATGAACGACACTAGAGTAATGATTGCGAGGATATGCGGCATGGCCCACATCACAACCAGCTTATCGACATGTTCGGGGACGGCGTTCAGGTCTAGGCGGGAAACCCTCACTGTTTATTGTCTCGGACGAACTATTCGAGACATTCTGAAACAGGACAGAGAATACAGACATCCAAATCACTCTGCCGGGACTGCGCTCTGATTCAGATTCTGTAGCAAATGCCGAGGATAGGTCCCTATCAAGCCAAGGACCGTAGATATAAAGCCCCGGATCAAGGGAAGGGTCATAATCAACCACTCTCCTAAGACAAGACAAGATGAACCTGCGTCCATTGACCCTTGCTTTCGCCGTCCTGGCGGCCGCAAGTCCAGTTGACCTCCAGGAGCGCCAAGGTACGTATCCTAGTCTCCATCTTTGAGCCCTGCCTAACACGAGCAAAGTATCACCCGGAAACGAACTGTGCGATGGCGTAAATTTCCACTAGCCTCTGGCCGTATTTTCTTTGCTCTCAATTTCATCTTTGAGAGCCCCCGGGATTTCGCCCTCCGCTAAGAAACAGACAGCTTGGTTTTGGATGACGAGGGCGTTTTGTTTCAAGTCAATGCGGGCTTGATAGTGCCGCAATATATCGAGTCCCAGATGTAGTCCGATGTAATCACCTTCGACGACGAAAACAGACCATGGGAGGGACATATTGCCAACTTTGATCAGGGCAGAATGAACTCGACCAAGAGTGATTGCCGTCCCCACACCTTTTGCAGTTCCATGAAACCGGCGATCAATGAGACGCTTGAGATTGCATTTGGATGCATATTTGGGCGACATGATTGTTGTGTGTGCTCCTGTACCAACAGTTGCTGTAACTGGAGTGCCGTTCACCTCCACTGGCATGTAGAGCAAATGTACACGCCCAAACGCTATGAGTCTATTAGTAATAGGAGACATACATTCAGGATGTTCCTGAATTGCATTATCTGCATTATGCAAATACGCTGTCACCGCTGGTTGTGAAATGATTTCTTCGGTCTCTTCCCCAGCTTCTGGTTTCTCGAATTCACGGAGATGCAGCCTCTGCTTCCCAAGTCGGTCGCGTTGGTACATTGCCTCTGCTTCACGCGCTCTGCATTGTAATTTGTAGACGGTATCCCTCACACGATGATCTGAGCGACAAGGAAGAGGTGATATCAGTCCGTCTCAAAGACGCAGATAATAAGACCATGTGAAGACTCCACATCCACCAAGACAGGTCAGTCAAGAAAATTGATGTTGTCAGTTGAGCGCTTGAGGCCCGTCCATAACTCAGGTGGATGTGTATTCTATAACATGGTGATGTAAAAGTGTTGCAGCTCAGCACTGTCCATTGAGGCATATGTATCTTTTCTAGGTTCTTTTGTCTGGTTGTCCTGGTCGCATAGGCGCTTGGAATGCAATATATGTTCAGTTCTTCAATATGTATCTTCCAACCAAGCGGTTACCTCATCACAACTACGTCATTCATGCGCGCTCTATCCTATTGTAGAACGAATTGTGCACATGTGTAAGCATAGAGCCTGCTCGCAGTGATAAATCCACCTAGGCCTCTGTCTGAATTTAGAGGTTGAACAGGGCAATGGTTAAGCAATCCGTACACAATAGTTGGACATGTGCAGGCGTCTGGCTGTTGGCAGAGAAGATAGCTCAAAGCAAACCCACCCGACCCTGAGTCTCCCTAGTATACGAACCGAAGCAACCCGTTTTGCTATGGTGACCTCAACCAAGGGTCTGACAAGAGCTCTTTCGCCGATTCTCTCTCCTCGGGCCGCCATCGAAGCATCTTGCGCATAAACCCAAGAGATAATTTTTGCTGTGGTCCGTGTAAACTCTCTTCCAAGTCCTCCAAGGACATTGAGGGGATTGGAGTTATCTCTTTCCAATTACCTGTTGGTTTGTCATTACTATTAGACAGATAGGACTGGACGGCGATACATACCTTCATTGTCAAAGAATTCCTTCGCGTAGTCGCTGTTTCAAAGCAGATCTGCCGGTGGCGGCCCAAGGATGGCAGTCATCTCAGCAAGGTGATGGGCGTCGGAATTCTGCTTGGTGGAATCTCGGGCGTAGAAAAGATGTCCTTTTTGGAAAAGGTCCCACGTCTGTAGCAGTATTCACTGTTAGTAAAAAGGACATGGTTTATAACCGTTATGAAGTCAGCTTCGAAGTAGTGCGCTACATACCAAGACGCCCAGATTCCAAATGTCGACTTTCTCGTCCCAAGGCATGCGCAGTACCACTTCGGGAGCCCTATATATGTACGGTTGAATGTCCCCACAGTATGTGCTGGAGCCAAAGCGAGCCTGACCAAAGTCGCATAACACAGGTCGACCATGATTTTTAGTTCTTCCTAGCTTGCGCGAAGAATAAATAACCCGCTCTCCAACAATCTTACGGGGGCTAGGATGAGATTTCTCGCCCTCCTCGAAATCAGCCAATATTGAGTCATCTTCAACACCAAGCATGATATTCTTTTCTTGGATATCTAGCAGGGTCAGAGTCGAAAAAACCAGTTCAGTAATAGTGGGTTCATACCGGTATGGACAATGCCTGCTTCTGTATGGAGGAAATCCAGAGCGAAAAGGACATGTGACAAGGTCAGTTTGAGTATCTTCTCAGGAAGAACTTTTGCCGCAAGCAGATTCCGAAAGTCAAATAGACTTATGCCTAGAGGAGTGTGAATAAGACACTGGTAGTTGCCCTCGGGGGAGCTAATCTGAAAGGTGTCGAGTGCTCTGCGGACAAGCATGGCACCATGATGGCGCGTGTTAAGGGCATTCAGATGATTGTAAACATCTGTTTCTCTTCTTCCCTCAGCTGAATCACGCTCAAAGACCTTCAACGTGACGTAAATGTGTTGCCTCGTATAATGTCAATTCTCCACCATAGACGCTGTACGGAAGCCAGCTAGACTAACTGTAGATCTCTGCAGAGCCATACTGTAGAATATGCCCCAAATCCCAACTTTCCAATCACTTGGTACTTTGAACGAAAGACCTCGCCAATTGTCACGGGGTAAAAGCGATCTGGCGAATACCATGGAAGTGTTTCCTCCTCGATCTTCTCGGCTGGGTCAAGAACAAGAAAACCAGACTGAGAGAACTGTCGCACCGGTGAGGCAGCACGCGGCCAAAGTAACCGCCTAATTATTGGCCATGGCGGGCGGAACAACATTGCTAATAKAATGAGCCTCGGTGCCTTGACGAGTGATACAAAACAAATAGAGATTCTAGGAGCACACTGCACGAACGGTATCTGGCATTTTGGCATATCAGCGAGCTGACTCAGCTAAACCTGACGTAATCATCCACGTGAGCAAGGTAATTGTCAACCAGAATATGCCTATCATTTCTCCTATGCTACAATTACAAATGGTCGTCTAGACACCTTTTTGGCGTAGTGGAAAAATGGCTAACAGTATTTAATTCATTTCCTTGTCTGGGTCTGATAGTTCTGCTGACAGTGTTCATGGGTAGGAGCTAACACAATGTCGCATAGTGTGACTTGACACGACGTTTGAGATAAACATCTTCAAGGCAGATTAGATGCTATCTGAAAGACCGAGGGAATATCAATTAACAGGAAACTTGTTCGAGACAAAAACGAGCACGGCATGTTCCAGCGCCCTTTGATCCCAGAGCATCCGGTTCCCCGGCCAGTTGTAGATGCAGTTTTGTCCGTCTGACATGCATTGACTTGCATTTTGGGTACGAAGTGTTGGGTTACGCAGCCTATGCATCGGTTGGTTTGAAGGAGGCGTGGATGGTGTTTGCATTCTGTTAAAGTGAGTTTAATTAGGTAACAGATGGTCAGATTGAAAATAATAGGAAGAAGTCGGAAGAAGCCTTTGACGGGGAGGAGTATGAGAATGCGGGGGACTAGAAAATGCTCTTACCATTCATATACCAGCAATGTTCGTCCAAATTCAATCTTATACGATATCTGTCTATGAGCAAATGAAGCATAATTAAAATACAATATTTCATCGAGGCTATGACACCCACAGCCCCAGCTGGACTATATATAGTGCAATGCTCACCCTCCACCAATTGTATATCCCAGTCTCACCCGTTCAACCCTTGTAGTACGACAGCCTTAGGTTACACAATTCTAGATGTGCTGTAGGCCATATTCATAGCAATATTTTTATACCAAGGTGGACAAAACTCCAGATCCTGTCTACTTAAAGCTGACTAGTCCCGCCCGCATATTGTAACACAGAGTGCGTAGACGCAAATGTCAGACTGATTATTGTCAGGATTATCTCAGTTCCAGGTGTCATGGTATAAATTCAGGGCTTCCACATAAATAGCTTACAGGTGGGGCGAGTCAAGTCCTCGGCTCTACGCGGTCGATCCTGCAGCAGCCGGAGAGATTTGCTTTCAGCTTCGCTCTGGTAGATTCGTCTGCCTGCTACTTCAGACCAGAATGGCAGAGTCACCACCAGGAGTAGATCTAACCAAAACTCCTCTTGTCCCTGCACCTGCCGGGCAGAAGTCGAACTTCGTCACTCCGGTCAGCCATGCCGAAGAATACTACATCATCGCAGGCATCTGTACTGCGTTGATGGCTTTTCTTGTTCTTCTGAGGCTGTATATCCGGTTCTTAGTTACTCATACGCCGTGGTGGGATGACTGTAAGGCTCTCTCTACTGGAATGTGGGATATTTGCTGATATGTTATAGTGACTGCTGTGCTTGCGCTGGTATGAATGAGAATACAGTAAATCTTTCCACAGTCTGAAGCTCACAAGTATTACGACTCAGCTCTCTCAATCCGCATACACAGGCATGATTATCAAAGGTTATTCAACCTCTCTACCACCAATCGCAACATCAATCCTAACATGGATATCTACAGAGGGATCCCTCGGTCTCGGACGACATGTTTGGGACGTCACACTGGCCAAGTTCGCTGAATTCGATAGAGTGAGTCGACTAGACTGGCGCAAAGAGCTACTGTCCACCAGGCTGATGGGTCATAGTATGCAAGAATCCTCACCGCGCCAGCAATCTACTTTACGAAGCTGACCCTGCTCCTGCTATACCTGCGCCTCTTCTTGCTGAATCGCTTCGTGAAGATCGGTATCTGGGGAGGTATCGTGTTCTGCACGGTCTACTACACCGCTGCGTTTTTCCTCAACATCTTCTTAAAAGACGTGCACGCGCTCTTGATGTTGGCGTACAGCGTGGGTGTTATCGGCGTTGTCAGCGACGTATACATCATCACACTTCCGTTGCTGGCTATTGCGCAGCTGCATCTGAGCAGGGCCAAGAAGTGGCGCGTTGCTGCTGTATTCCTTACGGGACTTTTGTGAGATCCATCATCCTCGTCTCATGATGGATTGGCTAAGCTAATTGTCGCATAGAAGTGTGGTGATGAGCATTTTGGGCTGCGTATACCGCTTCCAACTCAACCTCATGGACATCACTTACTCCCTCGGGGAGATCTACATCGTCAAGTACGTATCCTCCCACCCCTTAGCTCCCTACCTACTAACCGCCCCACAAAACCAGCACAATGGAGGTCGACATCGGCATAATATGCACCTGCCTCCCCCTCCTTGGCACACTCTTCAAAGAAAACACGAAGGAATCCTGGTGGCTGACCCGCTTCCGATCCATCCGCAACCGTCTCTTTTCCTCACGAGCAGCCTCGCAGGGCTCAGGCGGATCCCGAAGCGTCGCTGATCCCTCACGCTCACGCCTTCCACACAGCGTGCACAAGAAACATCAAGGTCACAGTTCTGATAATATCAAGCTTATTCCGCAGACCTCTGTCGCGGATGCGGTGCCGGAGACTAATACCGTGCCGCTGCCGTCTAGTCCACCGAATGCGATTTGGCGCAAGATGACAATTGAGCAGACGTGGGGAGAGTCTTGCTGTTAGGTAAGTTAGGGGTAAGGTGTAGTGATCTAGTTATTTTGGGGGGTTGTGGCTGTGGTGACGGTGGTTGTGGTGTGTTTACCCTGTCATTATGTCTGTCTTTGGCGATGGGGCGCCTATGGACGTATATAAGCGAAGACAGACGCTCACTGCAGAGTATTTAAGATGGCTGGTAATCATCTGCAAGCCACTTACCAATCCCTGCGGTAATATATAGAGCCGTGTCTTTCCTAGTCACTCTCATTAAGACCTATCGGCCCTCTACTCTCGCTCGATTTGCGTTGAACTTGGACAGATTCTGATAATGCAGCGCCTGAGAATCTTGGCTTGGACCACCATTGACTATCCCAAACAGTAATTTATGTACATCCGATCCGCTGTCAGGCAGGTCTGGAATACGGATGATCAGCTCTTGGCACCGCAGCGGGCTGCACATTAATTACTATTCTGGGTTAGCGTGAAATGCACCATTGCCGAAAGAAGCATACAGTCAGGTCATAGCCACGGGCAGATCAAGAGCATTGTAATGGAAATCATCATGATAATGTATATATATATATATACAGGTTCTAGCATTTCAAACGACCCAACTGAAAATTCAGTTCAGCGAACAGCTCCAATACAATAACCAAACAAGTCATGGACAAACTATTCTCCAGCAAAAGCAAATCACCCCAGCCCGTCTGGACCTTCACCATCGACAGCTCCGGAGAAACAATCTCCTGCTCAGGCAGACCCGTCTTCCACCTCACCACCCAGAAATCGAAACCACATCTCACCGTCTCGCGTCTCCCGCCGCCGGGACCATGGTCTCCAGCTCCCGTCCCCATCGGAACCTGCACCGTCCACAAGTTCCCCTCTAGCAAGGTGGATGTCACACTGCACGGACATGAATTCCTGCTCAAACGCGATCTCCTCAAAAGCGACAATCACCACTTCGATTACCCGCCTCTAGGGCACTTCAAATGGAAGCCTGACGCATGGGGAGGGAGTAAACTCGAGTTGTTTGATAGTGAGCGGCGCCTGTTGGCGAGATACAACAAGAAGCTCTCTTTGAAAGGACAGGGTCAGCAGATTGAAGTGTTGGTTCAGGGGGATGAGCGGTTCGTGGAAATGGTGGTTGTCACGGCGTTGGCGATGAGGCATTATATTGAGGTGGAGAATAAGGACATTAAAAAGGTGACTGACATTCTTGATGCTGTTGGGGGTGGTTAGTTGAACAACTCAATCATTATATACACATTAATACATGTATCAGGCATAGGCAGCTGAGTTCAATGTCAACTACGCCTTCAAGTATACATCCTTCATGCCCTTGGCCACATGAGGATTCCGGACCAGTCGATCATGCCAAGTCGTCAACTCGGGGAATCGCTCAAGATCCAGGTTCGCCTCGCTCGCACCAGCAACATACGGGAAGATAACCAAATCCGCCAGTGTACTACATTCGTTAGCGCGCTCCACGGTGATGGTAGACTACCAAACATACCACTTTTTGCCCACCAGATACGGACTCCGCGCCTTTTGCAAATGCTCCTCGAGATGCAGATACAGCCGCAGCGACTTACGCGTGTACAACTCCTCGGGATTATCGCCGTGGATGGTCTTGCTCAGGAACGCAATCCAGTTATTCACCTCCTCGCCTTCCTTTGATCCCTCCTTGTACGAAAAGTGGTGCTCGGCGTCGTATTGGGTGAGAAGGTAGCGCGCGATATCGGTCACGCCAGATGCACCGGCCTTTTTGCCTTCGCTGGTTACGTCGAAGAGGACGGGCAGACTGGCGTACGCGCTCGCATCGTCGTGTTTGATCTCTTTGACGCTGTGGACGAGGTGGATGCAATGGGGTTGTCTGTGTCGTTAGTACTGAGCAACGCTGCAGGAAGTAGAGTGGCATACCCGATGAGCTCGATCAGCATGGCGATGGTGGCACCCTCTTTGGTCCGTGGTGAGGTGTATAGGGCGATGCGCCCTCTCTGCTCGTGGAAGACATTCATTGCGATAGCTCTGGCGGGATAGGTGATCAGAAGGAGAAGATGACTGCAAGACAAGAAAGCGAGAGATATGTACCTAGGTGGCAACGGTGCAAAGGATGGATAAGCTTTAGGTGAAACACGTGCGCATGCAACGAACATCATCTTAAGTTATCCAATCTCCGCCAAATCAGGCAACCTATCAGGCCATCTTGCGGAGTCAGCCAATCAGAGCGGAGGCACGGGAACGTGCCCAGGCCAATCCCCGAAGATCTTGGCACGCTATTACGAATGGCAATATATCGGCCAATCAGGAGCTTCTTTACAATGGAAATATACTCAATTTTGGGGCCTCAATAGGAGGGGAAATAAATGACGTCATACATCATGAAACCATCAGACAATGGTCATTCACTGATATATGCATTCTATATAAATATATAGCACTGTAGACAGTCACATTTTAATGCTACACATCATGACGCACAGACATAAATCAGATAGCAGTAGCCTTCATGGGTATAAATCATTAGGTAGCAATATATATATATATATATATATTTACTGCTATATGCCTATTATAAATAACTCCACCTTAGCACATGATATTAGTGAATAGTCAACCAATCTAGATGTTACCTCTTTGATACCTCCTTATTACTCCTGCAGATAACTCCATAAATCCTCACAAGCATCCCTCAGCGACTTTTCCGTCGTCCATCCCAACTCCACCGCTGCCCGCTCCGCACTGGCAACACAGGACCCAACATCCCCCGCTCTCCGCCCCACCACCCGTCTCGGAATCGTCCGCCCGGACACATTTTCCAGGGTCTGCACCAGCTCCAACACCGAATGCCCACACCCCGTCCCGAGATTAAACGTGCGAAACCCATCCCGCACGCGGCCCTCCCGCGCCGCAGCCATCGCAGCCGTATGGCCCCTCGCCACGTCCGTGACGTGGATGAAATCCCGGATCGGGGTCCCGTCGGCTGTATCCCAATCACTACCGTAGATGAGGAGCTCGTCCCGCTTGCCGGTGAGGATGTCCACGACGGCGGGGACCAGGTTTGAGGGATTGACTTTTGGGTCCTCGCCTAGGAGGCCTGACGCGTCGCAGCCGATGGGGTTGAAGTAGCGCAGTGCGACGATGGTCCAGGCGGGGTTTGCGCGGGCCAGGTCGGCGAGGACAGCTTCGCCGAAGAGCTTGGTGCGGCCGTAGGGGTTTGTGATTTGGGAGACGTTGCTTTCGGAGGGGTGAGACGCAGCAAACTGGTTGAGTTCCGGTTGATGGGTGCACTCCTCTTCGTGGAGGATGGGGCGGTTCTCGGCTAGTTTGCCGTAGACGTTTGCAGACGAGGAAAAGATGAAGGTGGTGATGCGGTACTGGTCCAGCAGGAAGAGGAGGTCCACCAGCCCGTTGATGTTGTTGCGGTAGTACTTGAGCGGGGTGCGGATGCTCTCTTCGACCTGTTTGAAGGCGGCAAAGTGGATGACCCCGATGATGCTCGATTGCCTTGTGGATAGGTCGAGCATGTAGCAGTCGAGCAGGTTCCGCATGGCGGACATGTCGCGGTAGTCGACATCGTACAGCGTCGCCTTGGGGCAATGGCCGTCCGTGCTGTCGAAGTGCAGTTTCGCGGCCAGCAGGATCCGGGAAAAGACATGCCGGTAGCTGTTACTCAGGTCATCAACGATGAGGACGTTGTATCCCGCTTTCATCAGCTCCAGACAGGTATGGCTTCCGATGAACCCTAGGCCTCCAGTGACAAGGACATACTCCTCGCCATCACGGACAGGTGTCAACGAGTCAAACAGCACCTCCGTCTCGCTGTCTGGCGTGGGGACCTCAGAAAAGAGCCGAGGAGAAGCAGATGGGCTTCTTTCAGAGTGCGAACTTGAAGCCATACTGCGTGGATAGGTATACCGTACCACAGCCAAAGCAAACGAGCGACTTTCTACAGCTTAGAGCTCGTCGCAAGAGCTCATCCCGGACAATAAGTCCAATACATGGCAGTCATCCTCGTCATAATCGTGGCATCCAACGCTTCCATGACTTCATGTCGATGATACTATTTTCATCCAAGCTGGACTGCTGGACATGATAGCCGAGACATGGCTGGTATTGTATGACTTGCAAGCCATACAATACATACCGTAAGTACTCCGTAACGGTACCTACCCTACATCCTGAAGGATTCATACGCATCGATGCCGGAAGGACCATTAAGCGATGTCGCCGGCTCCTGCTGAGGTCCCACCATGACCGTGCAGCCGGTAGTCAGCTTATGCGCTGGCGGCGCCAAGTAGGCAACTACAGAAAGCGAACGCCATATCAATGAGGCGTCAGTGGATGTCTCACTATTATTAACCAATTACTACACCACAACAAAAAGATCGAGCTCAAAAGTGAGACCCGCTCAGGCCATTGTGGCTTTTCACTAGTGCATTGCTAAGTTTGGCGCTGGTGACATATTGCATCGCCATTATTTGCTAGGATGTTACCATCATCCATCGGCTCTTAATGCCGGAAGGACCATTAAGCAATGTTGCCGGCTCCTGCTGAGGTCCCACCATAACTGTGCAGCCAGTAGTTAGCTTATGCGCTGGCGGCGCCAAGTAGGCAACTACAGAAAGCAAATGCCATATCAATGAGACATCAGTGGATGTCTCACCATTATCAACCAATTACTACACCACAACAAAAAGATCAAGCTCAAAAGTGAGACCTGCTCAGCCCATTGTGGCTTCTCACTAGTGCATTGCTAAGTTTGGCGCCGGTGACAGCTAAACTGCGCAAGAATGACAGATCTATTCGATCGCTGCCGAGCCCAAGCCCAAGGCCTAGACGTCTACACACTAGATACACCGACTCTACTTATTCTACCAGCGCGTGCATCAATCCCTCCCAACTGGTTGGTCCGAATCGCTCGTAGAAATCGCCCTCCACCTCCGTGACAAACAGATAAGCCGCGCGATCGCGCAATTCGCGCACAAAGGCTGCCAGCTCGCCCACTGGCACCGCACTGATCATGTACCCGCATCGGCTCCGATCATAGGGCAGTTCGGCGAGTCGACGCTGCACCTCCTCGGAGCAGTACCTCTCGTACGGCTCTTCACAGGTCAGAATGAGATCCGGACAGGTGTCGGCCAAGCCGGCATCGGGGGGCGTGCCAGGGTTATGGACGACCTACACCGCATCACCGTCAGCATCAGCATCAGCCACGATCAATCCAATCCAATCTCACGGAAAGTCAAAAGAAAAACACAAAAATTAAAAAAAGAAAAAAAGGGAAAAAAAACTTACCATCCGATCGCGCAGAATCCCACCATGACTCTTGATATACTTTGTACAAGCGAGCAGGTACGCCTCTCTCTCCTCCGAATAATGGTTGGGCGTCTCGTCGAGTAGAATCCCACCCAGACCTAGACCCTCGGAGGCTGACCAGCTAGCATACCGATCGATCTCCTCGTAGACATCTTCCAGAGGCTTATCGCAGTAGTGGATACGAATGTAGCCGACGGTGTAGACGTTCGGGAACGCGTTCAGCTTGGGGACCTCGCGGGCGTAATCCTTGTTCGGGGAAGGGAGGTCGCCCGGTCCGCTGTTGGGATTGACGACCACCAGGAAGTCTAGATCGGGGTGGGCGGTGATGCTGCGGATGTGAATCACCAGTTCAGTATTGTAACTTGCATGATACTGATCTAGCCTTCGACCTTGGGAATAACGGATTGGTGGACTCACGCGTCGTATAGTGGAGCCCAAGTCGTGGTTGATACAGGGTAAATGTACAACGGGACGAGAACTCCTGATTTTGGGGGCATTTTGCCGATGGTAGATGGCGAAAGGATGGCGATTGTCCGGTCAGATCGGGTCAAATGTTTGATGCACAGCGATAGAATGATGAATGCTAAATAGGGGCGCTGATTGACAGGGGCGAGGAAGCAGGGACCACCCCTGCGTCCGCATATCGTCTAGCTATCTATCTATCTTCCCTACTAGTCTACAAGGCTACGACTAGGAGATAGCCTAGCGCTGACGAGATGTAGAGACACAGCGATGTGGCGCCGTTGATAGCCACTCGTGGTATCACATTTTGCATCGTCTGCCTTTCTATGTCTGCCCAAACACTGCCTATCAAAGCTTGGTCAATACGATGTCTCAGTCTGCCAGCCACTTGTCAACTAGTTCGCGAATCCTGACTAAGTTAATTGATTACCTGTGATTACTAGAGATATGATACGAAACTCCAAGATTACTAGAGATATGATACGAAACTTCAAAGTCAACACAAGCCTCCCCGCATCCGATAACCATGGTTCCCTCCACGTCAACTGGGCATGACAGCACACAAAGTCGGTAACTGTGGGTCAAAACTCTCGTAGAAATTCTGGTTCAGTGTTGTGAGAAACAGATATTCTGCGCGCTGGCTCAGACCCTGGACCAAGCCGCGGAGCGTTCCATTATTCATGGAAGGCACCGAGTGGATCATGTAGCTGTACGCCGTCCGGTTCGCAGGAAGCGCCTGCAGACTCGCATGCTTGGTCTGATACTCCTGATAGGACTGCTCAAAGACAACCGTCACATCGGTCCCGTTAATGTTACTATATCGGGAGTCCGGGATCGCGCCCGGGTTATGGATCACCTAATGATGAATCATTAGTAGAGCCTCAAAAAGCATGTCTCATACCGCCAGGCAGCTTTGAGTTCGGTATGCTCTAGACAGAAAGCGTATTGAAACATAATACGAACAACTGAGACAGGCTCACCGTTGGGTCTGGCCTCAGCCCAGAGGCGTTCTTGGCCGCTTCATTGATCGTAGCCAGGTATTCGGCCGAAGACGTGGAATACTCGCTGGGCACCTCGTCGAAAAAGATCCCATGCATGGCAAGAGTTGGCGAAAGCGCTGCCCAGCCCGAGTAGATGCCCACCTCCTGCAGCACCGTGGTCAGATTGCGGCTCGCATACCCTGTGCGCACGTATCCCACGGTCCGCACATTCGGGTACGCATTCAGCCGCTGGATCTGGTGTGCGTACTGCGAGCTAGGCTGCGAGCTGCTTCCTGGACCACTGCTAGGATTGATGACGATAGTAAAGTTGAGATCGGGGTAGTTGGTCACTCTGACGACATCAATTCACCAACTTTCGGAATCGGACAAGGTGTAAACTTACTCCTCGTACAGTGGATCCCACGTACTGTTGGTTTCTGGCCAGATATACAAAGGGAACAGAATCGTAGCCTTCTTGCCATGATGCTTCTTAGGCAGGATAACTGCCAATGGCACCACAATGACAATAATCACCACAATAGCAATGGCGACGGCGATGCCAATCCACAAATTGCGGCGTCCTTTGACTTTCGAAGCAGCCATTGCAGGTGAGCGTGTTGGAACGATTGGAGTGAAGAGCACGTAAGCCACTTGACAGTGATGGAGATGACAACAGAAAGGTGGATATAGCAGCAATCCAAGCGATCTCGATTCTCTACAAATACTTGAGAACGAACCTTCCCCGACTCCTCCACCACTGTCTCACCGGCCGGCCGACAGTATTGGAAATTTTTGACGAGAACTAGCGGCTGAAGACCAAGACACATCCAGACCCTTAGACTCGCTAGGCTTATGCCACGCCCAACTCAGACACTGGTCGCAGAGTCATAGACTCGTTCTTGATAAAGAACTATTTTTGGATCGAACCACTGCAGCACTAGCCCTGGTGCGGTTTTGTCTGTATTCCGTTTCCTATCGTAAATTTGGGCGCCAAACCCCGAGCTGAAATCAGTATTGGAATTTTCATTGCTTCTCAAGGACAGGGACCCTGTAGCTCAGCCACCATGGAGTTGGTGTCGTATTTGTCATAGAGATGTATCACTGAGTCCGTCAGGCTCTGCTTAGCATGGACAGCAGGCAGGGTGCTGGTGGCTTTGGCCTTATATCATCGTCTTATAGATCCTCACGCCCATGCACCTGTAGTTTTTTGTGCATGTCACTCGTTATCGTGTCCCCGAATCCCAGTTTCGTTTGCCATGGGGACAGAATATCTGGGACTCCATGCCATTGGATGGCATGGAATGATCAAGACCTGGTGGGACAAAGTACTCGCTGTACTGCTATTGACCACCATCGTCCTGGGTTGTCTATACATTCTGTTCATTATCGGGAAGAAGCTTTACGCTCGCTGGAAGGTACGTTTCCACCTCCTCTTTCTCAACTTGAATACTGATCACCTGGTATAGGGGAGACGCCAACTGTCCGCCGCCCCCGTGGCCATCACTCGTTATCTCGACCGCTTGAAGAGGGAAACGAAACCTCTCCGTTCGCAGAATCCTGAAAAGGTGGAATTGAAGACATTTGGAGTATATCTGGGGTCGATATCCAGCCCTCCTAGTCCAGAGCAGTTGTCCATACTGTCGCGATGGGACGTTATCGTGGTCGACCCTCTTCAACATGGGGTGGTGAGCGGTATATACAATTATTGTTCCTCCACCCACGTCCTTGGACGGCTGGATGTTCAAAGTTTGGTAATGATCGACACAAGCGTCACAATCGATGAAGTCATTGAATCTTTGTGTGTCGTTGCTCAAACAGTCATCTCGAATTTCAGCCATCCACAAGGAAGGGAGGCGCCACTTCACGGAGTCCTCTTGGCAGACTGGCAGAAGCATTTCCAACCAGTTGTACTCAACCAGTTGGTCCAATACCTCAATGGTGTTGGACTCGATGTATGGCTGGAGATGTCACCGCCCGACTATCTCAGTGAGCGTGAATGCCGCGACATCGACATAAGCCGCATTCGCGGCGTTGTCTACCGCAACGGTACGATATTTCCCGACGGCAACCAACGGGACTACTTTCAGATGGAAAAGATCCGGACTGTCATGCGAGTTGTGGCTGCCCAAAAGGCTATGGGAGGCTGCACTCACGCCATGTGGGAGACAGTCCAGGATGATGTGGACGTATCCCACCATGTTCTCGGACGGACGTTCAAGTGGTGCGGCTACAACAGCGCCATGACCTGGATCGGTCCTCAATCCGCTCTGACCGACGCCGAAGTTGCCGGTCGTCGAACAATCAGGAACGAACCCCTGGGAGCATTGATGTGGTTGAAGGACGATATCGTGCTCAAGGCGCACGACAACTGGCGCTTCAATGACACGGTGAGTAATCCACTCCTCCATAACGAGTGCTAAAGCTGACGTACGGTGCAGGTGACGGGAGTCTCGGCTGAACATGATGCTCGCTTCGAAAGTCTAAAAACCTTTGTACCGGATATCCTCGACAAAATGACCATCGTTCCCTCCAGTAATCGGTCACTGGTTGCTGCGAGCACAATTGATATCGCTCCGGTTGACTGGCCATCAAAACTGGATTACGCGCACATGAATCCCTTCTCTGTCTCCTCCGACGGTGTCGACTACACCGGTCTAGGCTGTTTCCAAATGGGCCATGACTGTTCTGATAAAGATATTCTTGACCTTCTCGAGGCGCAACGGAGCATCCGCGACCTAGATCTTCTCGACCGGATTCAAGTAGAGGAGCTGCGTCGTATGGCAGCGGATCTGCGTGCTCTTCTCAAATCGCAGAAAGCTTCCACCGATGCCGGCGCCATGTCCGCCGCAGTCCAAGAGTTGATTGATCTCCTTTCCTCCGGCAACGGTGCGGAAAATGACAAACTTCGGATCTGGGTCGGCCTGCACTCAGGATTTCGCACGCGCCGTGAGTCCCAGGTCTGGGGCATATATGAGGTTGAGGCTCTAACGGGCTCGATGGACATTTTCATCTCTGGCAAGACGGTCGATCGGACAGGAACCATCTTGCACACCTTCCTGTCGCGTCGCAGGTTCAGCCGGTATGAATGCCTCAAGGCGGAAATCGCTCTCGCGAACGCCAGAAACACACTTTCTCCGAAATGGGATCTGCCTCCTCGACTGGTGAACGACATTGAAGACCTCAGTCCCGCAGAAGCCCTGCTATGGATGCAGCGGTTGACACTGTCGACATGTAAAGAGTCGTCCTCTGTAGTCGCTAAAGTTCGCAGTTGCTGTGAATATCAGCTGCTGCAAGTCCCTACTCTGAGCCAGTTGCGAGCTATGACTTCGACGGGCTATCTCAGTGGGGAAGTCTCGGCCAAGCAGCTTGTCGAGGGTCGTCTGGCCTGGTACCGCGACCAGGGGTGCGTATCCCTCGAACCCAGAAATGCGCTGGCACTATTCGAAGAGATCGACACGCGTCTTCCTGAGATGCTCATTGAGGCAGACGGCACGAGTCTGGCCCAGCTTACCGAAGTCATGGAGGCCATTCTCCAACCGGGCCGAATTGATGTGAAGGCAGACTTTCTTGCCCTGTCCCTCTTCTGCGCCTTTCGTAAGCTGGCCATGAACGAGATTTACCTCGAGGTTCTTGATCGCAACCCTCGTCCGAACCTCCACCACGTGCAAACGGCTTGCTTTGCTGAGAATTATGCAGTCGGGGCCAGGTGCGATGCTTACATCGACATGACGCCCAAGGCCATTGGCAAGATCTTGTCCGATCGTATCCGCGCGTACTATCGCCAGCACCAACCGCCTCGACGAGAGGAAGCCTTCACCGATCTTCCCACTGCTTATGCGTCCATGGATATCGATCTGGACCCTAACGGAGGACAAGACGACCTCCCTCTGTCATACCGCTTTACGTTCCTTGGTATTTTTGCAGTTCCGGCGCTCATCGATATCACTCTCCTGACGACCATCGGTCGAGGCCTGTATCTCACGACGTTCATGAGCAATGATGTTAAAACGTTGGCGACCACTGCCTTGATGGTTGCGTTGCTACTCTGCGGTGGCTTCGGTGGCTGGATCAGCTCGGGAGGCAGCTACTACCTATATGCCATGGCTTTTCCTGCGATGAGCATGTTCGTCATGACCCGGTTCATTGCTGGTCTAGCAGTCGTGTCTGTGGGAGGTATCTTTGCATTCATTGGCATCGGAATCGCCAAAGGCTTTGTGTCTGCTGTTGTCTTTTCCGCATACCTGATAATGCTGACGCTTTATCTGATGACGCTGTCTGCATTGTCCATCTATCAGCTCCCTGGATTCCAGTTCCAGTCGGTAAGTCATTCCCTGGACAGGATAATGGATCAAGTACTGACCTTGGCAGGGCCGCACGGTAATTATGTGCTGCGTTCCTATCCTGTTCGTTTCTCCCGTCCTTACGATTTGGGTCAAACACGACATAATCATCTATCCCTGCGTCCTGGCCGTCTTTTTGACTGCGCTACTTCTCGGTGCTCGACGTGTGATTGCCAAGTGGAATAATTGGTACCTTGATATTCCCTGCATCACTGACGGCCAGGTAATCGACTGGTACCAGCGGACGTATCTCGCCAGTGAATCTACCGATGATGCCGATAAGGAGTTGGCATCCACTGCGCTGGCCCGCCAGACACTCTTGGCCTGTGTGCTGAAGGAACGAAAGCGTTGGTTCTGGACCAGGTCCACGGCCGACCCCTTCGTCAAGCGTCTCGCTGAGGAATATTCCGCAACAATGTTTCTGATTGTGTGGTACTGCAAATTTTCCCGGACGAGGCTTCCTCTTGCCTACAGCCCAACATGGAACTTGCAGCTCAAAGCCGCGGTTGATACCATGGGCGACATGCAAAAGGGACTCAAATTGCATAATGCTTTCCTTCACTGGCGTCACACGGGTAAAGACGTCTGGGGCGGAATTCTGTACTTCATCATCGCCCTCATGGACAAGTGGACAGCCTTGTTTACCGGCGAAGGACTGGTCGGACTCTCCTCCGCGTCAAGCGAGACATTCCGTTTGGCTGTAGGTTTCGGTCTATGTTACTATCTAATAGGTGCCGTCATTCTCGATGGCGTCTCACAGCCGCTGTGGATACTGGCACATCAGAAGACACCTCAGCCGATTCCCTCTCTGAAGTTCCTACGGGAAGCCACACGCAATGATGCACGCGCTCGACGGGCACTGTACTGGCGCAATCTGCTCAAGTTCTCTTTCCTTCATGTCTGGGCCATTGCGGTCACCTGCGCTCTGGTCTGGACATTTGAAGGCGGACGCAGTGCCATCATCATGTACCTGGCCTATATCGGTGCATATACGGGTCTTCTTTGGTACCAGTATAACAGAATTTTCACTGGATCCCGATCGGATCGAGCACTCACTATTGGCGCTGTTGTTGGTTTCCTGGCTTGCATCCTGCTGCGAGTCCTCCCGAGGGGGTTCGCTTACAGCGGTGTGCTCGGATTGGCAGTTGGCACCTGGACCACGGCGATTGCATCTTTCCTCAGGGCTGACGTGGCATGGCCCCGTGGACAGAACTTGACCGGTGTTGATAAGGATAAGGATGCCGTAACGTACACCTGCAGCACACTGGAGCCAGATCAGGATTTCTCACAAACCACATTATCAAATACCTTTGATGCAATCCGTGCTCTTTCTCCTGAGCTCCGGTACAAGTTGGATCCTTCTCAACACCCTGGCGCGGAGGTAATGCAAATCCTTCATTCAAAGGCCGAGAGCAAGACATCCCCCAGCTTGCAACAAGCCTTTCCTCACGCAGAGACAATATTGCATCGCACAGCCGAACTTTGGCAATCAGGAGAAACAGTTGTCGAGCTTGTTTCAGCACGCCATCTCTTGCTGCCACCACAGGACCCTACCATGCGCGCGATCGCACAAAGAACGGGAGACCGGCTTCACATCTTCATTCTGATCAGGCTCGACCTTGTGGGGGATGAGTGGGTCGTGAATATTCGTCGGAATTGCCAAGCTATCGCTGAGACTCTCGTTCAAGTTACGGCTGAAAGCAGACTGCAGCTTTCTCACGATCATGCAATGCTAGCAGAGCTCTTGGTAGCCCAGCATCATGACAGTGGTTCGTTTGCTGTCCCTGAAGGCATCAAGCGCCAGCTCGAGAGCTCGTCCCCTGAAAGGAAACGGGTGATCACCAACGCTCAAAAGACAATGCTCCGCCATCTGCTCCTCGGAATGGACCCTGAGAGGGAATGGGATCATATGCCTCGACACGTCCATGCCTTCTTGTTAGAAAGAGCATGCGGCCAACCGACTCGTCTTTCTCCAGCCGATGTGGAGTGGATTCGTTCCCGAGCTGGTCAAACCGACGCAGTGGACCTTCACTGTCTCGTTGCGAGGTATAGCTTGAGTACTTCCGTGGCGGTACTTGTAGGCCAGTACGCCAGCGCGATCGCTGCCCATGATGAGGACTTTGGACCCAGGTCAGATTTCCGGGACTCGAGCTATGATCAACTGATTACCACGGTGTCACCCGAGGTCGAGCTCAAGAACAAGGGATTTATCGACTTTATCCGAGTCACAGTCATGAGGTTTCTTCAGAAGATTCGGACCTGTATCAAGTTCACTGTGCTCTCCTTGGTCGCAGATCCCGAGTTTCAACGAGAATTGCACTATATCCTTCGTGGGCAGTCGGTGGTCTTCTCGTGGCCCATCACATGGATTTTGACTGCTATTTGGTCTTTCTGCAAGGCCCTGCAGGGCCTTATCCTCCCCCTTGTTCTGGTATGTCGTCTGTTTTCTATCCCCGATCTGAGCTAATTTTCTGCAGTTACATGGTCGAGACAAGGTTTCTGCGCTGTATAAGAACATGAAAGGACAGAAGACGGTGCTGGAAAAGAACCGTATTGTCCTTGAAAGTTTGAACGGTCTCATGACTTGTTTCATGCATGTCGAGACAGAGGGCTGTTCTCGGCTTTACCAATACTCCGGTCGCCACGAGCAAGAACCAAGTCAACGGCAGAGTCTGGTGGCCATCAACACATACACCGACAAGCTCGTCCTCCGCAGCCGGGAAGAATATGATGGCAAGGGAACCCTGCGGAACGAGTTTGTATATGATTATCCCGACACGTCCAGGGCAAAGCTCCCCATGCAACGACAATGCCTTGCTGGTGAGCTGGAGGGACAAGTAGTGCAGTACGACCAGCGAGGATACATCACCACCGGGTCCGCCAAGAGAGGCGTCAACCCCGTCCAATTCCAGTACTGGTACCGCAAGAATGCCAAGTTCGACGACGAGTTGCTTCGTGCCGAGTATGTCTTTCCGCATATCAAAATCAAGGTGGCATGGAGTATGCCGCCACCCGCGCGTCCGGAGCGCCTGGATAAATGGATTCCCTATCCGCGGGTCACTGAGGCAGTGTTTATCCAGGAAGGTGATGCCTACAATGCTCAGTGGACATATGATCACAAGTTCCATCCGATCATTGCGACTACTCTGAACGGCGAACACATTCCCACGCCGCCCATGATCTGCGACGACTGGTTCCATGTCCTCGAAAAGCCAACAGGGTGCACCTTCTTGCATGACAATCCGCTTGTCTCGTTCTCTTCGACCAGAACGAACATTATTGCCCGTCATCTGAGATTGAATATCAAGCAATATCCAATTCCAACCTCGCGTGCTCGAGCCCATCTCTGGAAGTCTTGGAAAGCGTCCAAAGAGTTTGATGCGGTTACTGCCCGGTGGTTAGACGAGATTCTGCTTCGATCTGATCGTATTCTCCGTCCGTACTGGAGGCGGCGTGACTGGGGTCGCCTGGAGTCAGCCGCAGACTATCTCGACGCGCAGGTAGACACCATTCTCGCTCGTGTCGACATTGATCCGGAAATCAGTTCATGGACTCAACTGGCCTTCAAGATCAGCGACCTGTACAGTTTCGGCCAAGGAGGTGATGCCAGGATCAATACACGTACACTGTCAACGCAGCTGCAAGATACCGACAGCGAACTGCATGTTTTAGCGATGGACACTGGCACTTGGCCCAATGAGCCAGGTGGTGTCTCTGCATGCCGAAGGGACATGGTCAACGATCTGAAGCATATCCGGTGGCACATCCTCGCTGAGGCGGCCAACGACTTCGGCGTCCCCAAATTCCAGATTGAGCGTAATGTGCAGTCGCTGACTGTCCTGCCGCAATGGGGTTTGGACTTCCTTAACCCGACACACGGTGTTTTCCAAAATGTTTTGGACTCTGCAGTGGTCGAGAAGTCATTCGACACCACCGTTGCAGATATCCGACGCAACTTCCTCCCCATTCTATCCAGCATAGTTCGGTGTTCACGAGCCGTGCAGCTCACGCGCTCACACATTGAGGAAGCGACGCGTGCCTTGGTGGACTTGAACACGTACTTTGAGTCGTCTCGCAGTTGGAACGATGTTTGGATGAGTGATACTGTCAAGCAGGCGTGGAGAGAAATGTGGCTCAGCGAAGACATGCCCGGCGCTGTTCCTGTTTCACAATGGTTGAATTCCGAAAGACCCACGCTCCTGCAGCTCGACTCGGCATTGGACATGTGGCACCGCTGTAAGTTCTTAATCATTCCTGGCCGGCGCTGGATTCATGATCACTGACTGCGATAGATCTCTTTATCTTCTCCATCCCCGTTCCCGACAAGATTCCCGATGTTTTCCAGGTTTCGCACCATTTCACGGGCGCTACATACGGTATCCTGTGCAAGATAAAGCGTCAATGCGCCTTGCATGTCTGGGACCATTGCGTCTCTTTCCGTGAGATGACCACATTCTTGTCATCCGCTGTGTCCTTCGATTCAACCTTCGTCAATACCTCTCTGATTGGCTTAGGACATCTTTCGTGCGTTCTGATCCAGCACCACGCAGATGTTGTCCTTCCATGTGCCGAATATTTCAATCCGGGATGGGAAATCGAACTAGGAACCTGCGAAGGCGCCCTCCAACATCGCCGGACCTTCCGTCGAAAGATTGACCCTGTTGTGAACGGGATCACAAACATGGAGAAATACAAGCCAATTGAGACCATCAAGACTGCTACCCCGACAGTAGTCATGTTGTCACATATTCGGTATGTCTTTCGACACATGTATTCGCCGAATGATTTAGCTAACATCTTGCAGATATGTCAAAGACATCAAGACAGCGATCATGGCAACTGACCTCATTGTCAATATTTGGGGCTTCAAGGATTATCGGCTGCACATCTACGGAGACATGGAGCGCGCGCCGGCCTACGCCTCGGAATGTCAGGAAATCATCGCCTCGAAGGGCCTGCGTGAGCACGTTGTCCTGAAAGGATTGGGAAATCCATCCGTGGTGCTTCAAGATGCTGTAAGTTATATTCCGCCTTTCCTTTTCCTGACGATGTGGCTAATCCAATACAGTGGTTGTTCATGAACTCGTCCATTTCCGAAGGTCTCCCATTAGCCATGGGCGAGGCCGCGTTGACTGGTGTCCCTGTGGTTTGCACAGACGTTGGTGCATCGTTTTGTGTGGTCACCGACCGCACCACGGGTAAGAAGTTCAGCGAAGTGGTTGCGCCCAACGATGCTATATCCCTGGCCAGCGCTCAGATCAGGGTGCTGGCATTACTGGGCCAATGGAGCGCTTTTGCCGAGGACGAGGAGGGCTATGTGCCCCCAAGTTTATCGCTGCACCCTTCGCGTGAAGAGGTAGAACAGATCACACGGCGTATGTACGCAAAGGCCGAGCAGCGTCGAAAACTCGGCATGCTGGGTCGGTCAAACGTCTACAACAATTTCTCGAGTGATCGGTACCTCCGGGAACATGAACAAATGCTCTGGCTGGGCAAGTACCAGAGCCGCAGCTACGTTACTCGAGGACCGGGATCGTCGAGCAACTCCAGCGGGTTTTTCAAGGAGAAATGGAAGTCGTCGATTCTGATTGAGCAAACCGAGGCGCTTCTGACCCCAAACTCGGACACGTGGTGGACTCCCTTCCGGCCGAGGTTGAATCGAGGAAGTCGTTTTAGTGGCATGATCGAAGGAACTTCGGGAACACAGACACCGGTTTGACCTGTCACCTGGTATAATTTTAATGTATAATCATCAGTCCTTAAAGACTTACCAGCGATGTATATATGCATCTTGCGCATATAATTTTCTATGTTTAACTGATCATCAATCAATAACTAGCTCGTTAATCACTTGGAACCCTGAAGACTTTCGTTACTTGTGCATTGTAAACTTCTGGGAACATCAGGAAGAGGGACATACCATATGTTGCCTAGAAGTCGCGATGTGGACTAGGAGAGTAGCTATAACTACGTTGCTGTGCCCAAACATAGCTGCGATGCCATTCAAATCATTCATTCATCAAGTCAGAATCGGTATCGCTAGATACATGGATACTGTCTGTAATTGCAAACGTCACATAGCCATCAATAGACTTCCGACATCAGTGGAACTTTATGCCTTCGAGTCCTGCTAGACATTAGCGTTCCGGACGGTTATTTGGCGCAAAGCAAAGGAATGAGGACTTGGTTGCTTACCGTCTGCTAAATTGTACATTTCACCGCCATGATCCGATGCACCGTCATCACCTTCCAGGGTAACGACTTCTTCGTCATCGCTATCGTAGAAAACCTCGTCCACCGCAGTAACAATATTATGTTTTGCGGAGGAGAAGAGCTCAGTCGCGTTGTTCTCATCTGCCTTCTGCGTGGTTGAGAAGAAGGGATGATCGGGGCGAATTGTCCACCGCTGGCACACATAACCCATTGGTGTATGGGAAATATCTTGACCGTGACGACGGAGGGCCAGCCACTCCTGTAGAAACTGTAACGTAGTGTCCTTAGTGCGCCGTAGATTACCTTCAGGCTCGACATGGAGGCGATCAAGCAAATCCTGGTATTCGTCGAACTCGAAGTACAATCGTCCTGCCAGTATACCGATCTCAAAACGGAGCCAGAGAGGCGCATTCCAGCCTTCCGGTAGAGATGGAATTGCGTAGAAATTGAGACGATTGAATTGCAACATCCTTTTGGTGAACGGCGCGGCGTAGAGGATCAGGTGCACACGGGGAGTCTCCATAGAGCGGATGATGGGAATCAGGGCTTCCGCTTCCTCCGGGATTATGACCAGAGCAGTGTCTGTCTTCATACTCCAGAGAATCCAATTCACAGAACGCTGTAAGTCACAATGAGTTAAATTCACCCAACTCCCACAGACGCACTTACCGTGTAGTTGTCGTTTCTCTCCCCGCGCCGTAATTCAATCGATCTTATCATTTCCTCCGAGGCGTAAAGCCGAGAGATAATGGAGAGCTCCTTCAGTCCGTGCTTCAGTGCCAGCTCAGTCGACAAAGAAATTTGTGATGCTCCGAGGAAGCCTACTTTGCCTTCTAATGCACCGGAATGGACAAAACTCAGGATTGCTGGATGAATCCCCGGAAAGGTAAGGGCTTTCCTAGGACGCGGTCGCTGTAGCTCCCTTTCCTCCTGAACCTCATATGCCACCTCTCGCTCCTGCTCTACTTCTTCCAGCGCGGAGGTATGAGCGGAGGAGTATTGTTCCTGAATGAGATCGCGATGTCGCCCGAGGTCTCGCATAAATGTCTTTAGCACGCCTCGCAGTTTCAACTCCTCCCGAGCTGACGCCGCCTCGCAATTCTTTCGAGTCTGAGGGTCATAAAGCTGTTCAAGGGTCTGTTGTTCCGGCTGCTGCAGGTAATCAAGAAATCTTTCCCGATGGTTCTTACTCGTGAGGAACTTTTCGTAAGTTGCTGCAGCTTGCATGCGGTAGCAAAAGTCTGCACCTTGAGCGTAGTACAAAGGAAGCAAGTCCTTATTTGTGGCGCAAGTTTGATGAAGTAGCCATGCAATGACGTCCGATGAATCAATGCGATCAGTGGTCTGTTTGTTTCCCACGTCCAGAATGCTTTGATGGACCTCCGGTGGTGCGACAAAAGTGATGGATTGCGTGGTGCCTAGTTGCCGCAGCCTCATGGCGGCTAAGAAGATAGTTAGCATGAGAGATCTCAGAAATTGATTCATTTAATGAGTTCAGACTGTGAACATGAAGTACGGGCTGGCTGGCCGCTGCTGAACTTTTGTTGGCCGTAAGAGTAGAAGTCAGGAACCGTCAGTCCGGCCCATGCTTTTTACGCGTCGGACTGCCCAGCGATGCGGTTCGGCAGGTTGAGACAGAAATATACGCGAAGGCTCACTCAAAAAGACAAACAGAAAAAGAAAGAGAAAGACATATGGAGTCTGATCACATACCTTGTACCGTGTGATCCTTAGTTTGATGCAGAGCAAGTGTCAAGGCGCCTCGAGCATCAAGCGGAAGTTTGAGATCTGTCCCTCGAGTGTGTGCTTCGTCGAGATAGACAAGGCAGCGATCCATATTGTCCACGAAGGGGGTAGCGATCAAAAGAGCGATTTTACCCGTTTGATACTGTACCCAAGGTCTATTGTCCTCCCCGAAATACACTGCAGCTAACGCCTCCTGATCTTGTTGTAACCAAGCCCTAGCTAATGTGTGATTGTCCATCTCGAGAATATAGGCGCCAGCATCAATCAAAATACGTATCTTCTTCAGTCGAAGGTGGTCGAGCAAATCATGTTCCGAAAGGCGTCTGCCGTCGGAACCGGCAGCGACCATGTATTGGCGATTCCTTGGCTGCAGAAGGTAAGTGAGGACCTCTGCATTTGTGTGAGCCAGTTCAGGAAGATCATGTTGCTCTATAGTCAAAGGAAGAAGACGTCGATTATCATTCGTCCCACTAAACCCAGTTGTAATTCCAGCGTGTTTGGGGTAGTCGTCCTCAGGCAACTGCTCGGTTTTACCAAACAACGGGATGTCCCATCCTGAAGCCTGCAATTTGATGCTGAATTGCTTGGCATGGATAGGGAAAACAAAGGATTTGATGAAATAATCGATCACCACTTTCCTGAAACGAAGATGCCGCCAAATCTCATAGACCTGGCCTTCATCATCAACATTTATGATGTTCCAATGGCGTAAGGATTCTGGCAAGGCAGTTGATGTCTGGGTCCAGCGGTCGTATTCCGAAGTCGGGTCGTCGGATCTGAGCACCGCCTGGAGACTTTGACGTAGCTGCTTGAGACTAATTCCCTGGTGGTAAAATGCGAGGCATGTGAATAGGATGGCAACATCGGGATGGCCCCATTCCGCCTGATCGGACGGCACGCCCTTGGCAAGGAAAGGGACGGCCATAGGGTCGCGCGTAGGATGGAGCCCGTATTGGACATTCCATCGCTTCTTTAAGCACAGAAGCAAAATGCCGTGTACGAGCAATCCCCGAAGCAAATAGATAATCTTGCGGAAGTGAGGTTTGTCCGGGAACATGTTGGATACATGCTTGCTGACCGACGCCTCGACAGTCTCCTGGGATATGAAAATTCTCAATGACTGAAGCTCGTGACTTTCACAGTGACCTACGGGCAGAAAGCACGTCCGGCCATCACAAATGTCATCCACTAATCTCTTTAGTAGAGCACGCTCCGCATCGTCCCGTAAAAGGTAGGCAACTGGAAAGTCGGTAGCGGGTCGATTCATAACATCAATGCTGCAAGGAAAGTCGTTTGCAAGGCGCGGTAAGTGATGCGCAACGGAAGCTAGAATGGCCATTGTGACTTCCCAGCGGTAGGGGTGGCCATCAACTGCTAATTGAGAGCCACTGGGGTAGACGAGCTGGGTTCTCACAGCAAGGGAGAAGTCGCATTCGTCGAGGACGTCGCGGCAGACAAGATCCAACAAGTGCTGAGTTCCAACCATATCAGCGGCCTGGGAAATCTTGGAGTCGGAGAGTCGCTGTAGGCCACTGAGCTTGAATGATAAGACATGTTCGGGAATACCGAGAATGATGCCCGATCCGTACAAGCTCTCCTTGTGCAGGTGACGATATTCCTCAATCATGTTTGCAGTTGTTGGAGTCCGTCGTGAAAATGGAACGTGGGTAATCTCCCTGCCCAGCAGTCCCCCGAGCCGAGACTGGAGTATCTGTGCCGTTTGGGAGAGCAATGCCTTTGGCACTAACAGTCGGGCAAGCATCTTTCCATCAGCGAGAACAGCAGCAACCATTGGCATGATGACGGATGTTTTCCCTCTTCCCATGTTCATCTGGAGAACCGAGTTAGCATTAGAGCTAGGATCAATCATCTCTAAGGCTACAGTGACCTGCTCTTCTCGGAGCAGTATATTCGCGTCAAGCTCCAACAACAGCCAGTCAGGGAAGCTGTAAGGCTGCCAGTTGGTGTGGCCACTCTCGCACATTTCCTGATGCAATCTGGCTTTGTCCTTCTTGGCCAGAGCCTCTTTAATTCGGATCAGCCGTTGCAAATCCAGAATTGATTGGCCATACGAAACGAGGGCTTTCTCCATGCCTGGGCCGAAGCAGCACCGTGAAGTGGATCGCAGCTGCTGCAGAAGTGGAACAGGCATGGTACAAGGCCATAGGTTGCCTTGCCTTAGCCAAATATACGTGCAGTTACCGCGTGAGAGAGCGTTGGTTATCTGCTCGCGCCTCTGATTGATGGCTGCCCGTGCGGCCCATATCTCCGCATTCAATGGTTCGACCCCCTTTTCGAAGTCAAGGTCCAAACCCATGCTCGCAGGTGAACGGACAAGGGAAAGCGAAGCTATGCTCTCTTTCAGGTCCCGACCGTATTGTAATTTCACAGGGCACTGAGTATTCAACAGGCCATCAACAATAGATTCGACCTCTGCGACCTCTGAATTATGATTGGCTCTAATTGAGGCGCTCGCGGAACCAAGGAAACCTGGAGAGCCTGAACCGCGTGTGAAGCTGGGAAAAGACTGTAGGCCAGGAGATATCATCTTTGCCTTGGCAAGCTTTCTCAGCCCTTCTAGGCTGCTGTGGTACACATCAATCGAGGGACCCGGCCTCTGCAGAAGGTCTTCGTCGAGCCGGGGCAGATCAAACTCGCGGCGAGCCCGAATTCCGTGAACGATCTCACAATCGAGATTAGGCCATTTAGCAATCACCGGCTTGTCTGATGAGTAGTGCTTGTTCAGGATCAGCTGTGCCTTTTGAAGATGATTATGGAGCTGGAGATTGGCGAAGAGTCGACCCCATTCCTTGTTGATGACAAGCACCGCTTGGGGAACATTCAGACACTCAATATCTATTGCTAGTCCATCTATTGATGGGGCTGAGCATGGCCACTGGCCCAGTAGGAAATCGGTAAATGTTCTCAGAGCGTCGTCACACCTCTTCTGATGTTCCGCCAATGTCGGCTTTGCACGACTGGTAGCTGCTTGCTGTTTCCTGTTCCGCTTTCGTGGCGGAGGAGCTTCCTGGAACGGTTCGAGATATGGCATAGCCAAATCGCTGATCAGTTTGGCAGTCGGTACTTCACCAACCTCGAACTTGGCGAAGGAGGGATATTCCGGCAACTCCAGAGCTTTCAGGTCGTCCAAAACATAGAATGCTCCTATTACCCGCAAAGCTGTCATATCGACGCCATTCCGAAACGCGATTAATCCCAGCTTGAAGAGGATGCCAAACTTCTCCTTAATGGGGGACGCCTTGCATAGCTTAACCAGAGCACCCCAGTGATGTGGAAGTTCAACAGAGAGATAATCGTCGAGTGTGTTTAGGTTGAATGACGTGCTATAACCGCCAATCAATGGCCACTGTTGTAGCAATTTTTCCAGTGAGTGTGTTGTATGAACGGACGGAGGCCGAAGCCTGATAAGATCAACAATCTCTCGGACATTCCCTGTTCGCCTGTTTGAAACCCAACCGTCACGGCTACTATAGCGAAAATCTTTCGGTTGGTGCATTTCAATGGCCTGGTGGAATGAGGAAGTCCGTTCATAAAGTGAACGGCGCCAGTAGGCACGCTGACAGAGGTGCGGTACATTTGATGGCTTTGGACCCTTCGTGGAGGTGGCGGATGGCTCCGGTGAATCCACAGCGAAACTTGTCAATCGCTTAGATTTGAGCAGTATAGTCTCCACGGCGGGCCGGTACCCATCATGCTGAATGAAAGAAGTCAAATTTGGCTTCCAATGCACGATCTGCTGGCATTTCCTGTCTTTAGGATAATACTCGCGTCGAGCGGTCAGGTCCGCGATTGATTGTAAGATTCTAATTTCCAGCTCCGTTAAAGGATTCCACGGTTGAAATTGTCCAGACTGCAAGGATACAAGAGACTCCTCTGTCCCTGTTTGACCTGTGAGTGTATCCGGTATGAACGACGATGTGACCGCGTGCAGTAGTGCTTTAGTATAGAGGATCTGGAGGTCCTGGGGGCTCTGTAATCTACCCAGCACGTTGTCAACGATGTATCTTGCATACAGGCCCATGTTTCGAATTCGGACGGCGACGTGCATGCCTTTCCGTATGCATTCAAGCTCTCCCAGTGGAACAATGATACTTCGCTGTGCACGGTTGTACACGTTGCGCAGGACGAGCATACTCTGCAGCCCATAGAAGGTGCCAGCGTCCTGGTTTGGATCCACCTCAGCACTCAGCTGCTTACATTGCAACAGATTTTTCTTGTTGACGTAAAAGGTCAAGTTCATGCGTTTCAGGTCGACGCAGAGAGGGCCGTTCAACGGCTGGGTAACCATTATATTGCACGGTTCTTCAAAATGGCGGAAGATCTGGGTTATCGAACGAAAGATACTGCTGCGCTGGTCTATCAAGGACATTCGCTTGCGCTGGGCCCTACGACTTCGAAGATTCAAGACCCAAAAATCGTCGTTCCACATCCGCGCCTGCCGCCTCACGTAGAGAATTCCTGAGTTGATATCAAGCCAATGAACGCATTCTTCGACCAACGTGGCTGGAAGATCCAAATCAAGGCCAGAGCCATGACCAAAGACAGCACGTGGCACAAGCTCCAGAATTGAACCAGCCTTCACTGCTCGCACGACCAACTCCTTGCTTCGATAGCCGAGGTGTATCTGGTAGCCCTCCTTGTCAAGAGCAAGCACATAGCGCATGCCTGGCATATTGGAAGGGAATGCGAAAAGCCTCTGATTCCCAAACAAAGTCCTTAAAAGTTCGGAATCAGTGATATCAGTCGGCAGCTTTCCGATGGTCTGTCCATCTAGGAGCAGGTGACCCTGGAGCAGGTGGAGATGGACCACTTGAGGGTTGCCAGCACCATTGGATCCATGGGCCGTCGCTGTCACCCAGCAGGTATCGTTCAAAATAGGAGCAAATTTCCAATCAGTGTAGGACCGTGCGGTCGCCGGCCAGGTTGAATCCAGAGCCTCGTTGACAGCGCTTGGATGCTGCTCCATCCAAACCCCAAGCCTGCGCTGCATCACAGCGCCCATTTTTATATCGCGAACGAGCATGCTGCGGGTAGTGGAACTAAATTTGGTAAGATCAACGACTAGACTCTCCTGCATGGCGAGAGACGTTTCAACGAAGACCTTGAAATCTTGTGCAGTCATTGCATAATTTTCATAGGCCTGGGGCAGGAATGTTCTGCGGCATAAAAGAGCAGACAAGAAGCAATGACGAGCCGCTTGAGTTGCCGTGTCGGCCTCCTCAGAGTTACGCATGAGATCACGAAGAAGGTGTATCCAAGAGAGCGTGACCCTCCTGATACGGCAGATGAGCTCGTACGCATCGAAGCGAGCCGCTGAACAGCAATACGACCAGAGTTGAAGCGCCAAAAGAAGCATAGTTTCCATGTAATTCACCTCCCGCCAGTTTGCCGAGATTATATCAATGTGCTGATGGAGAAGCTCGTTGAGCCTCCGACAGAATTGAACATCTCGAAACACAATATGCACAGCTCGTAGGGTATCGTTCTCTAGTCCGGGCCCAACCTGGAACGCAAGCAGGCGCACCAGGGCGACGGTATCTTGTAGGCTAAAATCAATGTTCGAAGACCCTAGTTCGATGAGCATTGAAAGCCAGCGTCGGTTCCTCCCTCCCATCAGGTGATGGCTGGCCTGGTATTCATGCAAACTGAGGCAGGGAGGGCATTTATTAGCGCTAGCAACTGTCTCATAAGATGACGGGCCCGGCCCCTCAACTGCAAATAGTACCGACGAGTACAGAGCTGCAAATGGATTCTGCTGGGGTAGACTGATGCTGAAGTGATGGGCGAACGTTAGATCTTTTCTGGTAAACGTTCTCACCCAGACCTTGCGTTTTGAGTCGTAATAAACAAACTTCAAACCTGAGGGTAGCAGGACCGTCGAGCTCCTAGCAGGCAATGCTTTCCAGTTGTAATGTGTTTTCAAATAGGATTTTGAGAAAGACGCCAGAGTAAGGCCTTCGTTCTTCCTTGTTGTATGATACTTTTCCAACTGTGAGTAGCTGCCAAGCAACATTTCTGGCTCTCCAAAGTCACTGGGACCGTCGGTAGGAGCTCTGCTGAGAGTGGCAATAATATTCCATGTCGCGGCACGGTAAGCTTCAAACCACTTTGGCAAATTGAGTTCAAAAACAACTGCCCGCTGCCTCGCCGTATCGTCATCTGGAGGAAGAAAGTCCTCATGAACGTCTATTTTCAGGCGGCGTCGCCTGCGAATATAGTAACAATGGCTACAGCCCCGGATGTCGTGGGTTCCGTCTGGATGCAGGCGCTGTGTGCAGGCGTTCATTGTTTTCTTCTCTGTTAGGTCACGAAATTCATTGTTGATCCGCTCGAGTTCCGCGACCTTGTCCTCTCGAGCTTTCAGCGACGCGGCTTTGATCTTTCTCTGGAGCTGGTGCATTGGCTCGCCATCCTCTGAATCAAAGTACCGGTCTGCAAAGCATCTAAGCGAAGGGTCATCAAAGATTGTGCTTCGGTCAGCCCGGGCTTGCTTGCAGCGAATACTGATGTAAACCTGAATTTTCTGTAGGCGCTCCATGTCGCTAAGACGCGAGAGTAGTATCACATCGAACAACTCGGGCTTCACCCAGGGATGATATGATTTGAGCAATGGACACACCGCCGTGGCGCACTTGTCCATATGAACCCACATTTCGAACAAGTTCAGAATAAAAATCCCCATTTGCTCAGGATCATCCTGGTATGCATTGCTGGCGGTATTGAGATAATCTTCAATCGTCGAGGCGATATTCATACATAACGCTTCGCAATCCACCTTGGTGCGGGGAGCCTCTCTTGCCTCGGACTCTATGGCTCGTTCTCGGTCAGCGAGAGCAGAATAATTCGTAACAAGGTCAAGGAAGGGGTTTGTTGTCGCTTTTTGTATGTTGCGAGTCAGTTGCTTTGAATCAATGCTAAGTGGTTGCCAAGAAGCCTTCTGGGGAGGCTTCAGAATCGAGTGAAAAAATCCAGCACTATTCCGCAGACTTATCTCCAAATCATTCCGGTGCGCGTAGAGTGGAAGGGATGGTATCTTGCGTTCGAGACTTCTTTTGAACGATTTCCACTCTAACTCCAGAGCAGTGGTAGCGTTTGAGACTGACTTCTGGCACATCGGACCGACCGCTGATAACAAGTTCCCGTAAGAGTCGGCGACAGATCCAGTACAATTTTCCTTCTCTTTCTCCAGCTTGGCCAAGCGCCGACAAAGCTTGGACTTCAGGAAGTGGCAATGCTCAGGACTGAGGTGATTGACGGCATCGTCCAGCAGGCCCGACATCAGCGCACATAAGAGGACTTTGTAGTACAAGCGACCCAGTGCCTCTCCCAGGCGAAAGATCAGCATTCGCTCAATGCAGACTCGTAGTACAAGCCAGAAGGGGCTCCGCCGCCAAGGTAGCTCCGCGTTGTTCCAGCAGACATCGTCTCTTACGCGCTTTCTGAGAAGTGGGGGACAGGCTCGCTCGCCATTCGCAGCAACGAATGTCATCAGAAATTGCGTTATGAACCCAGGATCCGTTGAATCTCTAGTCTCGGAGACCTCGGCTCCCGCCTTCCGTGTCTTGGGTGCGAACTCATGTATAGGCTCAGTGCTCGCCTTTTCGAGAAGTGCTGCAAAGTTTGACTGAAAGAGGGGATCCGCGAAATCGTGGAGAGGCAATAACACTGCTTGACCAGGGAAGTCCCATGACAATGCTCCATCTGCCGCCAGGGTTTGTTCTGTTGTTGGAGATGTCTCAAAAGCTTCGATGACCACTACATCTTCGTCATCGCTAGACAGAGTTAGAATATTTGCGAGATATAAGAGAAGGACATACCGTGGTCTCCGTAGATATAGACAAGCGTTTTGCTGGGCAATGTGGAGAATAAGTGCATCACCGGGTGCAATTTCCTTGAACGCACGCAGCGCCGCGTCTCTGTTGACGAAGGCGTTCCCATTCAGAAGTATGCATGTCCGCAACAATTTTTCAATAGGATCCCAGATCGCTGACTTATCACAGGCAGTCCTGAGTGTGTCCACCGACTGAAGGAGCCGTTCAACCAGCTCTTTGTTTACCTTCTCGGTCTCTGCGTTCCTATCATGGTTTCCTGGAAGCTGTGGGGGCAGTGCGACATGATTAAACGTCAAGGCCAAGATGTTAGGCTCGGCCATGTTTCAAGCAAGTCCTACAACGAGAAGTTAGTCGGGTTGTGTTACATACTAGGTTCAGCAGTGATTTTGAACCCCTTTGATGTCAACACATAGGAGTCATCAAGGAGAGTTTTTGACATGGTGCCTACCAGAAACGAAGGCGCCCTGGCTAGCCTCGCCAAACGGGGTAGCTGGGCCTGCGAGAGGATGAGCGAATATCAAGTAAGGTAAAAACACACCACGACGCAAAAGAAGGATAACATAGGAGAAAGCGATCAATCGAGGCAGGGTCGTGGATAGGTGTTTGGGGGTTTTTCTGAAGGTCGATGTGCGATGCTTCAAGCGCTAGCAAAGTCACCTGATTTGTATACTGTCCTGGGGCCTGAGGCAAACAAATACAAAATGGTAGCTGTTCTTTGTTTCCCTCACCTACCTGGACTGTTGGACAGATGCCAGTGTTGCTTACCCTTCCACTTGTACTCACTCGTGCTTTCGCAGGCCCCGAACGCAGCATGGATTGTGTATATCAACGCGAAGGGTCTATATCTGTGCATATTCAGTTTCCGGCTCGCACAAGAGTGACTTGAGCATGTCTGAATAAGAGACATAGAAGAATCTGTTTGGTGTCACCATGACATGGCCGTCCACAAGAATGGAGTGCACTTTTTATCATCTCTGACATTGGGGTTGGGCTGGCCCTTTTTCAAGAAGCAAGTTCACGATCTCATATCGATGCCTTTTAGCGGCAAATGGAAGGACCTTCTGACCCTTTCCTCCATCTCAGTCACGCGGGCCTCGATTTAGTCGAGGGCAAAGATCTCATTTCTGTCAAGGTAGGAAGCTTATAGCAAGGTTACCAGGCAAGTCAGGGAGCTAATGCAAGTCTCTGCTCCTAGTTAGACAGCTCCCATCCATGCCAGTCTGGTTCAGCCAAAGGCAGCATCACAACAGTCACCTGCCTCGCTTTACAACTGGACATCAGCCTTCCTAAGACAGAAAGGGGCCTCCTAAACACAGCCGTCCTGCTCTTCTAGACACTTTGTTCAACGAAACTCAGCCAGGTAGTGGATCTGACCGAGCTGCGGATTACAAATCACCACTTAATGATTCCCCTCTCAATACAGCCCGAACAGCCTCGACATCAGCTTTGCTCATACCAATCACATCCACCACAAACGTCTCCATTCCGCCATATTTCACCTGGACAGCCTCCAGAAACGCCATCATGTACGAAGCCTTAATAGCAGCAAACTGCTTGAAACCTGCGGCTCCGGGAGCGCGCTCAGGCCCATGCCTGTTGCAATGAGCACAGAAGATACTCTTTCTCTGTCTCAATGCCAACTCTTGTCAGGGCTTAATCCCGCGCAATAAGTTCGTTTGGAACACCTGCAAGGCTCAGCAGCAGTGCCGAAGCAACGCCGGTACGGTCTTTACCCGCTAACATTGTGCAAGTGCTAATCAGTAACGTCTTGCTTACTGTTGGGGCCTAGTGACCTGGTTCAACATACCATGGCAATGAAAAAGTATAGCTTTCTTCTCCCTTGAAGATCCAGCACTCAACTCGTCTTAGATATAGGTTAGCAGTCCCTTGAAGCTTGGTACATGGGATTCCAGGATATATAAATACATATCTCTATACGCATCGTTGCCGTCATTGGCGGTAAAGTCGCTCAGGTTGACTGGTGGGGGTGTCCCTACTTGGGGCTGCCAGAAAAGCTTGACCTGCTCATGTAATTGTGGAGGGGGAAAAAGCAACCTTTCCCTGTGACTCGAAGGTCGAAAACAGCACCCAGCGACAACTCTGACACGAGTTGGGATTTTCCGACTTCTGTGAGATTGGCGAGGAGTCCAGAGCGGTAGACCAGGCCGGGCTGGATTCCCGGGTGGCCGATATGACCTAAATCACGGATATTGAACACCCCTTCAACAATTCGGAATGGTGGCCTGCTAAGAACGCGAGTGAGGGCATCCTGGGGAATAGACTGGTCGATCTCAAAGTCTATAAAATCTGCCAACTCGAGATCGGGAGCGACGGGGCTCGCGGTGATGGAACCCATGCTTTGATGACTAGGTGTATTTACTGGCCCACTGTTCAAAATCACGGCGAATATGTCTCTCTTCAGAGGGAATGGTGACTTCTGTAAGGACCATGGTTGATGATTCACGGCTCCTTAAATGTCAGCTTCAACCCGTATCACTACGTCAGGGTGTCTTCGCCAAGGCTTCATCTCGTATCCGTCAGCCTATAAGATCATTGAGGGGCCAGGGTCTTTTCGTGATGCTATTTATGGTGCTATCGGAGTTCGGCATGCTCGGTTCCAGATCTGTTGCAGGAGTATGGACCGCACAAAATGCCCCGAATTTAACCAAGTGCCGCTCAACTGGTTGACTAGGGGTGAAGCAAGAACAAGATGTGCAGGCCAAGGTGCAAGGCGCTTGGAATCTCCACAACGCCTTCAAGAACCAGACGGCGCTTGACTTTTTCATCATGACAAGTTCGCTAGTTACGCTGGTGGACCAGCCCGGGCAAGGCAACTATCCCGCGGCGAACACTTTCTTAGAGTCTTTCACGCAATACCGGCACAAACAGGGCCTCCCAGCATCCGTACTGGGAATCTGCCCCGTCGATGACATCGGCTCCGTGGCTGAGATTCCAGCCCTCCGCAAGAAGCTCAAGGCGCAGGTCTCTTCTTCCTCCCGGAGCGGGAACTGTTGGACTACATGCATCTCGCCATCTTGAACTCGCACCCCTCTGCCGCTTCACAGGAGGCCCCCTCGGACCCGACACAATCGTGGGCCAGCTCAGGATATATCATCATGGGTCTCCGGGCAGAAACACACCTTGAAGATCCCAACTGTCAGGTCAGCTGGCGTCGCGATCGCCGCATGGGCATGTACCACAACATCCCCTACAACCATGGGTTAACTTCAACTTTTGCATATTCTAATTCATCTAATATGCATTGCATTAGCTCAGTTACCAACTATTCATGCAGTGTTTATCAGCTGGGGCATTAGTTATAGCATTTAGTCTTTTGTAGGGTTTCAGGTTCAAAAGTATGAAAAAGATATCCGACTTGGAGTTAGAGTAATTTATCTTTTTATTAGAAATGTGGTTAGATTCATAATTAAATATTATCTTACAGTAATAATTAATAATTTTCGTTCTTAAGGTTCCTTTATAAAAGCATTTAGTATACGATGACAGTAGAAAATGAAGCAGAGTTTGCGTACGCCCAGGCCGTTGTCGGCATCAAGGCGGCACCAGGTCCATAAGCCTAAGCCATAGGTATCCCAGTCATGACCGAGGCCACACCCTTGGGACCGAGAACGTCCTCAAGACTGAGGAAAGAATACGCCAACTCGTCCGATTTGCCCTTATCATAAGCAACATCATCTTGGATTGGCTTTTTGTTCTTGCAGAACACTCTCAGCTCTTTACATGCCACATCTCCATTCTTCTTCAAGTATTCCCGCATCACGTCGCCAGCGCTCGTGACGATCCGACTCCCTACCTCGGTTCCGCCAGATGCAAGTCCCATTGCACGCGCACCTTGGGCCGAGCCTTGCGCAACGTGGTGGATGAGAAGGACAATGTTTGAGATGAAGGACTCGTCAGGCATGTACGCCGACGTGAAATATTGAACAAATTTATGGTGCTCCTTGTCTCGGATCAGCCTGAGTAACTCGACAGAGCGTTTGTGCATGCCGAAGTAGTTGTACATCAAGATAGGCTCCTCTTCGAATAGCTTGCTCTTCAGGAACGCGAGAAGCTGAAGCGTGTCGATGTTTTGCGCATTAGACCACTTTCGGGCAATGATGAGTTCCAGATTGGCTCCCTGAAGCTCCTTGCTGGATGATGCAAGCTTCGATTTCTGCGAAAGCTCGTCCAAGATCCTGTCCATGTTTGAAATCCCGCCGTCTTCCTCGTCACCACCGACGTACTGGGCGAAAAACAAGTTCGCGACTGCAGTGGTGGGCTTGAGCAAGCGGGGATTCTTGCCGTCAGGCTTATGGAATCGATTCTTGCGACGGGAATCGCGGGCAAAATTGGTAGCGGATGAGATGCCTGCGGCCAACTCCAGCCTGTTCAGCGATTCATCGGCATTCTTTGGCCGTGAACCAATGAAAATATGAGACTCGCCATGGATCTTGATAAAAGCTTCCATATCAGGCCATCTCAGGTCTTTGTGTGTTGGAGAATTTATGACGAGGTTGTGCAAGAAGGCCAGTTGCTGGACGTCGTACCATTGGGTGACGAGCTGCTGGCCAACCAACTGCATTCGAACATTGAGGTTGAACAGGATCAAGCCGCAGAGGATGGCGTGCTGCGAGAGGAGTGAATGCTTTTCAGGTGGTGAGCCAATTCCGTCGAGTTTAGACAGGACTCGAATATCTAGGAACAGATCTTGTATGATCCATGACTTCACCGTTGACCCTATATTTTGAATCTCCTTGTCACCCTCTTTTGGCCAAAATTTGGGCTGAGGGTGTGTTCTTGACAATTGCAGGTAGTCATCGATAGTCTTCTGGATACGAAGTCCAGACATTCGGAGGTCTCCAAATGCACCCATGGTACTGTGTCGCATGATATGATGAACGTCGAGGAAGATCTGGGAGGCGAAGCAAAGCCACAGAGTAGCCCTTTTGGTTTTGGCAAACTCAGTAAGACCTCGAGTTATCGCGTCCTCAGTAGGCATCTGGATTTTGAATGTATCAACCATGCAAAACTCTGGCAAAATCGAAAGAAGGATGATCTTGTCTTCGTTGAATTTCTGACCTAGAGACATCCGCTCTCTGTCCGCTTTCGGATTGTAGGTGCCGAAGTAGCCTTTCTTAAAGACTGGCTGATGATTGACCTGGAGAACATTTGCAAAGGACTCAAGCAGGACCTTAGTTGGCAGATAGCACCAGTCGGCTATATCAGCCATGTTCTCGTTGTATGGCAGGCCAATCTCAGTGGATGGAGACGCGCAAATGCCACGGTTAAGAACAGCAAGCTTGTAGATAACGTTCTGGACATCATCCCTTTTCCCCCTTAGGGAAGTGCGCCAGTCAGCCTCCACCTCCTGCACAAGATCTCGGGCAAGCCGCAAAGCACTGTCAGTCACAACAGCAGCATTCATAAGATCGATTTTCTTATCTCGATACTCAGACCATGTTGTGGAAATGAACATTCGCATATTGTTCAAGTCTCGAAGTAAGCAGAGGGTCTTGAAGAACAACTGACTAAGATACGGGTCTGCTGCCTCATTGTCGTCCTCTTCAACAACAGTCACCTTGATGACCTTCTTCGATTCTGCGGGCGTCGGTTGAGTTTGCGCAGCAGTATCCTGGGGTTCCTCCACGGTGAGAACGGCAAATTTGTTTAGAAACCTGTCAGCATCGGCGTCGTCAATTTGAGCCTCCGAAGTCGGCGGTGGCTGCTTAGTGTCAGGCTTCGAGGGCTGGTTGGTCTTCCACTCAAGCGTCTCGCAAATTTGCTCCAGCGCGGTGATGAAATGAGCATGACGCTTGTTGTCTATGGAGTCGCCCTGGCCCAAGAACCAGGAAGTGACCGCTTTCCTCAATTTAATGGCGCGTTTCGCGATGGTGAGAACTGACTTCGGTACCGTGACAGCAGAACTGGCGACCACCTCGGCGAGCTTTTGCAGATCTTTGGTAGTCGCACTATAGTGAAGTGGATTTGCAACTAAGCCATCCTTTTTGCCTTTGCGTTTGCCCTTTTCCGCGGTGGAAATGGTAGCAGAGAGGGGAGGTGGCCGATAGCCACATTGGTTAGCTGTATCCAGTAGCCATGTTGCAAATGCATTAGTATCCGCTTTGTAACGGGCGTAACTACTCTGCAAAAATTCAGGTAGCATATTGGCGATTGAAGGCCACACAAGTGAAGGAATAGCCGCTGGGTGGACCAGGAGAGGTTCAGGGAGGACCTGGACAGGGGAAGTTCCAGGGTCCCGCGGGAGCTGATATAAGTGCATCTGTTGGGTCACATGAGTAGCCTATAAGGCATTCTGCCAGATATGGTCCCGCTTCTTGTGCGACACCATGAAGCGCATATGAGTGAACCCACAGGCCCACTTTAATAAACTAGCTAGTGGAACAACCATGATGGCTTTAAGTGTTCACTCATCAGTATGAAACACACCGCCAAATTCCACCTTCTCATCCCATCCCACAGCGCTCTTGTCATAGACCACCTGGTTGTCTTCCATGACAATCTGCTCCCACTCACAGTCACTGGACAAAGTCATCGGTATGTGGATTCTGTCTGGTTCAACCTTCGCCGAAAGCAACAGGAGCTGCACCTCAAATGCGTTGGGGCCTTTGAATCCCGAGAGAAGATTGTTACCCAGGCCGGTATCCTAGGTTTCGTGGCCTGCTGGGCAGGCTGTACGGCGTCCAGTATTGCAGCCGGTATTTTCCCTCCTTGTGCTCCTGTTGCATGGACTGTAGCCATGTCTTGTTGGGCTGGGGGGTAGCAGCATCATAGGGCACCGCTGCTGGAGGGATGTATCTACCATGCTGCTACTTACAAGGAGACCTGTGTTCTGGGAGACGCAATAATTTTTGCAGATGATATTTAAAGTGACAATTTCGAAAACCGTGCCCAGAGCATTCTCTGCAGATTTCCAGTATTTTGCAACGACTCGTTAGACTGAATCCAATAACTACATTCAAAGTCGGGAGACGGCTAAAGATATGCAGCACTTTAAGATGTTCCTTATGAAACGAGTCTTACTGAATACAGATCGCGGTGTTATATATGGAACCGATCGTCGAACAATGGATATTTGAATTGTTGACAGATAGACGGACGTACGGAAACGGTTCGAGCACCCTGCTTGGTTGCAGCTGGCCCTCCGATCACCCCACCGACACGAACGCAAGAGTCGGCCTGGTCATTGACGAGGAGTTGGGCTTCGTCGTGACCAGCGGCATCGTTCCGGGTAAGGTCTACCCCTACCAGAACATCTCCGCCTTCATCCCAGACAAAATGACGTCGGCGCAGGATGCGCAGGTGGAGTACTTGGAGGCAATGAAAGCTAAGGGTACTGAGCCGCTGCTGTCTCCCATCGAAGCCACCGGCGACACTCTCGAAGTGCTCCAGTACTACAACGACAAGCTCCAGGCTATGCAGATCAATGTCTACCTGAGCGGCCCGAATATGACATCGCCCTGGTTGTAGTAGATGTTGTTGATGCGATGTGGGGGTTTTTGGTCGCATTGCACGAGACGTGTGAGAATGTTGGGTCCAGAGTCGTGTTTGTGACTATCTCCCTCGCTGTCAACTTGCTGAATTTTCGTCTTCGCATGACCGATCAGTGTGAGTTTTTCAACTTTAGCATTCCTCTTCTTATTCCATTCTTTTCGGTCAATCTATCACTAAAACCAGTCATGAAACGGCGTTTAAATAGTTAGTTCTTAAATCAATAAAAAATAATTTGAAGCCAGTATTTAACTGAGTAATGAATACTGTAAATAGTTAAAAAAGAGATCACTCCCTATTCAAGAGACACCTTAAACAGAATTTACTTTGACTACAGCTTATATTTGATTGTGTTGCCTTAGGCAGACAAAGGGGCTTGGCACCGTGACTGGCCCGTTTCAGGAAGTTATCCAGGGGTTCAACTCAGGATAAGCTCACCCGACCCTTTGGAAAAGGTCAGATAAACTCAAAAGTGGGTCAGCCAAAGTAGTTAATGACTAGTTATAGATATAGTTGATAAGATTCTTAAATCTTAATTGATTCTAAACTAGTTAGAAAAAAGCCTCAATGAAGTTACTAACTAGTTCTAATTAGTAAATAATTCTAATAAAATACCCCCTAAAGGTAGGTAGTATCAAAAAATGGTATAGTATTGTATTAAGCTTAGCTGACCTTTATAAAAATTCCAGTGACTACAGGTCAGCCGACCTTTACTAAGGAATTCAGTTAACCAAAGTGGGTCAGACAACCCTCACAGTTCAACTTGGCGTTCTTCTCGGAACTCGACACTTTGGTGGAAACAGTTTTGGTGCGTTTGACTCTCAAATCTTGCTCTGTTGCCCCCAGAGACGAAATTAATATCTACCATTAGCAATTTCTATGGAGCTATTAACCTGAAGTACGCCGGAAGATGTCATCTTACCTCTGGGGGAAGGTTGCGTGTCGGCAAAACAGCCATGCGATAGATGACTCCTTCATTTATTTTTATTATTCAAGTGTACCTTAGGTTCATAGTTAAGGACTAGTTAAAAAGATATGTAAAAGGTCAAAAAATATTACAGAATGTGTATATATCTATTATCCAGGTTACAGGTGACACATCCCTTCAGAGGAGTTTGGGTAACCTAATTATTAACTACCTTAGTTGATTGAAAGAAAAAATGTAAAAGGGGGGCGGTAAAGATGAGGAGAGATATGTAAGAAGGTAAGTTACAGTATTAAGCTCAGTCGACCTTTATGGTGGAGATATGTTATGTGATCAGGGGTTGAACCTCAGCTACATTCACCTGAACTCTTGCAAAGGGTGAGGCCACCTGTAGTCAGTCTTAGTAAAGGTTGGCTGACCCACTTATTAGTTTATCTGACTTACTTTTAGTCTATCCGACCTTTTCCAAAGGGTGGGCTGACCTGTATCTTGATTTTTCTCAGACCATGATGTTTCCCACTTATTCAGTTTTGCTGCCCCACGTCCTTCATTTAAGAGTAGATAGATCGATTGGTCTGACTAGGTACAGAAGGTGCGCCACTGTTGGAGACGCCGGGCCTGGAATGCCTTGACGGAGATATGCTTAACATGAACACCGAGTCTTTGATCTTAGGCAACCTCCTGCCCACTGATAATGATCGGAACAACGCCATTCATCGTTTTGTGCTCCAACTTTTCCTCGATGACCACGGTCCCGGTGGTGCCATTGAGGTTCGTGGTGCTATCCATATCAGTGTCATGAGTGCCGTTGATACCGTTGATACCGTTGACTCCACTGGAACCAATTTCACGAGCGCTGTCAATGCCGTTGGTCTTTGATTCTGCCGTTTCTACAGAGTCCTTGTCGGCGACAGTAGCCGGCACATCGCCATTGCTGCTCTTACGCTGCCCTTCGGGATCTAACCGACTCAATAGCTCCTGAGGGAGCTTCTGCGCGACAACCTCCACCAAATCCGTGATGGAGGCGCCGCCTAGAATCTTCATGACTGGCACGTCGACTGCGAGCTCCTTCAAGAGCCAAGACCTTACTTCCACTGCTACCAGACTGTCAACACCCATGTCCACTAGAGGCGTAGTGTTGTACAAGCTGTCAGAATCCGACAGGAATTTCAACGCTTGCAGCTTTCCTTTGAAGGCACCTAAACGGACTTGTCAGTGGCCGGGTAAGGGGCATTGAAGCATAATTCCACGTACCTGAAAGCACCTTCGCCGCGTCTTGCATTGTCCTGGCCGCTTCTAGCAGTTGTCGCAGAGGAACCGCGTTACCCCTCTCTCCACCCTGTGTATCCCCCTGTCCTACCTCTCTGATCAACAGCGACAGCCTTGTATTGGTCTTCCAGTATGCGTCCTTCGACTGCTCAGCGGTGATGGGCGCCAGACCCGTAATGATCTCCGGGTTGAGACCGAGGTCCGGTCGTCCGGACAAGATCGCCTCCGCAAACAACTGGTGCAGGTCATTCTCACTCATCGCAATAGTTCCAGACCGCGTAGTTAGACGCTCCTGGTGCTCCTTTGTCAGACGGCCGTGGCTTTCACGCTCGATAAAGCCCAGCCCCACTAATCGAGTGATGTCAATTACTGATCCAGCCAGGCCTTGCTTACGCCGCCGGTCGACGAGTCCCTTGATGAAACAGTTTCCAGCGGTGTAGGCCGATTGTCCCGGGTTGCCGACGGTTGCGGCGACCGAACTGAACCCGATGAACCAGTCGAGTGGTTGGTTGGGATCGCAGAAGAGCCGGTCGAGATTAATCGTGCCTTGGATTTTGGGACCTAGGACCGCTTGGAAATCGTCGAAGCTCATCTTCATGAAGGAACTGTCTCGCAGAACCATGGCGCCATTCGCAACACCCCCAATGGGCGGCATGGACTCCTTGATAGCGTCATGGATTTCTTTCATGGATTCGAAGCTGGTGATATCCCTAAGGAACAAAGGTGGTTAGCGATGTTAATTTTTGAAGCGGATGAGTCCGTTTGCGTACCCTCCGAAATACCTCACCGTGGCACCTCTTGCCTTTTGCCATTGCACCCAGTCTTCGTCGACAGTGGGCTGACGGCTGCTTAGCACAATATTCCGAGCATTGTGGGCAATCATGAAATCGGCCAGGGATCGACCAGTGTCTCCGGCGAGACCAGCTAGCCAGTAGGTGCGATCGGGACGGAACAGATCACCACGTTGCGTAACGGGCTCAACAGAGACCGGCACGTATTGATCCTCTTGCCAGTAAACGAGCGAGCGGGGATTTGGTACTGCAAAGTTCGCAACCACCCGTTTGAGTGGTAAGATATCAAGTGGTGCGCCCTCTGGAGTTGCTTGTGCGGTTAGCAAGGAGGAAGCGAACGAAGCAACGCGACGGAGCAGATCTGTGATGGCTTCAGGGGCATCGTGCGGAAGAACGGACGCTTCTGATGCAGTCAGGCTAGACATCTTGACCTTGTCACAGACCGATGATAGGCAGGTCGCAATCTTGGATCCGAGACTTTGGGACTGAGATTCGTCGGCTCCGGAGGCGTCGACGTACAGGGTAACGTCGGCCGGTAAGAGGGCAGTGATGGCTCTCTTGGTGCTGTTAGGATGGAGGTACACCCAGTTTCGGCTGGACATTTCCGGACTAGAAGTCATGAAAAGAGCCTTCCTGCCCAGCCTGTTCAACTGCTGAGATAGCAGAGATGCTGCAACTGGATCTGGCTCGTATGCCAGCACAGTTCCTGCGGGTGGCAGCATTTGCAACACCCATTGGACTGTGAGATCGGCAATGGCAAACGACATGAATTGTCCGTCAACCTCGACCTCGTCAAGGGTTATCGTCCAGGACTTGGGGGCCTTGACGATGGACTCGTTGCGGCTGGTGAAGCAAAGTGTCTTTTCTCCTGTCTTGACATCTTCTCCGAGACTGACGAATACATATCCCACTGGGGTCTTTATTGACGACAAGAAAGAGCAAGAGACACTGACTGTAACAAGCTCCAGTGAATCTCTCTCTATGGCGTGCTGCTCCCGTACCCTGTACGAGCCGTCGACCAGATCTAGAGCCAAAGGCGTCGTGTGCACGTCCACATTGTGAGTAATTGATCTCTTGGATGAGTTGTATCGATTGTTCTGCCCATCATGCGGACGAACTCTTGGGACATAAAGCTGGCCGTCCTTGAGAACGAGTTCTGGTTCGAACTCCCAGCGTATCTCATCCGTCCCACCACGTCTGGCCATGTCCGACTGGAGCCTGAGCTGGCACATTGACTTTGCAATGACTGAGCAGTCCTTTATATCGACGGCGTCAATATCCAGAGTCTGCAATAGGGTCCCGGGAACTTCGTAGAAAAGAGTTCTGAAGAGACCGAGCGTAGTTCCGGCATGGGGATTATTCGATCGACGATCCCGGAGCAACCAGAGTACACTCGATGCAGATCCCAGCACTGTCTTTAGATTCGAGAAGACAGACTCCTCAATGTCCTCGAACAGGTTTGCGTCGCACTCCGCGAGACTGAGGACATGGTAGCTCTCAGGAAGGGGTGGCAGATTCGCGAACTGGTCAACTTTAATGACATCTGCGAACTGCGGCCTTAGATTGAGACAGAGCTGGTCCCTGAACGGCGATACAAATGGACTGCTACCACCTATAACAAGTAAGGGAGTTTTGTCTGTTGCCGTACTAGACTTTGAGCTGAGAGGCCTGCTCAACTGGCTGACGAGATCATTTTGAGCCCGAGAAACGATAATGGATCCGGGCACGACCACTGGGTCCCGCATGGGCGAATTAGTCTCGATACCACTGAAGCCGGTCTCTCGAAGGATCTTATCCCATTCCTCGAGAGTAATACTTGGGCCCCCGTAACGACCATCGTTCTCGCCGATCCACCAGCCTGGGAGACCGCCCATGACGAGACCATGGCGCATCACGTCGTTGCGGATGATCTCATCCATCACAAGATAACCACCCGGACGCAAGAGCTTTCGTGTATGTTCAAGGGCGGATCTCAATGACTCGGTCGCGTGCAAGACATTGGAGGCAACGACAACATCGTAGCTCTGCGGGGTGAAGTCCTGTCCAGCGGGGTCCTTCGTGATATCCAAGGTCTTGAAAATCATCTTGCTGACGTGCGATTGGAAGTGGTCTGCAGCATGGCCGAAGAAGGCACTGGAAATGTCGGTATACGTATAAGATGAATAGGAGTACCCGATCTTCTCCAGGATCGCCTTGGTCGCGCCACCAGTTCCAGCGCCGACTTCAAGGAAGTTCATTCGGGCAGACTTCAAGCAAAGCTGTTCCATCACCCCGGCAATCAAGAAGTTGAGCCGCTGGAACCCGACGGCATTTACATAGTACTGCTCAAGGTAGTTATCCTTGGTCATGTATTGCAGGATGCTGGTATCTCCATTCAGCACCGGAGGCAGAAGAAGATGTTCTCCGACGGCCTTGGTCAGGTTGAAATCGGCGTCTGTCGGAGGATAGCTGTCCATCATCTTGAATATATCGTCTCTGGTATCACTCACCCAAGACTGTGAGGCAAACGGATGTTTCCCGTCCTTGACAATGTGGAACAGCCGCTCAGCGTTCTTCAGCAAAGACTGTCGATACCACGGAAGGGTCTCGCGCTGCTCCGGACTCACCGAGAGATGGAAGATCTTGAGGTAGTAAAACGCCGCGCGCTCAGCGTCGAGAGCCTTCCTGCTCTCCTTGGGAGTCGCCTGTCTATCCCCAAAGATAACATCCGCGTTCGGCTTATCAAGGCACAGGAACGACTCCTGGAAGAGATACCGGTCGTCCTCAACAGTCGCGCCCGCAAACGGGGAGAAGGTGAGCCCCTCAACCTCGATAATCTTCTCCTGGAAACCCTCTGAGAAGACCTCCACATCTCCAGTGACGTGCGTATCGTGAGGATCGGTGATGTTGCAGTCGATCTCGACATTATCTGTCATGTTGCTGCCGCAGAGTCCAGGGATGATCGAGATCCGACGACAGAAGGTCGGCGCCACGATCGTCCAGAGCCGGCCATCTCCAGGGGCGCTATGGGCGGCATTCAGACCCTGCAGGGCACTATCCAGCATACCGGGATGGAAGAGCAGAGACGTTTCGGAATCGTCGAACCTCTCGCACCGAATTGTTCCCGTCGCGAAGCCGGCTTTGCGGGACACATTCATGAGCGCGCGGAAGGGGCCCTCGTATCCGAATCCGAAGTCATCTCGCAGGATCTTGTAGAAGCTGTCCACGTCTACTGCGGTCAGTTTTCCCAGTGGGGGAAGTCTAGGTGAGAAGTGGGATGCCGAGTCCTCGCCCTCTCCTAGGAGCACACGCACACGACCGCAGCAGTTGAGCGCAAGGTTGGCAGCGTCTTTGCTTATGGTTGAGTAGGCCGCGAAATCAGCAGTGATTTCTTCCGACTCGGTGTCGAGGGTAGACACCTTGGTCATTGATGTGAGGAGCTCAGTGCCTGTGGAGTCGTGGATGGCGATGGCTTTGCGGATTTCAAGATCGAAGAGATCGATTGATTTCACGGGTCTCCCTTGGGCCAGTTGCAGTGCTGCTTCCATGGCAAGGCAGATGTAAGCTGTTGCGGGAAAGACGACCTGGCCTTGGAGCGAGTGTCCCGACAACCACTTGAGTTCATTCGTCTTCAGGATATTCCGCCACCTCCATTCCTCCGTTGCTCCGTCTGGCGTCTGGATGCCTAGTAAGTCATGGAAGGGCACCGGATGATTGTGGAAGGTCTTGATGAGCCTTGATTCGGGAAAGTACCCCCTGTCATGAGTCCATGGGTAGGTTGGAAGACCGCGGATCATCGTAGTTGGAGTATCCGGGTAATTTGTCTGCTGGAAAGCTCCGAGCGTCACAGCAGCGGGGCCAAACCGACTCCAAAGGAATACAAGTGCGTCGGAAAATGCCATCGCACTGCTCTTTCCACGGTTCAAGGTGCCAGTATATGGGATTTCCCGATCCACAGCGGCAAGAATGGAATCCTTCACAGGTCTCTGCAAGGCAGGATGCGGCCCGACTTCTACGCCGCAGTTGATGTCTTTGGCCGTAGATGTCAAGCATGTTTCAACAGCCGGGCAGAATAACACGGGCTGGACCATGTTATCGACCCAGTATTGGTCGTCCAGACTTTCCGGGCTATTGATGACCTGACCGTTTCGGACGCTGCTGAACCACTGCGGTGCGTCGCGCCCGGGCTGTTGGACTTGTATGTTGCAGTTTCTCAATGCCGCAAGGTACGATGCAGAGCATTTAAGCATGTGGGCCGAGTGGTACGCGGTGTCGACCTTTAAAATCCGGGCGAATTTCTCCTCCTCGTCAAGCACCCCTTGTGCCTGGGTTATAGCGTCGATATCACCCGACAGAGTCACGCTAGTAGGAGAGTTATGGGCAGCCACGCAGATCCTCCCATCGAAGTCATCAAGTTGGCAAAGTTCACTGGCATCCTCAAAGGAGGTCCCGGCAGCCAGCATTGCGCCCTTCTCTCCCGCAGGGCCGGACGCCATATTGGCGTAGAATCCCCGGTAGTATGCAATGCGGATAGCATCCCATGCAGTGATGAAGCCCGCCGCATAGGCAGCAGCAATCTCTCCAGAGGAATGCCCAACAACGGCCTGGAACTTGACTCCCGCGGCGCGGAGCAGGTCAACCAGGATGACTTGTACAGCCGCGCAGAGAGGCTGCGAAAGAGAGGCTTCGCCGACGGGCGCAGTGCTGTCAGTAAGTACGTCAGCTAGAGTCCATGATGGGCGGTGGTAGGACGGTAAGCTGGCGAGAGATGAATCCAGCTCTTCGACGGTCCTCCTGGCCAGCGGGATTGACGATATAAGCTGGGACCCCATGCCTTGCCACTGAGCGCCCTGGCCGGTGAAAACGCCGAGCAAGGAAGCAGTTCCAGGTAAGGCTGAAGTGGAGGGTAAAGTGGCGTCTTTCTCTGAAGCGGCTTCTATCGTGGACTTGATCTTTTCGCGAAGCTCGTCGATCGATGCAGCGGATAGTGCGAGTCTTCGCTGCAGAGCAGATCGCTTGGTGCTCAAGTTGTATGCCAGTCCACCGATATTGACGTCTGCGTTCTGGTCCATGAATTCAAGTGTGGACTGCAGGAGTGTCGCCAACGAGTTATCAGATGCTGCAGTGAATACAGCTGGAATACAGCATGTTCCTGATGTGGCCGTCTCTATTTCAGGGACTGGGTCACTGGGCGTTGGTGGATAGTATGTTTCAAGAATGCAGTGGGCGTTGGTCCCTCCAAAACCAAAGCTGTTGACACTATCGACACACAATTTAGTTGCTATCCGAAAGGGCTGACAATCTTCAACTAACCTAGCTCTTCGCGGCTTACCATCTGGCAATTCAGGCCAAGGTTGATTGGCCGTAGGAACACGGAGATGGCTTGTAAACGGTTCAAGGTCAGGGTTTAATTTATTGAACAGTAAATTTGGGGGAATTGTTGCATTGCGAAGCGCAAGACAAGCCTTCATGAGACCTGCCAGTCCCGCTGTGCCTTCGGTGTGACCGACCACGGTTTTGATAGACCCGACGAAGAGTTCGCCTTCGGAGTTAGCGTCAGGGAAAAAAGCTCTCATCAGGGCTTCGGCTTCTTGAGGATCCCTAAACAGGGACCTATTAGTATTTTCGGTTTCCAACAGTGTACAGAATTCCAAGGCTCAACCCACCCAGCTTTCGTTCCCGTGCCATGCGCTTCAAAATACTGACACCGATCAGCCTCCTTCGTCGGATCCAGCCCAGCGCGGGCATAAGTGTCTCGAATGAGCGCCGCCTGGGCCGTAGCACTGGGCATAGTCAACCCCTTCGTCCTGCCATCGTGATTCACGCCCACTTCCCGAATCACGGCTTCGATATGGTCCCCGTCTGCAATCGCATCACTGAGAGTCTTCAGAACAACGCAAGCAACACCTTCGCCTCGAGCGTAGCCATCTGCGTCGACATCCCACATGCGACATCGAGACGTCGGCGACAACATACTGAGCTTGCTCAACGTGATGAACGTAGAGGGAGACAAACACAAGTTTGTCCCACAAGCTACAGCGACGCGGCTCGTGCCGTTTCGAAGGGCCTGGACTGCCTCATTCACAGCGACGAGACTAGAGGAGCAGGCGGTGTCTATCGTCATGGACGGGCCATGCCAGTTAAAGAAGTACGAGAGTCGGCTGGAGGCATTACTCGCCGCCGTACCGGACGCAGCGTAAGTCGGGACGGAGTTCACATCCTGGCCACTAAGCGCGAAGTAGTCCTGGGACATGAGGCCGACAAAGGCGCCGGTATTCGAGTTGGACAGGTCGGCCAACGTATGGCCGGAGGATTCGAGGGCCTCGTAAGCGACCTCGAGGAGGAGGCGTTGCTGCGGGTCGATGGCCTCTGCTTCACCTGGGGGGATGGAGAAGAATTTTGCGTCGAACTCGCGCACGTCTTCGGAAAGGAGATAGGCCTGGCGGATGTTGGTGGTGCCGTGGTGGCTGCCGGTTGGGTGGTAGAAGCGGTCGAGGTTGAATCGGGAGTCGGGGATGTCGCGGGCGACGTCGCGCGGGTTGTGGAGGAGGTCCCAGAGTTTGGAGGGGGAGCTGGCTTCACCTGGGAAGCGGCAGCCCATGCCTATGATGGCGATGGGTTCATTTCTGCTGGGGAGCATGGGGGGAGGATGGATTTAGAACTTGGGTATGAGAGGGGAGAGATGCTTCAAAGGGTTGATCAGGAAAATTGGAGTTGAATCCTGCGTCCTGATTGCCAACCCGCTTCTCTACAATTCGCTAACTATATATACAACATAATACAGCAATTCTATCAAAGTGGCTGGCTATGCTAAGATTACAGGATCGCTAGCCCCAAGTACGCCTCGCCCAAGCAGGCCCAATCGTGGCAAACGCCGGCTCCGGGACGTAAGAACAAGACGCAAGACATACTCCGGTTGGTATACGAGGACCGGCAACTTAATCTGACAGTTGAAAGGCTCCGGAGCTTATCTACGTACTAGGTATTATGAATTTATGAGCTTCTGGTGATCTTACGCTGGCCTGGAGTGGGCTTTATTCCGATCCTAACCGTAACCATGGTACTTATTGGTACTTATTAGATTGCTAGCAACACAGCAAGCATTGGGGACTTTGTCGCTAATTCTTGTCCTTTTCCTTTTCCTGTTAGTTAGTTATTTTCCCAACCATGTTTGAGCTACCCTCCAATCAAACCGCCATCGTCGCTCTCGACGATGGCACACTCGGCCTACGCAACGACATCCGAATGCCCTCCCTAGAAGACGACATGATCCTAGTAAAGAACGCCTTCGTCGCCCCAAACCCAATCGACACCAAAATGGTCGGCAAGCTCGCAAGCCCCGGCGCAATCGCCGGAATGGATTTCGCAGGCGAAGTCATCTCCATCGGCTCCAAAGTCCAAACCGCGGCGCCCATCAAGCCAGGCGACCGAATCTGCGGCGCAGTGCCGGGGATGCACTCTCTCACTCCCGCGGTGGGCGCGTTTGCGCAGTATGTTGGCGCGACGGATCTTACTACCATGAAGGTCCCGGATTATATGTCGCTTGAAGAAGCGGTAACCCTGGGAAGTGGGGTTGGGACTATTGGGCTTGCGCTGTTCAAGTCGCTGGATGTTCCTGGCTGGCCTGGGTTGCCGGCTAGCAAACCGGTGGATGTGCTGGTGTATGGTGGTAGCACTGCGACTGGGACTCTGGCTATTCAGTTGCTTAAACTGTACGTTATAGTATCACCGTGTTATTTCCTTAGAGGTGAATATCTACTAACGCAACGTTCTAGATCGGGCCTGAATCCCATAACAACCTGCTCACCGACCAACTTCGCCCTCGTGAAATCCTACGGCGCCACTGCAGTCTTCGACTACCGCCAGGAGACATGCGCAGACGATATCCGCAAACACACTCGAAACTCACTCAAGTTCGTCCTCGACTGCATTTCAGAGCCAGAGACAATGCAGTTCTGCTACAAATGCCTCGGCCGGTCAGGGGGCAAATACACCGCATTGGAGCCCTACCCCGAGTTCCTGCATACCCGGCCGAAGACGGTTGTGCCAGACTGGGTGCTTGGTCCGACGCTGCTTGGGAAAAGGCTGGGATGGCCAGAGCCGTTTGGTGGGGAGGGGAACGAGGAGTATAGGAAGTTTGGGTTCGAGTGGTTTAAGTTGGTGCAGGAGTTGCTGGATCAAGGGAAGTTGAAGACGCATCCGCATAAGATAGTAGGGGACAGTCTTGGGGCGACGTTGGGTGGACTTGGGCTTCTTAAAGAGAAGAAAGTCTCTGGGCAGAAGCTTGTGTGTCGCGTTTAATGATATCAATGGTCTTGTATCTATTTCCTAGTTAGGTTACGTATATATCAGGACAGTCCTCGGCGGAAACCCAACAAAAGACTATAGCTGTCAATACCGATTGCGCCTACGTAATAGAATAATGCATAAACCATTGTTTTCGCGCCGGAATAGCAGTCTCTACGATTGCTTTGCCTCATTGCTTGTAAAGATTGAACCAATAGCCGATTGTTTATGAGCTCATCTGGCATCACCTCAGAGCAATGGGTTGAAGTATACGACCGATCGATGGTTTAGTGTAATCAGCACCCTGTTAAGTAATTCAGCCTTGTCTGCCTGCCTAATTTTTCCATCTGCAAGAAGTCACCGGTCCGGTTGGGCTCAACACCGGCGCAGCTAACACGCCGCCAGCCTTCAAGAAATGAGAATGGCTTATATCTAGTCTCTGTATCAAGGACACACGCTTGAGTAGCTGGATGAACTGCTGCCACATCTATTGAACAAATTCTCTTCAATCAGTTTCTAATTCAGTAAACCTTCAGGATGATCTCTTTTCTCGAGTTCTGGCTGTGTACGCTGACACTAACCTCGGGGGGAATCGTCCACCAGGCTCTCACTGGCGGAGGGCATACAGCACTGCTATTCCAAGTGCTAGGCGCTCATTTGGTTGCCTTTGTTGCCTTTGCTGTGTATTGGATGATCCTCTACCCCCGTTATTTCACTCCCTTCGGCAACATCCCAACTCCTTCGGTAGGTATCCCCATCACTTCACATCACATTAGAGCAAAGACAAAGACAAAGACAAAGCTGACATAAAGTAGCGTCGAAGAATCCTGACAGGAAACTACTCAGTTCTGTTCCCCGATAACGCATGGGTTCCTCTGCGGGAACTCGCCGAAACCACCCCCAACGATGGCCTCCTCCGAATCTACTCTGCGTTGAGCGGCGAGGCCCTCCTGGTGACAAGCCCGCCGGCGATCAGAGACATGCTCACTGTCAATGCCTTTGACTTTGCCCACCAGGACCTAGTCAAGATTGCCATCAAGCGATTCACGGGTAGCAATCTTGGTTTCCTTAGCAATGATGACTTCAAGGTATGTAAACAACACACTTTGCCCCTGGGCTAGTAGCCGACAAGAGAGAAACACAGCTCCACCGCAAAAACATGATGCCAGCATTCACAGTCCCACACGTCCGAAACTTAACCAGCATCTTCTGGACCAAAGCTCAAGAAATGGCGCACTGCATGTCGAGCGACCTCCGCGCAGACCCCTTCGCCCGGATCAACTTCCGCGAATACGTGTCTCGGGCTACACTCGACAACATCGGGCTGGCGGGGATGGGCCACGATTTCCAGACGCTCAAGCAGCCCGATAACGAGCTGCGCAGCCACTACAGGAAACTGATCCACGACCCGACCCGCGTGTTTAGCTGGGTGGGGCTGCTGAGTCGGTACTTCGACATGAGACTGTTGATGAGGGTGCCGCTGAAGAAGTTGATCGAGATCTCGCAGTCGGCGAACTACCTCCGTGCTGTCACGATGAAGGTCATTCAGGAGAGAAGCGAGAAGCTAGTTGAGTCTGGGGATAACGGGACCAAGGATATCATCACTGTCGCTCTCGCAAGCGGTGTTTTCGAAGAACGCCATCTGGTCGACCACGTCATGACCTTCCTAACAGCGGGCCACGAGTCCACAGCCACGGCCTTTGAATGGACGATGTATGAGCTAGGCCGCCGGCCGGAGATGCAGCGCCGGTTAAGGGACGAGTTGCGAGAGGCAATAGGCACGGATCTGGCGGCGGTGGACTTTGGATTACGGGTTCAGAATCTACCTTACTTGAAGGCGTTCTGCAGCGAGGTGCTCCGGTGCTACCCCCCCCCCCGCCGATTATTGTGAAAGTTGCACAGCAGGAAACTACGCTTATGGGCCAGCGGATCCCCAAGGGCACGGTTGTGCTGTACTCGGCCGAGGTGTCGAACCATGACAAGACGCTTTGGGGGCCTGATGCGGATAAGTTCAATCCGGAGCGGTGGATGGGCGAGGGGCAGGCGAAGTCTGGTGGTTCTTCGAGTCATTATGCCATGCTTACATTTGGCGCGGGCCCACGGAAATGCATTGGAGCGAATTTTGCCAGGGCGACGCTCGAGTGTCTTGTTGCGGCGGTGGTGTCTACGTTTGAGATTGAGCTTGCGAATCCCGATACGGCGGGGAGGTTGAAGTTCGGGCAGACGAAGAAGTCGGCAGAAGGGGTTTACGGAAGGCTTAAGTTTGCACGACCGGTGGAAGTCTAAGGACTGGAGGATTGTTTGGTATATAACCTCCATAGCGTTAAATGACTACCTTGGGGTGATTTATAGGGGATACCGCCGTCCGAGCCAAAAGTCGCCGGTCAGCAACAAAACACATTTCTTGAATACAAAATAAGTTATAGAAGCAGTACAGCCGTCATTCTGGGACGGAGCTACGAGCTTACAGTCGGAGTTGCAGAGCAGCAATGAACCTCTGGAGACTTTCAGTCGGCATCGTTGCTGCCGTAAAGTCCGTCTGGACCCGGGGCAGCCCATTCGCCGCACTCACAGCCCTATGGCCAACAAACGACGAGGGCAAATTCATCATTCAATCCGAAGGCATTCGACTGGCTTTTACAAACCACGGTGCAGCCCTTACAAATCTCTGGCTGAATAATACTCATGGCGAGGAGATCGATGTTGTACTGGGCTTGGACGATGCGAGGGGTTATCCGTCGCTGCAGTCGAATCCGTTTTTGAACGGGGTTATAGGTGTGTTTTATCGACCTTGCATTTTCCCTTTCTTTGTCTGCCGGTTAAAAAAAAAAGCTGATTCCATAAACGACAAGGACGATACGCCGGCTTCCTAAGCAGCTCCAGCTACCCAGTCGACGGAACAATCTACCCCGTAACCGCAAACGCACACAACGCGACCTCGCTATTCAACGGCGGAGATAAAGGCTGGGGCCGACAGACCTGGGACATCGCCGTGCATATCAACAACAGCATTACATTCGTGCTGTTTGATAACAGGTGGAATGGGTTCCCTGGGATCTTTGCCTCGTGCGTGACGCATACGGTTACGCCGTATGAGTGGCGGATTGCCTTTGGGGTTACGCCGTTGCTCAAGGCGGGCCCGATTAATTTGAGTCAGCAGGTTTTCTTTAATCTTGATGGGTTCAGGAAGAATGCCAGCACCAGTGATGCTAGTGATAGTACGGTGCTTGATCATAAGCTGAGGCTTCCTGTTGCTGGGATGCGGTTCGATGTTGATGAGCGGGGGATTCCGACGGGGGATATGAAGAGTAACAGGCAGGGGAAGGAGTTCGACTTTTGGTCTGCGGCCAAGTCTATTGGCGAGGAGGTTCAGAAGGGTAATGCCGGATTTGATGTGACTTATGCGCTCGCCCATAAACCGTTGGGCGACAAGGAAGATGAGCCTGTGGCGATCCTCTCCTCGAAGCTGTCTGGAGTCACCATGGAGCTTTACACGGACCAGGACGCTCTCCATGTTCATACGTGGGACAATAACATGGGTAATATAACATTTTTCTTAAAAAAGGTTGGAGACACAACTGACAGTGTGTCTACAGGTGCGTTGCAGTTGAAGAAAGGTCAAGGGCCAGGCAAAGTCGCTCAGCACGCGGCGATATCTCTAGAGATGCAAGACTGGCCAGATGCAGTGCACCATCCGGAATGGAGACACAGAAAGACCATTTGGGGGATGGACGGACTATATACGCGGTTTGCAACGTACAAGGTCTCGGTCGAGGGGAAATAAACCCATGGAAGGAAGCCATTGGCGTGATAATTGCTGCAGACAGATATACATTTGTATAGAAGCAACCCCGTCTATAAATCGCTACAGATTATAAACCAATCTCTCTAGACAGCTACCATTTCAGCCGCAACCTCGCTCGCAACCTCAACAGCCGGCACAGAGTCATACTCACCACGATCACGATGCCGATACTCCGCCATAACCTCCGCAATACTCTGCACATCACCCGTCTTCAGCGGAATCTCATGCGCCCCCTTAAACCTGACCACCGTCGCAAGCCTCTGATTAAAATACTGCTTCGACAACCTCGTCCCCTTGGCCGACCACGGATCACCGCTCCCCTGCACATGAACAGACACAATATCTAGCGGCCGCGACACCTGCGTCTCCGCAGCACTCAACGGCAACGAAGGACAAATCCCACAGATCATAATCGCAAACTTGATGTCCCTCCCCAGCTCAGGGTCAAGACAAACCGCGGTCGCAACCCTCGTCCCCTGACTAAACCCCATAACGCCGACAACCCCGGCCCCCGGTCCATTTCGGCGCTCGCGCTCAATAACATCCTTCAAAGAATCCCGTACAACCCGGCGTTCCCGCTCGACATCTTCTGCCGTGACGTCGAATAGCCCGATTGTGTTTCCGTCTTGATGCCACCGTCTGTACGGCTTTATGTGTGCGTAGTAGGGCTGCACGCCGGCGCCGGCTTGGGGCGTTGTGATGGGCGAGTTGAGGAAGAGGAAGCGGAAGTGGGGGGATAGGACTTGAGTGAGATTCTGGGATTGGCTTTGGAAGATCTCCCCGCTGCTGCCGTGGCCGTGGAGGCAGATGATAGCGGGTTTCGTTTCTGGGTTCATTCTGTGGCTGGCCTGTGTTGGGTTGGGTTGTTGCTGGTGGTGGTGGTGGTGGTGTTAATGGACTCTGGATGGAGTGCTTAGCCTAGTCGGTCTTTTGGATGGAAGCTTGTCTTTTCATTTTCAAGAAGTGTCCACTGTCTTTAATACGACGCCGTGTGTGCTGCATTACTTAACCTCCGGACTGATTGGGGCAGGGCATTTACCGGACCGGCGACTTTACTGTCGAAGGATGTGAGATTACTCTGTTGGTTTCTCCACGGGTCGGAAACAAGTCATCAATCGCACCGGGATGTAACGGGAAATAGAAGTTTAGTAGCAAATACCATATCATAAATCATTACAAAGCCAATTCGTAACTATGAATTGATCATAACCTGCGCCAATTTCTCAAGTAAAGACGTCTCCTTCTCAGAAACCATATCCACCGCCGCCTGTATCGAATTGTTCGCAGCCGCAGCCGCCGCCCTCAAGCCACTCGGTGATGGCGATGATGCATGCGGTGGTGGTGGCCCCTGCTGATGCTGGTATTCAGGCGTCAAGAGACTAATAGCATCACGCAGCTGATGAACCATGCTAGAAACCATATAAGCACCCACAGCGGTACTCATGGCCGGCTGGGATGCAAGATTGAAGGTACCCAGGCTAACGAGCGCCAGATTCCCCGCGCGGGTCTTGAGATTATCCACAGCAAGGTCCAGTAGCTGCAGGGCGTATGCGTACGATGTCGCGACTTGTAAGACGGTGATGTAGTTTATCCTCAGTGGGTCGAACGGCCCTCCTCCTCTTTGAGTTGGCTCGCCAATGCCGTCGCAGGGATCAGGATGTCCGGCATTGACGCTGGCTGGGGTGAATGGCGGTCCTGTCCCAGTCCCACTATTACCTGCAGTAGTGTGGTCTGGACCGGAGCGACGGGCTGGGACGGGGAGCAGCTCTAGCAGCTCTTTGCAGACCATCATGACTTCGTCAAGGGCCGGTAGCATGAAGATAGCCGGAATGAAAAACGCACACCCGATGAGATCCAGGTTCATGATTTGCTGGATAACGGTCTGATCGCGCTCTATAGATGGGGGTTTGAAGAAGCACAGCATTGAGAGCAACGTCAGAGCACCGGGGGGGAAGATTAACCCAGAAACACCACCGCCAGGTAGCCTTCTCCGTGAGCGCGCCGCCGATGACGGGTGCTAGGATTAGACCCACAGTGAAGCTGCTGCTGCATATGCCTAGCAGCAGTGGTTTCGATTTCTCGGGAGAAACGGTGAGAACGATAACGAAGCCGCCACTTGCGACACCGGCTGCCCCGATACCTGCGATTGCGCGACCGCGATGAAGGTGTTGCTATTTGGCGCAAAGCCGCAGACGAGGCTGCCGACTAGGAATATAGAGAAGAATGATATGTAGATCCAGCAGAGCGGAAACATTGAGCTTAGCTTTCCTGCTAGCGGTGTCAATGCGCATGTTGTGAGTGAGTAGGCAGCCGCATACCAGGCCAATTGCGACGTATCCTTGAAGTCGGACGTGATGGATGGGATGGCCTAGCCGTGGGGGTCAGATCATTTAAATTTTTCGAATAGCTGGTAGTAGTACAGTTGCGATGACAAAAATATCCAAGGGCATCAGGAACGCGCCGAAGCATATGCCTACGAAAATGGCCAAGAGCTTGAAACCGCGCATCGCGTTCGCGTTGGTCTCTGGTTCCTCAGTGCTGACCTCAGACCTCAGTACTGGTCGCATGCTGGGCTTGGGCAGGGCTGTCAGCATCTTCTTCTGACTTGGTAGCTTTCCTGGCCTCATCTGGAGAAGATGCAGCCATATTCGAGAGTTAGCTGTTGGGCCATGAAACGAGAGTGGCAGAATGCATTTGGTAACAGGAAAATATCCATGACTGCGTGAGATACGGACTCGGAGTGTGTTGGACCGGCGACATTCGTGACTTGAAAGTCGCCGGTTTAAAATGTACACGATACATCCCTGGAAGAACAATACTACATCTAAAACAATTATTTTGGGTTAGCTAGTTATTGCAGATCAAGCTACTGCTACTACGCATATAGCATAGATTGTCGTCCCAAGATATTTGTTCTCTGCATTCCCCTGTATCTCATCTAAGACGTACAAACAGCGAACGCTGGCAATGCATGCCTCCAAAGTGCTCAGCCTCTTAGTGGCATCCGACCCGTAACCTGCCAGCAACACATCGATCCTGCTGGAGGGCGACATGTGAGTCTGTGACAGCCTGGGAGGGTGGAGAGACACCACGGCGCCAAAATTCAACTTGGCGCAAGAGCTTACCGATGCCAAAAAAGAACAAACTCAGATACTACTAATGACATCGAAGGCTAACGGCCAGTGCGGTATGTTAGGTTGTCGTGGTTTCCATCCCTGCTCGACGCGTCCCAAAACCCTGCGTCTTGGAGCCTGCGATGTAACATATTGCCATTCGTCTGGAAAATGCGGCTCATAAGCGGGGAAGGAGGCTTGGTTTTACTACCTGATGTAAACGGTCATCAGGAATATCAGAACTTAGGAGCTCTGGCCGCGACTTGGAGCCATACCAACCGGTCCACATGGAGGATGGAATTGCTTGGACTGAAAGGCCGGGGGACACCACTGTGGAGTCAAAGATCGAAGTTGATCCGAGGGCTAGGGCCGAGGGTGCAGATGAAACTTCACCAGCGCCAGTTTACCCTCAAGGATATCATTTCGCCCTCATCTCGGCATCACTAATGATCAGTGTTTTCTAACCGGCCTGGTGAGACCGTGCCTCTCCTTCTTTAGCTCTTTGGTCATCAGGTCAAAGTCTGATAGATTCTTCGGGACGCGACCATCATCACAACTGCAGTGCAACATGCCGCCGCAGCATAGCTGGTGGACAGAAGCAGTTAGTAAGGAGCTTGCCACAGCGGGCTGCCCCAAGAACTGGTGGATGAGATCCCAGGGTACAGACGGTTGGCCGATAGGAAAGTTGGAAGCGAGGAAACATTGAGAGCAATTGATAAAAGAGCACCGCTGGAATAACCTGATATGCCTCGGTGCTATGGCCCACCTGAGTTCAATTCGGCAGAGTGAACTGCCAACCTGAATACTTCGAGCATCATGATGACTGCGCTGATTGCTTTGCTGACGATTACCTGCACGTCAGAGAGCTGAGGTAGACGTTGCTGAATAGCTGAATACGCGAGGACGTGTATCCATGGTAAAGGATTATTGTAATTGTTCTGGACTGTCCATTAAGGATATACACTGAGTATAACTGGACGCGCGAGTCAACCTGGGCGTCCGCGCCAGAGACATCAGCTTCAAGCAGTCCCACTGTGTTTGGTCATGCAGATCACTGTAAACTCTCTATTCGGACCCGAGAGGATTGTCTTAATCTCACTAGATCCTAATCCCACAGATGCAGACATGGTCCTAACTACATCCCCCCTTCCTGGCTTGCTAAGCCCGGTACTGTCTCTCCTTTTATCCACCTCATCCACTGTCCAACGATATTTAATCAGTCCACAATCTTCAAAGTAGCATTCCGACGCGCACTCCAGATCTCGTCACCCGCCTTTAGGGGGTTCGCACTATCCTCCGCAATAACCAGATGTTCGCTGCCATCCTCCGTCTTAATTGTCCTGAGCCGTGCCGCTGGAGTGCTGTAGCCCGGATCAAGCTTAAGCCCACGGCCAGCAATGCTCCTCCTGCCGTCGACGAAGTTGCCAGTCGGGTCCAGGAAGAATTCGCCCCCGTCGTTCGTGCAGGACGGGTTGTCCTCACAGTAGGAACTAGGACTACGATTTAGCAAAGCTTTTCCATGAAGGAGGAGAGGCGGGTTAGAAACGTACGCTCCCTTCCAGTTCTCAATGGTGATGCCAAACTTGTCGCCGTTGTTTATGGTGCCGTAGAAGGCGCCAAGCTGGCCACCCTCGCCTACGGTATTATGCATTAGTGGGGGCTTGTGGCTGTCCCGGAAAAGAGTGAACGTACTGCTGTTCTCCGACGAATCGACGCACCGCAGGCGTGCTCCGGACCCGCCCTCCTGCGTACTGGCAAAGGGGAACTCGTCGCAGGAGTTGCCAAACTTTGAGTACGACAGGCTGGTGTCGCTGCAGGGGGTTCTGCTGCACCCGGACGCCTGTCTCCGGCCGGGACGTTTGGTCTTATCCGAGTCATAGGTAAATTGCTGGCCTGCGCCGCCCCGGCACTGTGCGTAGAAACAGTAGTTCTGGCATGTTCCAAGGGCGTTGGTGCAGTCCCAGTCGAATGTCGCTGCGCTGACGGTCGAGGCCAAGGCCGCAAGGGCAACGGAGACAAATAGACGCATGGTTTAGGCTTTGGAGTGATGAGCGGCTTTGTGTTTGATATTCGAGAGTGCGTTTGGTTGAAGATGAGGATAGCCAGCTCAAGAGGGCGGTTATATAGTTTTCTGGCCATTGTCTATGCCTAGTTATGTGAACTGGAGTGCTGTGATCAAGGTGCATACGGCCCCCAAAGTGATCCTTGGAGTTCACGTCGAGCGTTGGCAAGGCATACTGCATTGCTCTTCCCAAACCATGCTTGATGCTCGCGCTGTAAGCACTAGATCTGCCGAGACTCGTCATCGCGTCACATTGCACTTAGACGATAGCCCCCAAGTAGGGTACAGCCGCAGGAAATGAAGCGGACTACCAGTCTATCACAGATACTATAGGCTTGCTGGTCTCTGGGCCCACAGGCTTACTGGACTACGTCCAAGTCAACAAGGGAACTATAGGTCCAGGGTACCTGAGATCTGCAGGGTAGCCAAAACTCCCCCAACGCAAGCTAAGAGCGCACCAACAAAGGGAACGGCACAAAAGGGGCGGGGAGCGAGCAGAGCGAACCGCTGTAACCATATAACGCTCCTATCTAAGGCTGAAATATAGAACATGCTCCGAATAGCGCCCCTTGCCTCTCCATTCAGAGAGAATGTTTGAGAGCATCCAAATGTACCGTTGGACGAGTCAATAGCCGAGATCCGGCGGCATATTTCCTTCCTATTCCAATCCAGTAGGTCTTAGACGAACTGGAAGACCAAGCTTCTGCTTGGGATAAAAAAGGAAAGAGGCAACATGTTGCGTAAGAATATAGGTAGCAAGATAGACGGTTCGGCCAATGACTGTTTACAAAACGGCGTGAGGTATGTTTCAGGCCGGCCATCAGCCTTATGCTTCGCCCCATAACTGGGACCGCTAATGCAGCTCCCTCGCGGCAGTGCGATTATCGATCGGCAGGCTAATTCAGCTCCATCACGGCTGTGTGATTAGGGATCGGCAGGCAGCAACCGGTTTGTTCAAGTGACGTAGGCTGACAGCGTCTTACCACCCCCGCAGCACCTCCAAGTCTTCCACCTAACACCTCCATCCTCCCTCCCAACTCTAAATCAACAACAGACATCACAAGGGGCAATTCACTCACAATGAGCCTTATTCCCATCATCTGCACCAACGAGGTGTCACCTACTGTACGGAAACCCCTGGACCCTGGGTGGAAGCTCATCTTAACTGACAGTGCTAGGTTATCACGTCTATCCTATCGACGGCATACGAGGCTTCCAGCAAAATCGATTCACCTCCGAACCTTATCCTTGTCATGACAGCCGACCCGGCCGAACTCCAGAAGTACACAAATGACTCTGTCACCATGCCGCCGGTTGAGTCCCTTCAGTATCCTTTCCTCGGTTGGGACATAGGCAAGATCGCCCAGTTCCTACAGGAGAACGCATCGGAGACCGTACTGGATTATACTACGTTCCTTGTCGCCGACGAGAGAACAGCCTCGGATGAGGATACCCTGCTCCTTGTTTACAGTATTGAAGATTCGCAGGAGAGTATACGGCTCTCCGCTGGCTATGCCAACAGTCAGGCGGTGTCGGTTTCGGTTGCGACCACGGATGTGGGCGAGTTGCGGAGCCTAGCGGATGATGATGGGGTGTACAGAGGGGGGCCGCAACTCCCGCCGCCAAAAAAGGGTGGGAGGGCACCCAGGAAGCAGCTGTAAATACAATCGTGTGTTCACATAGTGAAATAACACTGCTATAGCTGCAGAAGGACTCAAGCTAGTGGATCAATGTAACCGCCCAGCAACTGTGGCGGATTCACCAGCAGCCACAGCGTAGATGATCAAGGCTTCTGCATCTTGACTTGAGAATAAGTCATTCTATTCCATCATCGAGAATGAATGCATAGAAATGTGGACTTTAAGAATCGGGATGAATGCTATCTTTCGCTTGGTCTTATATTGCAGAGATATAGAAGTAAGAAGAGGGTTAGTTCAGGGGGGAGGTCTACCCTTATGTCTAAAGAGATGCAGTGAATTTTCTATTAATCACTACTTGCCGCAACTGAGAATATGAAGCTAGTGAATGGAACATGCAAAAAGTGAATACTTTGGATGAATCATGATGTCAGTATCGCGTCTTCGATCTTAGTTGTCTCAGTTTCTGCCTAATTTGACTCAACCAACCTGTCTACCAACTATTCATCACTTTCACACATACAGCAGTAGTCACAGGCTATTCAGGAGCAACGTCCAACATCATGTCTTCTAATAGCATAATGAGATGGCTTCTCGAGCCACTGAAGAGTTTTCAGTCTGGGGAATGGAGGGTTAAGTACTGGGAGATGAGACTTAAAAAGGCCCAGGTTCCGCAGGATTATGCACCATTCCTCCTGTCAAACGTGGACATATTTGACAAAGCGCGGTTAATTTACAGAATCAGTCTTCAGAAAGGCTTGCCGGACAAGCTATTCGGTGACCAAGAAGAGGTGGAAAAACTGGCAAGGGTACTGGATCGAAGGGATAAAAAACTAACCGCTCGTCTTGTTCGTTTCTTTCAGTATCACACACAGCCGCCGGATCCTTCTGTGTTGGCGTGGTGTCAGAGTCTCCTTGAGACGGAGAGACGAACCCGGCGCATTGTTCAAGCGCTGATCTTCGTGGAGAAAAGGCTGGAATGGGGGCGCCATGCTCTCACTCAGACATCAGACTTGGAATGTCGCCAGAAGCTGGAGTCACAGTTGAATGACACTGAAAAGCATCACAAACGTCTTGAGGTCATGTATACACAGGGCCGGGCTGATATCAGCGACCACAGATGGCATATGCCTAGTGGTCTCTTCCATAGAGCATTCGTCGCCTTCAGATTTAATCCCGACTCCGACTGGTACCTGTGTACATCGCTGAATCGCGAATGTGCAGCCCGGGGAGGCTGCTGCTCTAGAACGTGTGGCTGCTGCTCACGCAAGAGGGAGACTGACAGGGTTCCTAACCTATTCCATTGCACTGAATTTTGCCCATGTTGTCTCGCTACAAATGGGCTCTCACCTTCTGATGACCACATCCCGGATATTGACGTAAAGGTCGAAGAGGATACAGTCAAATTCAATCTCATCTACGGGCAGGACCTATACAGCCGTCGAGTATACCGCGCTCATATCTGGGGAGTGGATGTCATCAACGATATCGAGGATTGACGGTGGAACGTGAAATGATTGCTCTTGAAGTCTTGCTGATTGATGTTTGATCTGTACTTTGAACAAATGGACTTTTGATACTTACTTTGACCGGAAGTGACCTGGCGACCTCTATCATCGTACCCGCACTCATATAATGATATAGCCAGGCACCTTTTAGCGGAGGGGAATATGCTTGGCTGATTGACTGCAATGCCACATCGGAGCCTCTGACCTGTCAATAAATATAGCGCCAGGCCACGTGATCTGCTGCGTAGATATCTCCGTTGCCCCTTTTCTAGATAGTTATCCCATACGATCATCTCCACAGTAGGCTTGAGAAATTATGAGTCACTGAGTACGTGATGTTCCTTGCATTAGTTTACCGCCAAGTTAGAAAAGCCCATCGGCCTTTCCACACAAGTACCCACTCTACATTCCTCCAAGTATCAATATGAGCGCCGTTCTCCCACCCGAGATCCTCCACGATATCCTCGACCGCATCAACCCCAGCTGCCACTGGGGCTGGCACTGGGGCAGCTGGTTCTATATAAAAGAGAGGACGTTGATTCTCGCTCGCGCAGATATAACTTGGTTTCTGAACTTACGACTCGTCAACAGTACGTCCCTAGACCCTATCAAACTACTCAGAATGGTTTATTAAGCGTACAGAACAATTCGACGATATCGTGATCGACCATTTCCACACAGCAATTAGAGCCGGGCTCATCGATCACGAGCTTCCCATTTGCCATGGGACGCCGACGCCCTCCACGATGGCAATGGCAAGACGATTACTATGTTCGCTTGTGGGGCGTAGTCGCGAATTTCACGGGTTAGCGACGAGGAGTGTTTACCCGCTTGTCAACACGATTAATGCGGGGGTGGACGGGGTCGTTGAGTTTTTCTCGCAGAGGAGCGATATTGACCCCGATGAGCTCCGGACGAGGTATCTCAGCGGCATGATATCCATGTTTGTCGGCCTGGCGGGGACTAATTTTATCGATCGTGTCCTAGCTCCGGCAGGGGCTGCAGGAGAAACTATGGATGATGGCCTCGACTACGAAAGAGAGGGGTGGAGCGGTGCCGCATTGATGGCGGCTGCGTATTTGGGCAGAATCGACGATATGGAGGCGCTGCTTGCGTGGCGTATAGAAAATACACCTGACCCGGCCAAGTCACTCCATCTGCCTCTTATGACGGCCGCGTGCGGTGGACAGGCGGACAGCGTACGGTTTCTGATCGACAGGGGCGTCAACATAAATACACGTACTGTCGGAAACGGGGATACTGCGGTGCATTTTGCTGCCTTGGGAGGGCATGCATCTCTTGTGAAGTATCTTCTAGAGGCTGGAGCGGACGCCGACGTGGTGAATAACGCTGGTGATACGCCGCTTCTTTGGGCTGCTGGGGGAGGACACGCGGATGTTGTGGTGGTGCTCTTGAGGACGGGAGAGGTGGACGTGAATTTTCGGGACCGTTTGAAGAAAGCGCCGCTGATCTGGGCCGCGACAAGAGGGTTTGACAATGTGGTGAAGGAGTTGTTACTGAGAGAGGAAATCAACGTCAATATTATGGACGGGGTCAAGGATCCTAAATACCATCCAGGATCGGCAGGGGTTCCTGGGGGGACTGCATTAGAAGTGGCTGCCATGTTGGGCAGGGAAGACGTCTTCCAGAGACTTTTTCATCATCCAGAGGTCTACATGGAGTCGTCCACTATCTTTCCACACGCAATGGCGGGCGGCAAGGCCAGCATTGTGGGGACAATTATCGAGGCATTTCCCAACACACTGGAAGACTTCGAGTCCGTCTACAAGCAGACGGCTTGGCTCCGTGCCGCCAAGCATGGAACTGAAGAAGTGGTACGATACCTGCTCTCTCTCAACAAGACCCCCATCAATTATCAGGATCACGAAGGTATGTCTGCTTTATACTTTGCCGTCAATGGAGGGGATCTCGGCACTGTCAGAGCTCTTCTACAGCATCCTGATATAGACGTCAATCTGAAAACGAGCAGAGATTGCAACTATAAAACACCGCTCCACTGCGCAGTTAGCACACAGCGCGTGGATCTGGAGATCATGAAGGCTTTACTATCTCGACCAGATATCAATGTCAACCCTCGAGATTTTTTTGGCAGGACTCCTCTCGCTTCAGCGGCTTACAACGGGCAGGCTGAACTGGTGAAGCTCCTCCTGCTGCGCCATGATGTGGATTTATTCCCGCTGGATATCTATGGAGACACCCCGTTGCTTCTCGCCGCCCAAAAAGGAAAAATTCACGTTGTGAATATGCTATTGAAGGTACCAGGTACAGATATTTGGCACAGAAATCAACGGAACAATACAGTGCTGGCGTTGGCGGCGGAGTCGGGTCACACAGAGGTTGTGAGACGATTGCTCGATCCGGACCTCAAGGTAACACAGGACATTATATGGGATGCCATGGAAAAGACGAAAGAGGCGTTGGTTGCTATTCGGAGGGGGAGACTTTTTATCGGTACTGAAAAGATGAGGGATGCGCAGTTAATGAGGATGGAGGAGGCGTACAAGCTGCTTTCGGCCGGTCTGGATAGGATGGGTTCATGATTATTTATACAGACGATATCAACGATGCAGACGAATTGAGCAATCATGTGTTGTGCTCTCAGTTAATCCCAGCTTTCCTGTCGTAGGTGATTTCTCGAGCGAGGTGCCAACTTTTACGGGGTTAGGCTATTCAGCATACGTTTTCATTCTTTTCTTGGTACAAAGTCGATTCTCTCAGTCCACTGTGGACGAGACTCAGTTTCAGGCTACCTGGAATTGCAACAATGGTGACTTCAACCAGCATATCATAGACCTCGTCCGGTTGTTTTGGGTACTCGTTCTCTTCGATGAACCCCTGAACAGGCCTCGGCATGAAGATGGTGGGGCCAGATCCGTCCCGCGTCATTCTCGACATTGCTTGCTGTCATCAAGTGAGTCACTCTGACTTCAACCATATTTCACCTCCAATTGCAACCCAATACACAATGCCATACAATCTCAAGGGGAAAAATGTTCTAGTCGCGGCAGGCTCAAGGTAGCATTTCATATGCCTTCTTTCCCCCAAAGCTAACTTCGGTTCAGGGGCTTGGGCGCCGTGATATGCCAGAAATTCGCAGCTGAGGGGTGCAATGTAGCCATTAACTACCACTCGAGCCGTGGGGTCGCGGAAGACCTTGCCAGTCGACTAGCGAAAGAGTACTCTATCAAGTCCATTGTCCTCCAAGGGGTCAGTTTGGTTCCCGAAAGCACGTTAGAGGAGAACTGACGCTATACAGGACGCTGAACTCCCAGAGGACAATCAACGTATTGTTCAAGAGGCCAGTGAGCAATTATCGGGCTTGGATATTGTCATTGCAAATGCTGGGTGGACTCGCTTCGCCAACCAACGGGACATTTACGACTTGTCTTTCGAGGAATGGGACAAGGCAGGTTACAAACTGGCTGTCCTTGTTCGCGATGCTAACTGTATGCAGGGCTGGCGAGTGAATGTGATGTCGCACTTACAACTCATGCAAGCGGCTAAGCCGATATTCGAGAAGAATGCGGACGGAGGTGTTTATATAATGACCTCATCGATCGCAGTACGTTCTCTCTCTCCAAGGACCTATAACCTGTCTCTCATGTACAATATTTACCTAGGGCATCTGTACAGACGGAAGCAGCATGGGCTACTCGGTGAGCAAGGCTGCTGCTTTGCACCTCATGAAACATCTTGCGCTGTCCGTGGGACCAACAATCCGCGTCAATGCTGTTTTACCGGGACTGATGTTGACCGATTGGGTGAGTCCATTGCCATTGCCGTTCAAACATTCTTCTGGTACTAAGAAGACGATTAGGGTCAGAAGTTCGGTGAGTCGGCTATTGAGGTGCTCAATCAAAAGGCCATCTTAAAGAATGAGGTGATGTTCTTGGCCTCGGTATCTTCGGCTGTTTGCTGACTTTCTGCTAGACCGACCTGGAGGATTGCGCGAATATGTTTGTCACTTTGGCAAAGAATACATCCATGACTGGACAGCAGATTGTCGTTGGTAGGTCCTCTCTCGTCCTGCGCTGATTAAGTGTACTCATCGATGCAGACTCGGGACTCGCTATGGGAAGAGCCTCTCCTAGCAAATAGCGACAAGAAGTATATTCTCGACATCCCTGCCGGCGACATTGACACAATAGGGTGAGGAAGTGAATAATATTCACAACCTCGCAGTCCTGGTTCATATACCCAGATATTCCGCATGTGTTAGGAGAGTGCTGGTCAATAAGATCAACTGGGTTGTGGCTTGACGGAAAATATATAGATTAGCTGTTCGGATAGACAATATAAATTGCTCCAACATCACTCATTACACACGGGGACTTTAACCTTGAATTCAACGAAGAGAATGGCTAGACGATCAACAAGAAGAGACAACAATGGTAACAAGACAATCTTGACAGGTGCAAAAAGATATAGACAAAAAGAATGCATCATCCGTGAATCGAACACGGGCCTCGTCGATGGCAACGACGAATTCTACCACTAGACCAATGATGCTATTGCTTGGCATACCTCATTAATTAGTGCTACATAAAGCAATTCCAAACCCAAAAAATTAACTAAATCAAACTGTTGACAACTGACCATATGTTACTATGAACACCACTCGCTCGGTTGTTTGGTTCGCAACGTTGATCTTATCTAGCCCAATTGAGACAACAAATCTCGTATTGCTAGGTAGTAATCTTTACCGATAGAAACCGCAACGACAAGGTCATCCTGGTTCATGATATCGCTTAACCAGCAAGGCGAGCACCTTCCTAAATTGGTTAGTGGAATGGACCATTGACAACATTGCGTATCGTCAATCATCAACAGTCAACAGTAAAGTGACTAAATTATGATGGGAGACTCAGGCTCTGGATAGGTACGCCTTCATTTATGAGATTGCTCGTTTACTCGAAAGTTACTAGATATCTCAAGCCTTTGCACTCATTTCTTGAGCTTCCGAACAAAGTACCCTCGGCTGATCAAGATGGCTAGAATTCTGCTAGCAGATGTAACCTCTTACTGTCCCACATCCCAATGACAACCAATCCTCGGCGCAATCGCCGGTTCCTGGCAGAAACCCCGGAAAAGGCTTGGAATGATTGGCGGGGGTGGAGCAAAAATGCTTGAGCTGGCTTGACCAAGATAAGCACTCCAGCCCCTCGAATAGGCAATCAAACAACTGCCATTAATCTACCGAGTAATTCAAAGACAAATATCGCGCCACTCCTGCGGTCTTCCGGTGGACTTAATTAAACAGCTTGAACTAATGCTTTTATGGTGTCTGCAGTGAAAATCACGCGATGCTATGCTGGACTCTGCATGGGGCGATGCGCGTGTCCTCGCTCTGCCCCCGACATGCCGGTTGCCGTCACATGGAATGATAATTTCGCCTTTCCAGATATCTGACATGCAAATATAAATATCGATCGGCTGCCGATCCAGATTGTTGTCCTTTGTCTTTTATCTCTCTATCCGACCGTGTGCATTAGGCTCCGCAGTTCTCCCGCAATGCTCTCCTCGACTCTCTGCGCAGGGTTGCTCTGTTCCCTTGCAGCCCCAGCGTTTGGCTTGGTGCACGAGAAACTTTCAGCTGTCCCCAGCGGCTGGACGCTCGTCAAGGATGCATCGGAGAGCGACACGATCACTCTCTCAATCGCCCTTGTTCGGCAGAACCTCGACCAGTTAGAGTCCAAGTTGACGACACTGGCGACCCCAGGGAACGCCGAGTACGGCCAGTGGCTGGACCAGTCCGATATTGAGTCCCTATTCCCTACTGCAAGCGATGATGCTATTATCCAATGGCTCAAGGATGCTGGCATCACCCAAGTGTCTCGTCAGGGCAGCTTGGTAAACTTTGCCACCACTGTGGGAACGGCGAACAAGCTCTTCGACACCAAGTTCTCCTACTACCGCAATGGTGCTTCGCAGAAACTGCGTACCACGCAGTACTCCATTCCCGACAACCTGACGGACTCGATCGATCTGATTGCCCCCACTGTCTTCTTTGGCAAGGAGCAGGACAGCACACTGTCGCCTCACGCAGTAAAGCTTCCAGCCCTTCCTAGGAGAGCAGCCACCAACAGCTCTTGCGCGAACCTCATCACTCCCGACTGTCTGGTGGAGATGTACAACCTCGGCGACTACAAGCCTGATGCATCTTCGGGAAGTCGAGTCGGCTTTGGTAGCTTCTTGAATGAGTCAGCCAACTATGCAGATTTGGCTGCTTATGAGCAACTGTTCAACATCCCATCCCAGAACTTCTCTGTCGAATTGATTAACGGGGGTGTCAATAATCAGAATTGGGCCACTGCTTCCCTCGGCGAGGCCAATCTGGACGTGGAGTTGATCGTAGCCGTCAGCCACCCCCTGCCCGTAGTGGAGTTTATCACTGGCGGTTCACCGTAAGCCAGTCTCTCCAAGTGAAGGAAATAATGCTAAAGTGAATCAGTCCGTTTGTTCCCAACGTGGACGAGCCCACTGCTGCAGACAACCAAAATGAGCCCTACCTCGAGTACTACGAGTACTTGCTCTCCAAACCCAACTCCCATCTTCCTCAGGTGATTTCCAACTCGTATGGCGACGATGAACAGGTGAGCGCCCCGCAATTCTGTTGTATAGATAGACACTAACCTATTAGACTGTTCCCGAGTACTACGCCAGAAGAGTGTGCAACCTGATCGGCTTGATGGGTCTTCGTGGTATCACGGTGCTCGAGTCCTCTGGAGACACCGGTAGGCACAGATCCTCTGGCAGTCTTTTCCGTGCTAACATGGTCAGGAATCGGCTCGGCGTGCATGTCCAATGATGGCACCAACATCCCCCAATTCACTCCCACATTCCCTGGCACCTGCCCCTTCATCACTGCGGTTGGTGGTACTCAGTCCTATGCTCCTGAAGTTGCCTGGGACGGCAGCTCGGGCGGATTCAGCAACTACTTCGGCCGTCCCTGGTACCAGTACCTGGCGGTGGAGGACTACCTCGACAACCACATTACCAAGGATACCAAGAACTACTATTCTCAGTACACCAACTTCAAGGGCCGTGGATTCCCTGATGTTTCAGCGCATAGCTTGACTCCTTAGTACGTGGCCCTGCTTTCATGACATCCGGACATCCGCGTACTAACCGCATGTAGCTACGAGGTCGTCCTAACCGGCAAACATTACAAGTCCGGCGGCACATCTGCCGCCTGCCCCGTCTTTGCCGGTATTGTCGGTCTGTTGAACGACGCCCGTCTGCGCGCCGGCAAGTCTACCCTTGGCTTCCTGAACCCGTTGCTCTATAGCATACTCGCGGGGGGATTCACCGACATCACTGCGGGAAGCTCAGTCGGTTGTGATGGTATCAACCCACAGACCGGCAAGCAGGTTCCTGGTGGTGGTATCATCCCCTACGCGCACTGGAATGCTACTGAGGGCTGGGATCCTGTTACCGGTCTTGGTATTCCTGATTTCATGAAGTTGAAGGATTTGGTCTTGTCCTTGTAATTGTGGGGGTGGGTAGATGAGCAATCATAACATTTTCTACCCCTGAGTCTCATTTATTCGGTCGTATTGTACACGGCTCTCACGGTACGTCATGCCCGCGGACAGCCAAACAGCTTCTTGTAGGATGCGGTAGTGGTGCTTTCTGAGAGATGAAGGTTGATTTGAACGCCTACAGAAAGGCTGTAAATGAGAAGGCTGTTTTTCTCATCGCAAGGCTGACGACGCGTTAAATGGAGAAGTGGTCGGTTGTTCCAATGCTGTGGTTGGCTGGACTACTTGATGAAAGGCTGGTGTGTGTGACAGCCGCTCAAGTAGCAGCAGTGCAAGAGGCCTAGGCCGAGCCACAATTGGAGTCCCGGATGAAGAGATTGAGAAATCCCATGGAGAATCTCAAATTTACAACGCCTGATGACGACTGGAAGTCCCTTGAATCCACCACTATTCTAGACCGCTCAGAAGGACCCGATCACTGCCCCGTTCGTTACATAATGTTTATATCTGATTAATATCCTGACCTCAACTCCTTCCATTGTTTCCGGAACAACTACATGATAGTCACAGTTTGAGAGAACAGAACTATGTCCAACTAATAAGCAATAAATCATAAAGACTTTCTTAAAAGAAAAGCTCTGCCGGCCCCTTTAAAGTCCTTATAAATAGATATAGAAAAAAGAACAGTGCCTCACGCTCATAGAAGCTATCTTTCAAGGTCTTAGCAAGTTCTCTCTCAAGAGTGTCTCGAAGCAAGTTTTGCTACCAGAGATGATATGATGACTTCGGGAGCCAGGAATACTGCTTGTGAATATTCACAGTAGAGAAAGTACATACACCAGGAAGAGTGAATGTCTTACTTTTGGTATCTCACAAAATCTTGGATCTGAAACTTACAGCTGGAAGCAGTGAATGATATGAGTTGGAACATGCTAGTACTTATTCCCTCTGTTCCCATCTGGGCAAACGTTGTCAGGAACAACTCAAGTTCTACAACACAACCTATTATCTCGTTGCTTGATAGAGATACATCTTCATCTGATAAATGTTTTAGTCCGATATCCTCATCCATGAGAGTATCCGACTCTCTGCGAGATCACCGTGAGAATCCAAAATACAATAGGATAGTCACCCGCTCTTCCTGGCCTGGGTCTTCCGCCAGGACCTTGACGCTATTTTCGAAAAGATTCCCAGACAAATCGGCGGAGAGGTCGGCAACCGACTGAGACCTTTTGTCGGAGTGCTAGGTGAGGTTATCTCCCGTAAATATGGTGAGTTTGAAATATTCCGCCATGTCGAACGACACCGTGAGCGTCGGCAATGCGCCACTCGCTGCCACATTTGCAGCCAAAGATATGCCAATGCTTTTTGGCATTGGAGTTGGCGGCGCGGCTGCTATAGTAGTTTTTGGTGTTTTGGGATACTGGGCAGTGATGCGTATAAAGCGACGGTAAATTCCATCACCACGGTTGATGTTGGTAACAGATACTAACACTTTCTGTCATAGTTACTCAACGTCGCATGCCCTCCCTTTCCCTCACGACGGGACCGGGGAACAGTATGAGATTTGGTCGTTGGCTTTCAACGACCCCAGACGGCGCCCAAAAAAGACATCTCAATGCCAAGGCCAAAGCCAAATTCAAGGGACGAGGACTGGGGACGAGGACGACAGACCAACTAACTAGATACTAACACTTTCAGTCAAAGCGAGCCAGCTACCGGAGCTCACTGTGCTCTGGTACGTCGTGCAGCTGATGAGGGCGAAGCAAACCCTCTTCCCCGGACCAATCTGACCGCCGAGCAGATCAACTTGGATTCGTATGACGCCCTCCATGGATGGAAGTTGTTGGCTTTCTTTTTGGAAGCAAATCCAGGGTGGCAAGAAGGCCAAAGGCAAACCTCAGAGGAACCCAGCATTCCCCCACGTCTTCCACACTCCCGTCAACAAAGATGTTATAGATAGTCGACGTTACATGTCCACCCCTTTCCTCGCGACGGAGCCCGCGAGAGATATGAAATTATCTGCGGGGGTGGGCCGACCCAGATTGAATGAAGGCGCTTTGATTTGTCGTCCACTGGCGGAGTCGAACGTGGTCAAGTCGACCACAAGGCAAGACCATTCAGCCTTATGCTCATAGAAGCCATCTGTGAGCAGTCTGGGTACAACGGGGACGATGAAGGGGAGGTCCGGGACCCGAAGAATCCGGACATTGTGTTTCTGGACCAGGAGACACGCTTGTCGCTCCTTGTGAAGGTGGACAACATTGTCCGTAATCTCAATGGCAAGGTAGATTTTGCTGTTTGGCACGAGGGGGACAAAAACGGCATGGGGACCAACCTTGTTGCTCTAGAGGCAAAGAGGCTTGGGGATGAATGCCTTTGTTATATGAGTATGTCAAGCCTAACCCCCTGACACATAGGAGAAAGGCATTGCTGACCCCTCAAGTGATAATTCATTGGAGAAGAAAATTGCTGCATCAGCAGCACACTGAGGTCTAGGGTACGGCGACGATGCGTACGCGGCCTGTTGGAATTTTCGCGGCTCGGTAAACACCGATGGCTATGGCCAGGTTTTTAGAAACCTAATGGTAGACAACACTATACCGGGCGCAATACCCAGGTTGCTTTCCTTTGCATATGTTGCACACCACGGGCATGATGTCCCTAATGGTATGCATATATCGCATCTCTGTGAAAACCGGAAATGCTTTAACCAGTCGCACTTCGTCAGAGAGAATGCTGAGAGGAACAACCAAATGAAAGGGTTGCCTGGGTCTGATTGCCTGCCCAGTCCGTGGCCACATATTGATTGATCTAGGTACACATAAACCCGCTGCATCCGAGCTCCTCGCTATAATGTCTACTGCTGCCTAGTGATGACCCTGAAGGGTGGGCGAGTCAACAGCCTAGGTGGAGGGCCACCCAGTCTGTTACCTCTGGTTCACGGCCACCAACCCGGCAGTTGACCAGACAAGACTCGCAACTCTCGCAGTACAGCGGGGCTAGTGTGATCGAGGAGGCGATCGAAGAAGGTCTTCTTTAATGATGACATGACGGGCACGACTTTTTTTCCCTCCGCATTGACGACAATGGCACTGTACGCGCATTGTATGCTGAAAACTGTCACCGTTTTTTTACTGATGTTGTATAGACGTATCTCAGCAGAGAGCTGAATTGGGCTGGCGACAGCGAGACCATATGGGGCTTAATCACCCATGTGGTCGAGCAGGCGCGGGTCCTGCGCCCATGAGGACCCCCGTGGTTACGAAGGAGCGGTGCAGAACCCCGAAAGAAAAGTATGAACTCTGCAGGGACCGGGGGGAGCAAGTGATATTACAAAGAGAAGTGCAAGATGCGCAAATTCAGATGGTTTGGGAAGCAGAAGAGAAAGTCGACAGAGTTCGAAGATCACAGAGCCAAAGACAGGGACCTCTGGGCGGAGGTTGGAAGGGTTGCGAAGACTGCGCGTGAAACAGCAAAAAGGACTGCTGACTGGGACAAGAGGGGCCTCCGTGAACTGGACGAGGATATCCTTGAGAAGCCCAAGTTGCTCGATACATGGACGACGACATGACTACAAGGAACCCACCCTTGCGAAAACACCTTTTTATACGGGAAGCCAGCCATTGTCTTGAAATAAACTCGTCCTGAAGATTATGTCCTCTTCAGACTCCCTGTCACTGGATGGCATGAGGATCGATTGCGCAGCCTCCTGAGACAAGCGTATTAAGAAGTGGTCCATGCGTCTATTACTATTCGCACTATCTACAAAGGTCATCATGCAGCGATGGGAGATATTTCCCGGGACTACCGGCTTCTTACAAGGTCTTCCTCTCTCTTAGCCGATGCCACAGCGTATACCAGCACAACAGTGATATGTAATCCATAGACTAGGAGTACATCGTCCGGACACCTTTTAGCTAGCGGTATTGGATTTTAATTGATACCATGTCCAAACTTAATACTATAGCTCCCTCAGCAGTTGCCCTTATTCAGAGTATCATAAACATTTGAAGTTCCGACCTGCTAACAAGACAGTGGCATCATCCCGTAAGCCTACATGGGACCTGAAAGAATGATATTCCAATGTCACAATGTGATACGGATGCATAATTGGTCAATGCATTACTGCATGTCTGGCTAAAATAAGCATCATAAGCTCCACCCGTGAGATTTAAATGTGTTTGCCCCGATTTTAATGGAGGGGGATGGGAGGCCTAAGGATTGAGTAAGAAGTAGTAAGAAATCGGCATGTGTTGTACCAATTATTGAAGTCAATTCAAGACATGTCTTAACTAGTGTCTGAAATATCTACCGCTGATTGGCGATTCCATGTCCGGTGGCCCCAGATTGCAGAAGCGATGAAGAACCGAGTCAGATTCAATCATGCACCATGTCCTGTATCGACGATCAGGTCATTGTTGAATCAGATCGTCCTGCCATGTCACCAGGTTACATTCCGCTGCTTCCAGTCTGTGCACAAATCTACGAGTATATAAGTATGGCCCCTCCTCTCCTCCTCTTTCCATAATCATCAACTGCCAACGCATCCTACCATCAAAATGACCATAGTCACTCTCCTCACCGGCCTTCTGGCCCTCACCTCCACCGCCCTCACCCAGTCCATCACACCCCCCGATGGCTGCCCCCTCCCCACCTGGACCGTAAGCAACTTCCAGTGGTACAACGGCTCCCACAGTCTAGATTGCGTGCACAACCAAGCCGACATCGACGCCTACGGCTGCCTCTGCGCCGGCTCCGGCGGGTGGTGCGAGCCCAACCAGGCCACCTGCAACGGCTCCTGGGTGCACCTCTGCTGGACCGGCATGCCAAACTACCATCCCTGGGGCTACGGCCCACTCGAGACACTCGACATCGATTTCACGGATGGCCTGCAGTGCCACGACCAGTACATCGGGTACCGGGTGCACGATATCGGCAACGGGGAGAGCAACTGCGGCTACGCGGACCGCGGGCTCGGGCGCATTGTCTCGTTCTACGGGAGCTCGAATTACGAGACTTCCATTGGGCGGATGGAGTATGTGCTTGGGCAGGGGCATGCGCTGACCTGCAACAATGGGAGTAAGATTTCGTACTCTGGGGAGACGGAGTTTGAGCTCGAGTGTGTGCATGATGCGTTTTTCAATGCGACGTGCACGGCGGAGGAGTTTACCATTCCGGTGTTGTCTTATGAGTGGGTTTCTTGATCGAATATTCCGTATTAGATGAAATGGGAAGTGAAAAATCGCATGTATGCTTGATGAAGTATGAACAGACAACAGACAGCTTTCTATGAAGAGTTACATTCCAAGCTGGCAATTGCACCTTGCTCGCCTTCCCCTGCGCATCCACTTCGAATACAAACTCTTCCAGGAGTCTAGCCGTGTATCCCCGACGACCAGCCAGTCATCCACGTCAAAATCCTTCTGGAATAGACCTCTGGACTTTTGCTGTGTAGCTGTATATGCCCTAAAGGCCACCTGCTTGGCAATCTCCGACACAATCGTCGGCACGAGTCTGGAGTTCTCATTCCCGAGTAATATACCCAGCAACGGCATGAGATCCGTCCCGTTGCTGACCAACGAGGTAACTGACAAGCCGGGATTTACAGAAGAACTAAAAGCCAGCGCCAGAGAGGAGTTCAATCGATCGGTCGTGTACTTCCCCGCAATTCGTCCTCGCTTCAGACGCAACCTGCTCCATCAGCGCAGGGATAATTGATCCGCCAGAAAACCCGTCGCGTTCGACCGCGTTGGTAACGCGCTGGCCCCGATGATACTAAACCCAGCGTCAAAATCAGGAACCAGGACAAGGAAACTGCCGTAGTTCTCTGAATCACCGAGCTTGATGTATAGATTTGGGACCCCGCCAAACTTGGCATGCTTATCTCCCACGGTCGACCGACGGAATACTGCAGGTCCGCCGTGTGCGAGACGGTTTCGTCCGTCTACGTTTGTTGGCTGGCGGTAAGAGCGTGAGTTCGGGATCGCCGTGGCGAATTTTGCGAGGTCATTGCTGGTCGAGTAGATCACCCCCGACGACTTGGAGATGCCACCGTCGTAGGCAAAGTCGCCTGCGCAGTCTCCAAACATTAACAAAGAAGCCTCAAAATGTACTCAGTATGAACGGTCAACGTACTTTCTGCGTTGTTTTGCTGCCCGTAATTCCATGACGGGAACAACAGCGCCACGACGGCCTCGTATGGATAAAGATACCAGAAGGGCTTGCTTATGATTAACAAGTGTAGACAAGATATACAGAGAAAGATAAGTTTGACGAGATGTGAGATTCTTCTCTACTGCTTTGTACTTGGGAACCTTACTGCCAACAGACGAATTCACTTGATATTCAAGATAGAATGGCGACCAGCATAACTCCATGGCACTGAATGCACTAAGCATGGTACACACTTCTTACATAGAAGAGCCTACATGAGTCCAGCGTATGTGTCTCCCTCCTGCATTAGCTTCCGCTCTTCGTCCACGTAGTCTTTGACTCTTTCCCTCTCGCCTTCCTTGACAGGTGGATTGGCTTGTGCACCCTGCTGAGGCTGTACACCAGGCTGCTGGTCATGTTGTTCATTTTGATCCATTTGCTCTTGTTCGTTGCCGTGGTGTCCATGACCGAGCATCCGGTCCATGAACCCGGTGTGGTGGGAAGTTTGTGCGTCTTCAACATCAGCGGGCCATACTATGAGCCTTGCAGAGATGCTTACCTTCAGACATGGTCTTTAACGAGACGGCAGTTTCCTCGATGATACTTTTACGCAGAAAGATTGATTAGGGATTTCTTCTTCGATGGTTGTAGGAGGGAGGCGTTAGTAAGAGTGTAGACGTCATCGCCAGAACAGATAATAATTTGAGTTCAGAACACGCGCAAGTCATCCACATAACCATCGATCAATAACACCTTCTCTTCCATTCCAGAGGTATTGATCCCAAGGGTCCAGCTCTTATAGTTCACATCGATCCATTTATCTCCCCGTCCGCGCAACGATCACAATCCCCAGCAACGTCAAAAAGATAATGGCCACAATAAACACCAGCGCAACCATCCGACAGCATACACTCTCTTTCTCCCTTCTCTCTCGGCGCTCGAGCTGGCGGTCGCACGTCTCGCAGTGGAAGTGTGGCTTTGTGGGGTCTGGCTGCGCAAGAGGATTCGACGACTCTTGAGGGTGAGACTCTACATCGTGATGGCTGGCGGTGTTTGCATTTTCGTCCAGGTCATTATGGGGGACAGCAGCGTATTGATGCTGAGATAGTCAGTCCAAGAGTTTATCTACATCAAGCGGTTAGAGAAACGCTTACCGTCCTGGAAGATGTCGCTGTCGGTTGATTGATAGATTCCGTGTCGAATAGTTCATGGTAGGCAGGTGCTGCCTCTTCAGGAGCTTTTGGTCGATTCATATTGATCACTTGTCTGGAGCAAGATCGACTGGATGGTTGTATATTTGAGAGTTGCTTGATGATTATAGCATGATGTTGATGGTAATGTCGTAGCCTGGGGATGACCCAGGCTTATTAGCACAGCCATCACGAGGCTGGAGCATCGACGCTATGGCCACAGTCTGCCTATGGGATGAGCATTCCTCGAAGGCTTAAATACGAGGAGGGGTATTGGAGGGAAACCCAGGGAATTCACCCTTTGTAAGCACTAACGCGTGCATCAGCTGCAGTTGAGCCACTGATCAAACACTGACCAATCCAGTCTGTGTGCCACGATTGGTAAGTTCCTACGAAGACTGGACCGTCACATCACGAACTGGACTTAAGTCATATTATAGAGCATAGGAGCATGAGCATCCCAAATACAAGTATACACTGTCAGCAGATGACGCTAACACCATCAAGAATCCACCAAATGTATCGTCCGATCAAATTCTCCTGCCGGTCTCTCAAGCGCCCACTGCCGAATAGCCTCAAAGTCCCGACAAGTGTGCATATTATCCGCCCTCACAGTGACCATCTGCTTTTCTTCATTCCACGCCCACACATCGACGGTGATATCGGCTGAACACATGAGACTTTGACGGATCATTTCGATACAGTGGTCAAGGTGATGCATTGCCTCCTCGTCATTGGCGTGATGCATATCAACACCCCAGAGTACTTTGCGGAGCATATCCTGCGTATGTCAGATTGATTCACCAGCTCAACAGAGAGAGTAATACCAAACAGTGCAACTGATGAAAGACATCAAGTCCAATTAAATAGTACCCCGAACTGTTCCCCGAATTTCCAGGAATCGGGACAGTCTTGTTAACCAATTTCGCTGCATCGCTTGCAGGAATCTTGACCATCGCCGGCGCTGAAGACTCAGTCTAAGCCTAACGGTGCGACTGAAGAATGACATACCAACGTGGAGATCATCCCATGCTCTATTGTTCTCTTCCGATGGCGGACCCATGTAGATTGACTTTCGATCTCCCCAGCCGGGGTTGAAGACGATGTTCTTGTATCTGAGGACGTCTTGAGCAGGAGCTAGGGCTCATTAGCTGTGACTTGCAGAGTGGCGAGCTGCTTACAGTAAACCATATCAGGTATTTCTAGTCCTGGATCCGTCCAGACTGCAATCCCAGCTCCAATAGCGAAGACTAAAAGCGAGACTATAAGGATGTATTGAATAGCGATGATTTTCCGGAGCCGGTGATACTCTCCGGCACCGAAAGGAACTGCTTCATGCAGGTATTCGGATCGCTTTTCATTTATGAGTGCCTCTCTATCATCGGCATCGCTATGGACGGAACCTCGATAGTGCTTCAGAAACATTTGGATAATTAGCTAACTCATGAAGCAGCTTAGGATGAAACGATGGAGTGATATTGCGACGCCCGTGGCGTTCGGCACAATATATCTGTATGCCACATGATTTAATTACTACACTAGAAAAGAAACGTAATTCTGGACCTCGGACTAGCCATGAAAGGTCATCAATAGGAATTTAATATGATTGGCTCTGTGCTGTGTCTGGGCCTCTTGGCAGAAGGCTGTTGAGGATTTCTTTGTTCTCGATGGCGGAGGTGTCTTTCCCTTAGGAGTTAGCTGGTCATTACATGGTATGGCAACTGCCGGACATACTGCTTTAGTGATGAGTGATAGTATACAGAGATAAAATGCTGATATTTAAGTATTGGACAAAGGCACAATTTGTACTGAGTGAATGAGGCCTATTGACAGATTAAGTGTACAAGCCCTGACATTAGTCACCATGTCGACACCCACTCCATATATCTATCGCGGTGTTCGGATGACCTTGCCGTTGATTTCCATCCTATACACTTATCTATGACTGAAGTCGCATCATTAGATATACTATTTCATCTGAATTCTCTAGCAAATCTTGTTTCTGATGCGTAGGTGCGTCTAGATAGGGGGGACCCTTCTTGTATGTGTGATTGCCACTAACGCGTAGACGTAATATCTATTGTTCTTCAGGATAAGCAATCAACTAGACTTGATGATACTGTAGAGATATCATGACCTCTGTCCTCAGGCAGCAATGACATCCAATTGTGTAATTCTGATCGCGACACTTTGTCCCAGTGGGCAGCAAATCTCGAACCACCGCGTACCAGACTTTGTACCCTACTCTTGACTTCTAGCATGACTTGGTATATTATGAAATAACGCTATATACACTTGCCTCTCCCATTGATCTCATTGCGTCTCATCTATAGCCAGAGGAAAACTTTTCCAAACGTCCCAATACCTAATGTTAGAGCTGTTTCCATCTTGTGTGATAGGCCAAATTTGCAAAAACACCTTTGCAACCCATGGGAACACATCATCGTTGTGAGAAAACTGAAAGTTGGAATTCTGAGAAATCCGCGCTTCGAATCTGTCCCGGTGCTCGTAGCGGATATCGCGCTCGATGGTCCACTGCGAAGCGAAAAACCTCACAAGGTAGGAGAACTCAGATTGAGGAAGATGGTACGCGATAGCCTGCTCTTTTATTGACAAGGTCAGCCGTTCAAGGAGTGGTGCGTCGTGGGACTTTGCGGCCGAAATGACCTCGAAGATCGAGGACGCAAGAGGTTCGTCAATGAGAGCATTGACCAGCAATTTCCGGATTTGTCTGTCGCGGCCCTGGTTGATGCCTCCGAGATCATCTTCGGTGTATTGGTTGTCAAAATCGTCCCAGACCGGATCGATGGGAGCGCGCCGGTACAAGGTCGGATCAGATACGTCCAATGCCAGGTCGAGGAACTTCAAGTTTCTGATTGTGCCCAAGGCCTTATAGAGAGCTACTTCCCGAGCGTCTCCCTGGGTACGACGGATAGGGATGCTCATCTTCTGCAGTAGAGGACAATATCTGCCGAGCTGGAGGATATCGTGCTCGGTGAAGCATTGCCAAGGCAGACCAGTCACAGAAAGCTTGCGCAAACGTGGTCCGTGGTGTTTCACCAACGTCCCTATCGACAGCTGTGAATGCCATGCAATCAGGTGTATCTCTGATAGCGAGGGCAGACTCTGAAGAAATCTTGCTGCTTGCGAGTAAAATACGGGTGCTTGTTCAGCTCCGCCCTCTGTAGTACCAAGGAACAAGCGCAGCGTTCGAAGGGCCGGGAAATGAAGATGGTCTGCCCAGGCTGAGAGAGCTGCTATGTGCATGAATGATCCCAGGTCAAGAATCTGCACGGTGGAGAAATCAATGTACGGAGCCCATTGCTCCAGTGCAGCGGCAACCATGGGGTAGTAGGTTTGTTTGACTCGAAGACATTCTATTGCGGCTGGATGATTGTCGCCTGGGTTTCGTGTCAATTTGGCCATTCCGGCTCCTGACGCAATGTAGGGACCATCTTTTGCCCTTGGATATATCGCTTTCAAGTTGGGGGCGAGGCCTAGGATTCGCACGAAGCTTTGTTTCTGCCAGATACCTTCTGGTGTCGATGTGTCGTAGTAGGGAGTGATACTATGCAAAGACGGCGAGGTGACGAGACAATATTCATGTTCCTCAACTGTAGGCTCCCATATACTCTGCAGCACGAATGAATGCAAATGCAGTCTACATTTGGGTCGGTGTTGATGCAATGCCTGAAGGAGGCAAGGGGGGAACTGTTCGTAGTGCAAATGGTGAAGGTTGTCAAGGGCAGGGAGTCTCTTAATCAACTCCGCGACACTTTCCCAACATTCATCGTCAATGCCAGTGTCGCGGACATATGCATCCTCCGTGGCGTCGAGCTCTCCCGTGCCGTCGAGCTCCTCTTCAAACTCATACGAATCTCGCGGATCGCAACTCAGGCGTGAGAAACGCGTGACTCGGGGTGGAAAACACAAGTCATGATACTCACATGGAGGGCAATTGGTCATGAAAAAGCCCTCGATGATCAGCCGCCTAACATAAGGAAAGGCATCAGCCTTTTGCAACTTGGCGCAGACCGTCGCCACCCGATCATCAACGCGTTCACGGTCAAATAATTGCAAGCGGGCTGTATGGAAGACAAGTGACTTTGCTACTGGCAGAGCTAATGCGAAGCATCGCTTGTCGACTCGGAGCAGGCGAAAGACACTGAGAGGATGGAAGTCAGCAAGGAAGCGAACAACAAAGGAAATGATCTCTGGAGGAAGGGCCTGAAAAGACATTGTGGCATTTCGGAGGGATAAGGAGGGTGGATGAGATGAGAAAGCAGAGCTGCCCTCGTGTTGAGCTGAGACTGAGAGGCCCGAGAATGAGATAAATAATCAACCCCACCAAGAACGGGAATAAATTTGACTCACCGACTTTGCAACTTCCCCCAATGATCGTCAACCGAATATAACGGCCCCCAAAGTTTCTCATCGTCACCTCAGCCATGCCATCAAAACCTCAACCTCATATTCTGCTGTTTGGGGCCGGCAGCGTTGGCGCCATTCATTTGCTCCAACTGCAACGCGCTGGATGCACCGTGACAGCCGTGTGTCGGTCCAACTACGACGTCGTCAAGGAGAAGGGATTTACTCTGACAAGCGTTCGATTCGGCAATATCACATATCGGCCCGATCACATCGTTCGCAGTATTGCTGAATGCCCAAAAGATACTGTATATGATTACGTCCTGGTGACCACGAAATGCTTCCCCGGCAGTAAGCCGTCAGTAGCAGATCTGATCAGACCGGCCATTATGGGCCGTCCAGCGACTGCCATCGTCCTCGCACAGAATGGCATAGAGATTGAGAAGGATATCGCAGACGAATTCCCGGAGAATCCCGTCCTCAGTGGTGTCGTCTACCTCCCAACCACCCAAACTAGTCCCGGCGTCATCGACTACCCAGAAATGCTGAACCTGTTGGAACTGGGAACATATCCAGCCAATGCACCCGCTACACACAAGGCAGCAGCCAGCAAGCTCGTTGACCTCATGAATCAAGGCGGCGGCGAGGCCAAACTTCACGACGACATCCAAATCGCGCGGTGGACCAAGCTGCTCGTCAACGCGTCGTGGAATCCTATCTGCGCGCTGAGCATGTGCTCGGACGGTGACTTTCTCCTCAGCTCCGAGCCCTTCGCATTTGAACTTGTCTGGGGAATTATGATGGAAATCGTGGCATTGGCGAAGCAGGTGGGTATCCCCGGGGTGGATGAGGAGGCGGCGAGAGTTCGGCTTCAAACAGCAACACGTCGGGCGGAAGCAGGAACGGGTCGCGATCCAAGTATGCTGCAGGATATCAAGCAGGGTCGATTATTTGAAGTCGAAGCGATTGTCGGGAACACGGTGAGACTGGCTCGGAAACATGCAGTGAGCATGCCCCGGTTGGAAACAGTGTATGCATTGGCAAAGGGAAGATATGAAGCGTTGGCCCGGAATTCATCGCATTGATTATTTAGATTCTGGTGAGATTAGAGTATAGTCAATGATACATTTTGTTGAACAGACATGGGGTATTGTAGCAGACAGGTAGGTAGTATTCTGATTTTACCAATGAGATGTTAGCTTTGTGTCTGTTTGTAGACATTCACACCTACATGCTGTAAACCCAGAAGTGAATTAGAAAAAGAATGCACACAGTACGCAATTTGGGGCCACTATCCTAGTCTCTCCATGATCTCTTACCTCACTTTTCCTGGGATGCTTAGCATCTACAATCTTACAATTCTTCTCTTGCAACTCTCCGTGCATTGTGCCAGGAACTATGGTTGGCTAACACAAAATGATGGCATTTCTTGTAATTTAATGCCCTGTTTCGTCGTGTGCAGTCCTCGTTGTTCCATCCGTTTCCTCTTACTTTCGATCGCTAGCGGGTGTATCTAAACGTGTGTTTCCACCTATCCAACCCGAGGGAGACTCCATACTGGGGAATCTCACCTTTCGGCCTCGAGTTGAAAATTGTCTCTGACACCGACATTCGGTAGATAACGAGCGGTTCGAATACGTCACCGTGCAACATCGACGGCGTTGGGTATGATCATAAATTCGTCGACAACCTTGAGGACACGGCGCAGCTCTGGGACCTATATTCCATGGGTGAAGACACTTCGGTGCTACGAGCGATGAAGAGTCCAAGACTTCTTCGAGACTACGGGCATCATCCGGAAAAGGGTTAATACCAATGTCGACTTTCACGCCATGAGGGTAGTTGGAGGAACTCGCCAATCCTTCTTAATCACTCAATGCGAGTCAAGGGAAGGGAACGCCGGGACACTATTGATTTGGAGGGTCAGCAGAAGGGTTGATGTGGTTTCCACTAGAAACCTCCTGTCCCCCGCTATTCGGGTGCAACACGTTGAGATCCTCAATGGAGATACAAGATTCGATTGGATTTCGCGATGCTTGTTGGGCGCCGCGCTGCTACCGATCTCGAGCAAGACAGCGTCATAGACAGGAATCTTCCGATGGCATTCGCCAACAGATCCTGGCGTCGTCAAGGCCGGCGTCTGCAAGGTTGATAGTCGCTTGGATAGACCGCGAACTACTCATGACGTGGATCTTTGAAAGATACAACGCATGGTCTGTTAAAGCACCGAAGGTTTTGACAATTCGCCTTTTGTCGGAGAAGGTGTTAAAGGGTGCTTTTGTGAACGAGAGACGAGTCGCTCCTTGAATTTGCCCGCGTCTAGTTCTGCAGCAGGAGAGCCACTGCTCATCGCTGATCGCTAAGGTATGCGTAGGGAAGTTCCGTTTAAAAGGTGCCCTTGTGCGCCATGTGCCGCAAGAGAAGCCTGTTAACATTCTGGCACCTGGATGTGGATTGCCACTGCAATGTAACTGAACGCGGAGACATCTGCGGGGGGTCCTGGGAAGAGTTCTCTTATTAGGTCTTGGGACCGGAGCGCTCTGGTCTCAGAAAGCAGACCCAGAACCTCGGTCGGAGCGGGCGCAATGCGCAAACAGCATTCTCTATGCATATTATTGCATACGTCGCAGGCCATGGACAGGATGTTCCTGCGGGCATGCAGGCATCGCATCTCTGCAACAACCGCAACTGCTTCAACCCGGCACACATAGAAGGAGAGACTCCCGAGGCTAATAACCAACGAAAGGGCTGCCCGGGCGAAATCGCCTGCTCAGTCCACGGGCATGCAATTGTCGATCTATGCGTCCACCGACCGCACTGCATCCGTGCTCCGCGTGATGATGTTATTCACTGCCTCGCAATGCGAGAGGAAGACCCTTCTGCCTGTGGATGAAGGCGCAACGGGATCAAGGGTTGAGGCAAATGTATAGATGCTTTTCTTGCAGTGTATATGGAACAGTAGTCGACAGTCGAAGGTATCCAAGGCCTAGTGTAGATTAGGACTCCTCGCGCGATAGGTAAACCAACAGAGACCTCCTCCTCTATAACATACGCCAATTTTATTAACTACGCTGCGACTCTCTTCCGCATCACACATCTCCTAGCCCTATCATGACCACACTGCACCTGCTCCTCCAACTCCCGTTGATGTCCCTCACCAGCGATGTCCACATCCACCTCCTCAAACCCCATCCTGGCATAGAACCGTCCATTAAACTCCAAATCCCGATACGTCGTGAGAGAAAGATACTCGTATCCCCTGCCTCTCGCCTGCCCTTCCACCTGCTCAAGCATCATCCGCGCAACGCCCCTCCTCTGCCATTCTTCATGGACATCCATCTCGGCGATGTACAACATTCCGTCTAGTTCTTGCACGGCGATAAATCCCACTGCTGTGTTGTCCGCGGTCACTGCGACCCATACGTTCTGCTGCGCGATCATTGAGCGCAGTGTTCCCGTGTCAAGGGGTGGGGAGTCGGCGATCCAGGCGAGATCCACGGTGCGGAAGAGCTGGGCTGCAGAAGTTTCGATGGTGTTGATCCGTGGTATGTCTTCTTGACATGCGAGGCGGATTGAAATCTCGTTCGTAAGTGGAGTAGTGGCCATTGTGATTCGTGGTGTTTTTGCTTGAGTATACTGGAAGATGCTGTTGCAGGTTGTATTGTTTTAGTGATTGTTTAGTATTGTCAGTCGCAGGCAGCAAATGAGGAGATATGGCTGTTATATAGGGTCAACGTACCCACTGTTGGCTGGTCCTACCTAGGCAACACTACAATAATCACCAATCAAATACGAGCATGCGCCAGTTCTAGATAGTTTGAGTCATACTAGATTCTTGGACTATGGAAAGCAAGCAAAGCCAAGATATCAGTACAATCGTCAAGAACTGAACAGTGGATTCGTCTCGCGTTGCGTTCATAAATAGGTCTTTTGTCCCATAAAATATTAAACTTATTAAGCCCACGAAAGCCGCTGAATATCCTCCGGAATCTGCCATCCATGCGCCAGGCATGCCCTCTTGTACGCTTCAACCGCCTCGCCAACCGAATAGTCCGTGCGAGACCGGTTCAGCGCCAGACGCGCAGGACGAGGTTCGGTGTTAGTAATCGCCATTCGGACCTGCAGCAACACGCTCTCGATAGATGCCGTCGGGAGCCAGCCTGAATTGGTCAAGAGCTCCATACACATGGCCCCGCCGGCGGTGACGTGCCCACCACCGCCATTGGCAAACTCCAGGAACCGCGGCCGGATCACGCGGACAAATGGCGGAGACATAGGGAAGCTGGGTGGGAAGCGAAGTTCGAGCACGACGCTTGTCATGTTAGATTTCTTGAGGTCTTTTGCAAGCGGGAGTTTGGGGTCGAAGCTGTGCAGCTCCACGATCCACTGGTATACTGTGGTTATAAAGTCTGGGTCAATGTACCAGCCTAGGTCGTGAAGGGGCTCTCGAGCTTGGACTTTAAGTGTGGCTCGGAGATGTTGTTGTAGGACTTTGGTCGCTGGTGTGGTTGCGTATTGGGGAGGAGTGAGCAAGGGAAGTGATTCCTTTTTAAGAGTTCCGGGTTTGAAGTCACTCTTCACGCTGTCCTTGGACGGCTTGACTGTCGGGGGCTCCTCTACCTCGCCCTCGTCTTCGGAGAGAAGGATCTGAAGATCGTCGAATGCTGTGGCCACACTAACAACGTCATCTTCCTCTAACACTATGTTGTTTTTCGAGTCGTTAGGGGTAGGCATCTTATCGGCATCCAGCTTTCGCTTCTTTCTTCCAGGAGATGAGGATATGCCAAGGTCAGATTTGGTTCGGATAATAACCCCCAAGCTATTTCTTCTCTGGCTGTTGAGAGCAGAGATCGGAATGTAGATTGGAGTTCCACTTGGCCCCTGGGCTGTATACTTCGGATCCTGTTTGTACATGGCTGATGGTTTTAGATATGCTGTACCATCGCTAGGCCCTGCACCTTGGCATTTGACGAAGAGATATCTCGGCTGTATCCAGTCCAGCTGAGTTACCACGTAATGCGGATTGGTATTTTTGAACTGAGTTGGCGCGTTGACCAGCTCGTTTAGCGAGACCAGCATCCTGATTTTCAAATTGCTCTGAGGCCAGGAATATTCGAGTCCTTCGCCCGTGTACCCCACGGACGTATGGAAGTGATTAGACAGGTAAACCCCATCCCCATAGGCGCGTCCGTGTGCCATCTCTTTGAAGTGCAGGCCTTCTCTGAGAATACTGTGCCAGTTGCACACTGGACTTCCGTGCCAGGCAAAGATGGTCGGGTAATCGGTCTTGGTAATGGCAGCGTTAGCGGCCACGGCGGCTCTGAAGCGCTGCTCTTTGTCTGGGGCCCCTTGCACAAGCCGAAACTGCTTGTATGACTCCATTCCAGTCACTCGATGATCGGAATGCGTGGTATCGTCCTCTAGGATAAAGGAGCGGTTTGACGCAACGACCCAGCGCAACACATCAAGTGCTGCCGGGGAAATGACATCCCTCCAAGCAGCCAGCTTTTTGTTATCGGAGTCCGCAAGGAAGGCTTTCATCTTATCGACATTGGGGAGAGTATCGAGGAGCAGTCTGACCGCAGCTCTTTTATCGTTGACGTCAAGGTCATCGAAATTCCTCTCGTAAACTATGAATTTGACGTGTGACGGGCCAGGCAGAAGTTCGGATGCTGAGAGCTGCTGCCCCTTCACGACCGGAGAGGAGAGCTGTACGAGCTGTACCTCACAAGTACCTACATAAATGGCCTGTACTCGACAATGCCAGGGCCCGTCCTTCAAATCCGTTCCTGTCTGAAAAATGACCACCCAGTCTCCAGGTTTCAGAGGCGTGTGCTTATCCATGCGACAGGCCATTGTTGCAGGGACCAGGTTGCCACTGTAGCAGGTTGGAACCCGAGAAGTATTTTTGTCCTTTGGCTTTGTCAGATGACGTTCGATCTCGTCAAGCCTATTCATGTTTAGGACTCCTGGGACCTTGAGACCTAGGCCTGTGGGGAGATCCGTGAGCCGACCGGATACTGCCCGAGCATATGTCAAACTGATGAGCAAATCAACAACACTGGGTTGGAATTGAATCTCATGCTCTAAGCTTGGACCCATGCCGAGCGCCATGTATTGGAACAAACACAAACCGTTGGAGCAAACGTACGGCTTGATTGCTTCAAAACTGTCGCGGATTTTGCAATGGCAGACCAGGCAGAATTCCGTACACTTGACAAAGTGGCGAAGAGTGAACTGCATCGCTATCAACGGTAGGGAGAGTTTATCAGGTCCAAGGCCTTGACCTATATGGTCATCTTGGAATAGGGCCGGCGCGGAGACACTCCAGGTGTCTGGCTGAAAATACTCGTCCGCTAGAGCGCCACCCTCTGGCTTCCTGCCCTGATTTTGTTGAATGTAAAGCTCAGCACCGGTCCATGACAGGCCCAAATGATATCGCAGTTCCATAATCCGGAGGAATCTCTCGTTCAGGAGCGAATCCAGCGGTTGCTCGATGAACAGTGGTCTCAATCGGGCGGTCCCTGTTAGGCCTTCTTCCGGCAGTGAAACATCCCCTTGAAAGGCTCGGATGGCGTCTTCGCCAGTTGGCTTGTAAGAGTCACATAATCCGACGTGGAACTGGACTGCCGAGTACTTTGCATTTCCGAGCGCCAGCAGCTTCTGAAAATGCGCATAGGTCCCTGGATAACGAATGAGCAGAACAAGGTATTCCGAAGCCCGAACATTCCATGCTTTCATGGTCTCATCAGATATGCCTAGTCTACCGATGCGACAGGAGACTGATACGATAATAGCTCCTGTCAGTGTTCCCAGATAACCCACTTTGAGACCCGCATTTTTCACGGTGCGAAGGTCGCAGCGCAGGGTTTTCAATAGATCCTTTTCGTCTGTCTCCGAAATGGCAGATGCCGGTTCATCTTCCATATCCCAGTCGTCGTCGTCGTCATCAAAGTCAGTCTCGTCAACCTCATAGCCCACCTCCTCATCGTCATCAGCTTCATTATCCGGTTGCCGCAGCGCATCTTGGACGAGCTCGTCGATATAAGTCAGGAAATCCTCAAGTGAAACCCCCGAAAATCTGGACTGAGAATTTTCTAGAACTGTAGCGATTCTTGAAGGAGGATCTTCGGACGTGGTGAAGACAAAGTACGTGTGGTTTTCGGGGTAGTCTTGTGTATCTACCGAGATGTCAGTTGGTCCCGGTCATGAGAAGGTCCTGAAGAAACCTTACCTGATAGTATGGCTTGGAAATCAATCCTGGCCCCAGTTGAGGCATCAGTGAAAGTAAAAGTGATAGAGCCATCATGGTCTCCTGCTCTGACACCATTCAGATGAGGGAATCTGCCTGGTTCTTTTGCACTAGTCAGGGCTCTTTGAAAGTCTTTGCGAGGCATGATGCCTCGTGCAGAAGGGAAGCCTGCAATTCGCAATATATGAGCTTCTGTATTTGGGGATATGTCGCTGATTTGATCAAGGTGATGGTAAAATGTGGTTGACGTTGGAGTTTGCCGATGTGTTGTAGTGAGAGAAAAGTCAGTCAAGAACCAGAGGTGAGGTTGGGCTGCCTTAGACGGTTGTCCAGGCTGCAGCGGTCAAGGATACCTAGTTTTCCCTCTGTCACAACCATGGTATTGCCATTTCTATCCTGAGTGGTCTTACATCTGCGCAATGAAAGACTCTGGTAGCATCTCAGGGAATTGCGTCATTCTTTTCAGTTCTATATCTCCATCTACTTCATCGAGTTGGGTTGTCAACTTGTCTCTGTTGGTTCGACGGCTCATCAGTCATTTCCATTTGACTCTGAAACATTTACTCTTCCCAGGAACAGCCCACCGTGCATCATTTGGACAAAAAGAGTTTGAAGTTTGTCTCCTGATGGTATACAAAGAAAGTGGCTCGATATCGCCAGCTCCAAGAATCCATCCTCGTCTGGTGTAGTTCTGCCTCAGGCTGCCACAGCATATCAGGGCCACTTCACATGAATCATGGCCCTTGAGATGCTAATCCATCCTGACTATGCAAAGGGCTACTTTAGAGTTTTAAGGTGGTTGCTCCAGTCTTGGAAGCAAAGTGGAATTCAGACAGCTTGTGTTTGCTATTATGGGTCCAGTCACGGATAAAAACACTTCTTGTTGGTGTGGGGCTTCTAGTCAATGTAACCCAGAAGATATTTAGAAACGCAAGGCAGACTACCAAAGTACATCGTAAACCCGCAGCACTTCCCGCTTGAAGCGATCCGCTGCGTCTAGATTTTCTCAGCAAGCACATGTGGACGCTCCAAGGTAGCACTCACGAGGGCTTTGGTCTGCATTATTCCGAAAAAAATTATATTGCGCTTGATTGGGTTGCGCCGAAGCATGCCAGAATATTAGCCATTGAAATGCCTCGCTTTGCTCGATCGGATCCGAAAACCAGAACAGATTGTTTTCGTCGGCCAGATTGACCAGGTACAAAAGTTTAGCGGATGATTCCATGACTACGTGCGGTGGAGATGTATTGTTGTCGACTAAGATTGGGATGCGCCCTGAATTAATTTTTTATGAGTCTTGATTCTGGAAAATGAAGTGTACATATATGAAAGAGAAAAGAGGCACCATTGGGATTCAGTCTGAGAAACCAGTCTTTTTTCTGTTCGTTTTTGTCGAGGTCAATCAGACTGGTCGTACATTCAAGGCTGTAGGCGTCCTTGAGTTCTTTGAGGAGAACATGGACTTTTCTTCCGTTTGGGGTTAGAGAAGTTATGAGGTGTAGGCCCTTTGTGAAGTTAGCTATAGCCCGTTTTCGCGGGGTCCATGGTAGAGGAGGGGCAAGATCGATACGTTGCTATGGTAGAAGGTCTGTATCTGATCTTGAGATACGATACTTACTTGGGCTTTCTTCACCCGTTCGGGGGTTTCCGCGGTATAAAATGAAGACATTCTTGATTTGATAAGGTGGCTTAGTTAACCTAACCATTCACTAAAGAGGTTAGGATATAGATAATTGGTCGCTGGTGGAGTCAGTGCACTGAGATAAATATAAGGAAAAAGCAAGGTAATATCGCTTAGCTGAAATCAGAGATCAACAGGGTCTCATGCTGATTGCGTGATAGATGCTTTGTATGAGAACAAAGTGGATATGCAGTCCACTGGGTACCTTGAACCCCCAATAGAGCCCGGCTACTCGCTACAATTAAATTGAGCTACTTGTTCATGACCTCAAGAGCTAAGTTACTTCTCGAGGTTAGCCATGTCTCGCAATTAATTTAACGAAGAGTGGGCAGTTTATGGGAACGATAGTAGGACTTCACGGATGAAGCTGCGGGATTCTCGGGGTGATCAGGGTAAGTTGGTCTAGTCCGAAGGTCTTACACTCTCCAGCCTGACGGAGCTGCTAGGACTAAGGTATTTGGGCTTGTGTCTGTCTGAGTGAAACCTGAAATTGCATCTTAGACAACTGCTACGATGCAAAGAGCTTGGTGAGCGGTTATGAAGAAAGGGCGGCATGTTCTAAAGATAAAGCTACGAAACTGGTATATCGAAGACACAAGTCATACAGAAAGGAAACGAATCAGACATTAACAACCTGCGCCTGAGTCTGTTCCACATGCTCGACCTCCACGACCTTGGCCACCTCAACATCCGACTGAGGTTGACTCTTGGGGTAGAAGTCGATCTTACCTCCATCCTTGATCACCCCCGTTCGGTCCAGATAGTTCCGACTACGCACGTACGGGTCTAGCTGCCAGTGATTCGACCGCAACTGCTCAATCAACTCATCCCGATGAGCCTTGGCAGCTGCCGTCTCCTCCTCGTCCTTGTTCTTGATGGCCGTGACCCACTTGGAGGTGGCGTTGAGTAGCTCGTCGCCGATGCTGGCGCGTTGGGCCAGCAGAGCATCACGCGCGGTTGTGTCTTCCATGCGGTCATTCTCGTTCTCGTCTGGCTCCACGTACTCGTACGTCCAGTCCTCGGACCCGCCGAGTTCCTTGACGATCTGGTCGCGGGGAATGAACTTCTCCATATCGGCAATGGTCCTGGTGAAGTGGATCTTGGAGACAATGACGGGATCCATCCAGCCTTTGATGAGGCGCCAGATACCTGGTCTCGTCAGTCGATGCTCTTCCTGCAATAGCGAACGAACGTACCTGAGAACACCCATGGTGCGTTGTGAATGAGCAGCACCCCCAGTGACTCGGGGTAGTTTGCTTCAAAGCATTTAATGATGAACTTGACGGGCGGATATTCCATGTTCGAGAGACCGAATCCGGTCATGTCGAAGACAACAGCCTGCACTCGTCAGTTTTGTCCAGCCAAAACCGAACGTGGTTCGCTTACAGCAGTCTCCGCCGGCGGCACCAGCAACAGCCGCACGGACTCGATAACGTGGATAATAAATTGATTCAATGTCTCTTCGCTCTGCGCACCGGGCTTATGCAGCTTGACCCGGATCACGACGATGGGCCGGCCCAGCTTATCGACACCGTGCACGTACGCCTTTCCCATACGCATCTGCGCCAGAAAGTCCTTGCCATTCTTTGCGGCAACAGCGTTGGAGGTGTCGCGCGACGCCTTGAGCGCATGCAGCTCGCCCTTGGCGATGACTTCTTCGTCGACGTGGAACTCCTTCATGCGCCACAGGATGGCATCCAGCATCATGACGAAGGCCTTGTTGACGTCCCACTTGCGCGCGCGCAGGAAGCGCAGCAGCAGCACATCTGGGTGATCGTGCTTCGTGGTGCTCAGGAGTCCATCTCGAATTTCCTCGGGTGTAATCTGGGTCCGGATGTGTTGCACTTGTTTGATTTCAGGGGCGTGCAGCCCGAGCCCCTGGAGGTGCTGAGAGACTTGAGCAGAGCAAGCGGGGGTAGTGGCGGTGCTGCCCTTTGAGGCGCTCGTGTTTGTCCGAGCGAGGGAGGAGTTGCGTCGGTGCTGAGACTCATTTGTGTCTGTTGTGGTGGATGTCAGGGCGTCGGACAGACTCAAGATGATAGTCCATAACTGCTCGAGTTTCTTCTGTTGGTCTGTGGTGAGATTTCCGAGGAATCCTTCGGGGATGTTCGTGGACGCCATTGTCTCAAGCCAGGTCTCAGAAGAATGTCTGGCGGTCTGGATGGTCAAGCTGGGTCGACGCTATATATTAATCCAGACCAGCCTTATTGCGCACAGGGCATATGAAAGTCCCCCGCATGGATCGGCATACCTCGGTTCTACACGTCCATTATTGGGGGAGACAGTCTCACATAATGCCACAATAAGCGCTACGAAAGTTCAGGAACGTTGATCCATCCCCGCGATTGTGGATCCACGCCATGGCTTGTCAAGTTCATCTCAACTCAAATTCCCAATTTCAAGTCCCAACGCATGGATCGAACCTAGGCTTAATACATTGTTAGTATCTTCGGAGCCTCCATGTGCTAGCGAGGATCCTTGATATGACGCGTGCATGCTTCCCTTGGTTCCAGCTCCCAGCAATCTATGTCCCATCCCTTGACTCCCAGCATATGCATAATATCTCCGCTCCGTGTATGCGCAACCCGCGGAATCTGGTGCTTACCTACAACAGCCTGTCCTCAGATTCAATTCCATAGCCCTGGAATTCGACTGAATGACCCTCAATATTGTTTCAATCTACCCCGGAGTCAACTACCCCCGCATTCACGATGATTCCCCAACTGCTGATCGCCGACATCAACCAAATATTTTGTGGTTTGACATGGCGCGACCAATTCCGATTTGATATTGAATAACTCGACCCATCGGCAATAACATAGGTACCATTGACCACAAATTGGAGCGATCCACAAGTCCGCAAAATTCCACGCTTGGAGTACCGTAGATGCTAACTACACTAACTTGCTGGAAAGCGGACGCAGCTAGACTCTTAGCGGAATGCACTGCGAGTTTACAGAGCAGCTGATTGGCCCTCAGACAGACTGTTTGAGATTCATCATTATTTCTCAGCCTTCAAACGCATCCAGGAATGAAATATTACTCGTTTGGGAATGGAGTGCGATAGACTCCAGATTGACTACGGTGCATGCACATCCTTGCCACCACGGTTCTTGGGTAGTTCAGTCTCAGGGATGCATCATTTGCCCTGCCCCGTGATGGTATAGTTGTGTCGACTCCTCGGTTTCATCTGCTTTGTGACCACCGGCTGGGACATCGTTGTCAGATCGGGTTTACTTACAGCGACATGTTTGAATTCAAGGACCTCTTAAGAGTTTCAACTTTAAGTCTTTGAGCAGCGAATGCCTGGACTTGCCTATCGAACTTGGAGTGCATGCATTGCATCGGAATTTCTGATATTACACTATCTCAGTTGTCACTGAACCAACAGGTTAACGCTACTGTTCATCCGAAAGGCTCCTAGCAAGAAGCACCCGAGGGAACATTCTCGCACTCGGAGCTCGTCTCGCCGCCAGTGATGTCCACACCCTCCCAGGTCCAGTCACTGCAGCTGCCGTTCCCACAGAGAATGTATACCTCGACGGCATCAGACTCGACAGTACCAGTGACACCGTCGATGGTCAGGTCGCTGATCGGAACACCAGTGGTAGGGGTACCGGTCGGGCTGCCGTTCTCGTAGTCCTGCTCGATGACGATACCATAATCGGTGATACCGGAGAGCTTGATGTTGGAGTAGGTGACCTCGCTGACGGAGCCGGTAGCGTCGTACACGGTCTTGATGCGGACGCCGTTGGCCGAGTCGGTCACGGTGGAGTCGGTGATGGTGACGTTCTTGACAGTGTTGTCGTCGCGCCCGCCGACCGAGCCGATGGAGAGACCATGGCCGCCGGAGCAGGTGCCGCCGGAGAATTCAATGTTCTGGAGGCAATTAGCTTCAACGGCAGCGTGCAAAAAAGGCCGGGGAGCACACCTCGCCCGAGTTGATGGCAATGCAGTCATCCTGGTTCTTGACGGTCGCGCCGCGGATGTACACCCCGGTACTCTCGCTGATATCGAACCCGTCCGTGTTGTGCCCGCCGTTGTCATCGCCGTCCGAGTTGTCGATGGTGATGTCGATCAGGTAGAGGTTGGTTGCCTGGACACTGATGGCCTGCACGGGGGTGTTCTTGATGGAGAGCCCGGTGATGGTCGAGTCCTCGAGGCTGTGCGCGTACATGAACTTGGGCTTGGTCTTGCCGCCGTTGGTGCCCTCGCCGTCCCACCAGCGGGAGCCGTCAGCGTCAATCACAGCGCCGGAGTTCTGCTTGACGGTGATGTCCTTGCCGCCGAACCGGATCAGGGGGCCGCTCCACTCCTCGTAGCCGAAGCTGGTGGTGCCTTCGAAGACGATCTGCGGGGATTAATCTAGTGGCTATGGCAGGGAGATAGCGACGGCAGCAACGCACGGTAGTTCCATCGTCGACATCAGACAGATCCAGTGTCTCACCGGCAGGAACCTCGATGTTGTCCAGGACAATCTCGGAGCAACCAGAGGCGCTCTCGGTGGCCTGGGAGGCCGCAGTGAAGGTACAGGTCGAAGACCTCTTGGTCAGATCCGACACGCGAGACGGAGCAGGGGCAGCAGCAACGAGGGAGCCCAGCGCAGCCAGGCCAAGGAGCTCAACAGAACGCATGATGAATGAATGAATGAAAGTTCCGATCAACAGAACAGATTTTGGTCGGTAAGGATGAATCTGGTCAACAGGTAGGAAAGAAAGGAAGGACCGCTTGGATGTTACAGCTTGCTAAGTGAATCCATGATTCATGGTACCACTCCCTTATATACCCATTGACATCCAGCACGTATCACAGAAACTAAGCGTCGACAAACTTGGCTCCAACCTAGCTCCGGCTAAGCCGGTACATGAATATCTGCAACACGAGGATCATTGGTGGAAATTGCAAAGTTCATCAACCTCGAACGGCTATCGGAGGTGAGCCGGGTCAGGAGGATGCTTGGTCTGGGGATCGTCGTCATCAAGGAGGTAGAACGTGGTGCGGGATGTCAAAATGCTCCACTGCTAGTCATGAATAGTGCGGTGGATGGGCCAGAGGGAGGTTTGGTGCCGCACTAGTCTGTTGGGATTTCATTCCATATTTTCCTTGAGCATAGATTAATCCATTGCAGTGTGCTCTTGAAATCCTTGTCGTTACTATCAGCCTTCGTAACACACAAATGCTCGGCATTTCAGCAGGAAGCTTAAAAGTGACAGCTCTTTTCAAAGACCTAGTAGACGTTTTCATATTACTTCTCTCGCCGAGAGTATGGATGCAATGTCACAAGTACCGCGTGCTCATTCTCTTCCTGAACGGTGGAACCGATGTCTATTCAGGGGATTATAGTGATGATCGGCAGTCATAACATTCGTCAGGTATATAGCACGCATCCACCCGCAATATCCATAGATTAAGTGCCGCGCAGTGCTGTTGGAGCAGGCATGCACACTACTCATGAGTTGGTCGAAATTCCGAGTCAGCTATTTCAGTATGATTCAGTGTGTTGAACATGGATGTTGATCCACGCATAAAATTACATGCACCAATAACATGACGAGACTTGCGCAGGGGATACAGGCAAGACCTGTCTAGATCTTTTATGCTTGTCTGGAAGAACGGCTAGACTCATGCCATGAGAGGAGTCATGCATAAAGTCTCATGTTGCCGGATGACGCGGCCATGTATGATGCCCCCAGGAGCAGTAATAAGGAGTGACTGCCGCTACCGCCATCACTCCAATCCCAACCCAGCTACGAAAATGCCTTTGCTTGAGACCACGCATGAACTCCCCTGGTTCTCATTTTCCAAAACGACAGCATCCAACGCTTCGACTAGACGAGTTGAGCTCTGATAGGCACCTTGAGTCCAGCATTTCTCAATTATTGACCCGATCCAGATGTCTTTTGTGCTAGGGAAGGTTTCCCTCCGCGGCCATGTGGCTCGGGAAGCATGATTTTCGTGGAGATCGAACTTGCAGGGTTTTCCGGTCACAACCTCGTACATAACAGCGCCCAATTGTCCGATATCAGTCTGAATCGAATATCCATTGTCATCAGCTGTTTCCATATTGGTATGAAGAGGCATTATTGTCGATTCGGTAAAGTCGCAAAATTTGATGTTGAGATCGGAATCAAGGAGGATATTTCGGCAAGCAATATCTGCAACAATGACTGAACGGCTGTGTATATGAGATAGAGCTTGAGCCATCTGTCGGAACCATGAAAGCTGGCGAGATTTAGGTGGCCGATTCTCTGATAAATAGGAGCGGAGATCCCCATTTCTCATAAAGGGAAGTTGGATAGTTGTGGGAGAGAAGCTGAGACACGGTAAAACACCTTCACATTGCTCGAGACGCTGATAAACCTCTTGCTCCCTCTGAATGACACTGGTGTTTAAGTTCACCTCGTCGTCCGAGCTTTGCAGGTATCTTAAAGGCATTTTTACGGCGACGCCCTTTTGGAGGATGACTAATCCAGACCGACCGTACCCAAGGAGCTGGTCCTTGGATATCGGATTGCCTTCAGTGTCTAGGAATGGCGTAGACATTTTTTAAGTAAAAGGAGTGGAGAAAAATGCCATCCTTCATGAACGAAGCCATATTCGAATTTGACATGGGGAAATGTTCTTATTTGTTGATCTAGATCCATCAACACGTGTTCCCTCATTAGGTATTTGCCTTATGATGCAGTTTCTTGTCGGCTTCATTGGCTGGCCTGGGTCTCCTTCAACAAGGACCACAACGGGATAGGGATATATCACCTTGAAATTGGACAACAGTGATGACTGGCTGCTCAAAACACTTGTATGCTTGTAGTTCTCAAATCACGCAATAAAGAGTCGTTCATTGAAGAGGAATAATATCATAATGTGAGGGGTGAGTGACCCCTGCTGCAAGGATATATTAAGTACCTAGGTTGCTTTCTTTATATTAACTGGGGGGACGACTTTCAGCTATTAATAGAAGCATGAATGAAGGATGACAAAGCAACCGATATATTGTTCCTCATAGGATATTGAAGCAGAACTTAGCCAGCACAGCGAGGGTTCAAGCCAAAGAAACAGCCCTCTGCTTTCAAGTCTTTGGTCTGAAACATTATGAGAACTAAGGAGCCTTAGGCACTTACAGCCTGCTTAGTGCCTACCACTAATACAGCACTAGTCACCTGATTAGGTACTAGACTGGGAAGTCCCATAACAATCACATGACTGAGCTGGTTATTCACAGCTCAGACAAAGAAATACATTCACTGCTTTGTTTATCAGGCTGAGCAGGTATTCGCCCTCAGTCATCAAAAAAGTATAAGAAGTGTGTCCATCCAGTCCTTAGATACTGGTTTTAGATACAATAAAGTCGCCATGGGTAGTTTTCTCGACCTGGCGTCGATGGAGGATCTAAGCAACCGGTTTAATCAATTTTTTAAGCAGGATGCGGAAAGGGCGCAGCTTATCGAGGTGAAACAGCCTTCACCGCCCCTATCTCATTCTCGCCCGTGGAAATTGCTGATTCTGACCAGGTCGTGTTAAGGAAAATCAATGAAGATAAAGGACGACTGGATACGCTTACCATCGAGCTGGAGCATGAGCGAGAGTCCCGCCATAGGTACCAGCTAGAGCTCCGCGATTTGCGAGAACAGAGGCAAAGATGGGAACAGCTCTATGTAAGTTGAACTTGTCATGGTATAAATTGCCTTCCTTGCCGTCTAATCCTCCGACATAGAACAAAGACCCATATGTGGTAGTCCTAGTTGATGGTGACGGTGCCATCTTCAATAACGAGTTGTTGCAGGACCCCCGACAAGGGGCCCCTGAAGCTGCGCTGCGGCTGACCGAGGCAGTGAGGAACTACCTTAAGGATACACCTCTTGGCTCCGAGGACGTTCCTATTGTGGTGCGGATCTTTGCAAATCTGAACGGGCTGGCCAAGTCGCTTTTCCACCACAATGCCATCGACTATGAGGATAAGATGCGGGTATTTGCCGAGCAGTTTACTAATAGTCGGGCCGAGTTCGATTTTGTCAATGTCGGTCACGGCAAGGAGAACGCTGACTCTAAAATGAGAAGTAAGTTGTCAGACTGGTTGACAGGTATCTCACTGACTTGATGTTCTCGCAGAGATGTTCAATCATTTCTATAAAAACTTCCAGTGCAAGAAAATCTTCTTTGCTGGTTGCCATGATAACGGCTATCTTCATGAGCTTCGTGAATATGCAGGCGAGTCGGGCAGACAGCGCATCGTTCTTTTGGAGACTACTCCTGCCCAGCCTGTCTTCACTCAGATGGGATTTGAGATGACCCGATTTGATACTGTCTTCCGCACCGACTTCCTCGGATCGCCGCCTATCCCCCCTACGTCTTTGCCTGCTCTCAGAACACAATCAGCGACTGCGGCCCCTGACAATGGAGTTACGGCACATCCACCGATCGCGCCTCCGTCTACTGTTAGAAAGGAAAGTCCTATCGCGCGACCAGCAACGACAAATACTGTCCGCACCAACTCTCCCGCGGTAGCTCCGCCAGAGCGTCAAGCATCCCCTGCAGTTGGAACAGTGGTGAGCTCCGGCAACGGTGGTGTCTCGATTAAGTATCCCACATACGCCACAGCCGGCGGTGGGAACGGTCACCATAACGTCGTCATCGCAACCAGTGCCAAAACTAAGGAGCCGCGGGTCATATACTACAACAGCAACGGGCAGCGCATCGATCCTCCCAACAACCAGTCCACGAACCCGAATGATCGTCGAACCTACAATGAAAAGTGCCTGAGAATCAAACCAAGAGCCTTCTGTAACGAGCTGTTCCTGGCTGATGGATGCTCTAAGGAACCGAATTGTCCGCAGGAGCACGAACTCAAACTGACGCCGGGAGAGCGTGCGGTCCACAGGTGGAAAGCCCGAGGCAGTCTGTGTTCTAACGGTCCTTACTGTGAAAACTACCGCTGCTATTTGAGTCATCACTGTCCATTCGGAGACGGCTGCACTCGCGGCTCGACCTGCAAATTCAAGACTGCCCGCTGGGGGGATTTGCATCATACCAAAGTTGATTTAGAACCTGAGTAGGTCATCGCCACCTATCTTGATCATCCGCTGACATATTCCTAGTACCAAATGGGTTGAAGGCAACGATTTTCCAGTGAGGGTTGGATAGCTACTCTGGACAACATACTAGGAGATTCGGATTCTCATACCTGCTCATGCTCTAGATGTTCTCACGGCTCCCAGCCTGGAACATCAGTTCGTTCTATCTTTTAAACACGCTCTCTCTTTTGATCAGCAAGGTTAACCTTTCATTTGAGTCATCTTTATCTTGTCTACTTTCGACTGTCATTTCATATCAACCATCTAATTATTATTCCATAGTGCTACTGGTCACGTCTATAATCAGTCGTTGGACCCTAATACAAGTCATTTTCTCCGTAGCTGCGTACCTGGTCATAATCCCCGTAACCTTAACTGGCGAAATTAAATCGACTGTGATACAAATTGACTGAGAGCCTTCTAGGAACCTCTCATCCAATGAACTTCACCCAGATGCACTTTCTGAAATGACAGACAGTTTCTAGGCCTGAATCAATAAGAACGACAGCATGAGAGTGTCTCCAGCATCGTGACATTATAAGAAACGCATTATAGCCATCTATACCCAATAAACTAATACGACCATCTAAAATCAGCACAATCCGGCCCATCATGTAACCTCTCCGTCGAGACATCCTGCGCCCGAACCTTCCTCCCCTGAACCCGATCCCTGCGCGCATTATCCACCATCATCCACCCGCCCAGCAACAACGTCAACAGAATCCCCGTCCCCCCAAACGACGCGGTGGTAATAAGCGCAGGCATATACCGCGGAGCGTCCTGGTTGCGGAAGATATTCGAGCTGACGACGCCCATGAGGTTCGCCACGGGGACAGCGATGCTGGTCAGCACGACGCGGCGGCCCTCGTTTGCGATGTTGTTGTTGTACCAGACGTCTAGGAGGACGGAGGGGGCGGAGGTACCCCTTAACCAACAGTTAGCTTCATTATTCTCAAGGAGGGAGGGAGACATAACATACCAGGTCATCATGAACGAAGCAAAGTACGCGACGTTAATATCTGTCTTGACGTCAATCGCCGCGTAGATGACGAACCCGATAAAGGTGAATAGGAACCCCAGCGCCACGAACGGGAACCGCCAGCGGGTCCAGTCGCTGCAGAAGGCGAGGATGAGGAGCATGGCTGCGCCGGAGACGTTGGGCGCAACGGTGTACAGGTTCGTCTTGACGGTGTCGTAGCCGAGGCGTTTGATGATGGATGGGAGGAAGAGTTGCACTGATTGGAGCGGGACGCCGAGACAGATTTGGATGGCGAGGATAAGCCATGAGGTGCCGTGTCGGAAGACCTTGAATGCGTCGCGGAGGTCGAGTTTCTCGTCGACGATGGCTGAGCTGTCGCGCTGGAGGCGGAGGTATGCGAGTTCTTTTTCCTCGGGGGTGAGGAAGGATGCGTGCGCTGCGGAGCGAGGGAGGTACCATAGTGAAAAGATCGCTACCAGGATGGTCCCTCCCCCTTCGATGAGGAAGAGGTAGCGCCATGATGCTAGTGGACCGGACTGGATCCGGAAGACGCCGAATGCGAGGAGGCCCGAAAAGGCGGAGGCGATGCTCTGCGCTGCGTAGAAGATGGCGAGCCGGCGGGCTAGTTCTCCACGACGGTAGAATCTGATCTGTCAGTCATGTTCCTTTGAGGATGGTAAAAGAAACATACGTGGTGAGATAGTAGATAACCAGCGGAAAGAATGCACTCTCCGCCATCCCCAGGAACCAGCGGATCGCCAACAGGCCACTGAAATTGAACACCGCGACGACAAGGATTGTACACAACCCGAAAGCAAACATCATGCATGGCAGTACGCGGTTAGGGCCGTACTTCTTTCCCAGGATACCGAGGAAGGGCGCCGTCAGGACATATGGGATGAAGAAGATGCTGAGAATCAGGTTGTATTCGTTTCCCTTGAGATGGAGCGTCTTCTCCAGTCCGGCGGTCTTTGCGTTCCCCACATTGGACTTGTCGAGACTGTTGAAGAGGTACATGACGGCCAGCACGGGGAGAACGCGCAGATCGAACTTCCAGACTAGGGCACGCTCTGCGCGAGGATCGATATCTGCGTCTGGGGGCAAATCATCTTTGGGGAGGGCAGCGTCTGTGATCTCCGCGGGGGTTTTGGTGTCTAAGGAAGCCATGAGGTGTTTGCTTGATGCTGTTATGTTGGTGTACACGAGTCTCGTCTACATCTTTATATCGGTCTCATCTTCCTTATCTCCATGTCTCAGTATCATCCGGAGATGTACCGATATCGGGAGAATGTACCCACAGATAAGCACCGGCCAATGAACGCATTTGGTGGCGCAAACCTAAGATATGATCAATGCGAATTGTTCATCCACTGCAGATAAACCATTAAAGGAGTCAAATAACGGGAAAATGATTCCGACCACAATCTTCGATCCCTCGCTATCCTCGCTCGAATCAACCACCAAATACCACCCATACACCGCACGAGTCACACATGCATGGTTCGGATAAAGCCTCAAAGCCGATAATCCCATGCTCCTTACTGATCCGCTCGACAATCAGACGCGACCCGCCACTTTCGGTTTCCCGTCTCCAGTTGCCGACTACCGCCCAGCCGGAGTAAGACTTGCACGGTTCCCTACCTGAGCCAGTGTTCCCGCCGCCACCAGTGCCTCGGGCTTATCCCGCTCCCCCTCGTTATAAACACTGCACACTTCCGCAATCACCGAGATGGCGGATTCGTCCTCAACTTCAGAACTATCCGAGCGCTGCGCATTCGTTTCTAGCTGCTGCATGTCGAGGAGAGTATACAGGTCATGCTTAGTTGATGGGCTAATGCAGCGAGACGGGGGACCTGGGACGGGGCGAGCGGGATTCCGTAGAGGACGTTAACACGGCGGTTTTGGGCCTGGAGCTCCTGGAGTAGTGGGAGCTGAGTCTCCAGCTCGGCGACCGTTGAGACGACGAAGTTTGCGTCGCTGGACTCTGTGCCGGCTTGCAGACGGGCGATTTGCGGTGTCTAGATATGGTCATTTTGATGTCTGGAACAACTCCAGTGGGAGCACATACCTTGAGAGTCTTGATATGGGCTCGGAAAGCTACGCCCAGCTGCTTCACTGTCTGCAGCATGGTTTGACAGTGGCGTTTGATGATTGCGACATCGAGCACGACTGCTGGTTTCGGAACGTCGCCGATGTCTCTTCCAATGTAGAACCGTCTCAATTCCTCGTTGGAGGGAGGATATCTTGAAAGAGGGTTGGATGCCATTGCTGACATGATGCAATTTGTCTCCTCAATGTGCCGTCTCTGTGTTGATGGTACAAGTCCACAAATTGGCTTAGGAATGATGGAATGATGGATGAATCACAGGGGATATGCTCCACTTTGCTAAAGATATTCCGCAGCGGGCATATAAGACAGGTAAATCTATCACGCTGAACTACTTCCCACTACCAACATAAACTCAATGATTCAATACTAAATAGCTACCATGGAGAACTGAAAACAAATTGAGCCTCTATCTACGAGCTTCACTGTCAGAATTAAACCGTCTTCGATACTCGGAGTGGCGCCAGCCCGCGATACAGCAATATATCCCGCAACATCACTGTTACAGTCAGCGGCACCGCATTTCAAGTATTCCTTGTGAGGAATAGCCCTGAAGGACGCACCCTGCGCTTTGGACGGTTTACCTCAAGCCCGCATGCATTCGCAGAGGGGAGTTACATATGCACCTATTCTGCATCGACTATGTCATGGTACAATACAACTCCGTCAGGAACCGGCATTAAAGAAGTAGTCGTGGGCTGAAGTCCCACGCTCAAGACTCGGACGACACCTGATGACCTCGTGGTTCGCCGGTAATACGACCAATGCGCGACCAAGCCTTGATCTTCCGTGGCGCAGAGCCCCCGGACCTAGTAGCATACGGATCAAATAAATCAATCCCACAAGAAGCACACGGCAGCACAGTAGACTCCATCGGGTTCTGGTACTTGCAAGCCCGACACTGCCAGTATAGACCCGATGATCCCATGCCCAAGGACTTACACATGTGCGATAGCAGGTTCTCAACAATACCACGATGCTGCCTCCTGATTGCCCATTCCAGGCTGGACACCTCCATTGCATCCTGAACGGTCGGGTCTGCGCCTGCTTCTAACAATCTCTGAACGGTAGCCGTTTGCCCTCTGTAACAGGCGACGATGAGAGGATTTGCGTTGTTACGCCCGCCGGCCGCGTTGACGTTCGCTCCGGAGCGGATGAGTCGGTCCACCAGGGGTACGATGCCGTACGACGCAGCATAATACAATGGCTCCGTGCGGCGGGCTTGTTCAGCGGGCGCTTCATGCAGGAGAACCTGGATCCAGGACGTATAGTTTCCCCCGCCGGGGAGATGTCGGGTATCGAAGAAGGAGAGAATCTCATTGATTTCCGCGTCAATGAGAGGATAGCCCGATGGCCAGGATGGACTGCAGTGCCTCGGCCAGTTCTCGGATGCATACTTGAGTAGCGGGTACGTTTCCCGACGGTTTTCAAGAGAGCGAAAGTTTGAACAAGGCTGTCTGAACTCGTCGAGCATCAGGTACGTCAAGCATTTTTGCCAAATGCGGCGTGATCCCTCGGTCTCGTCCAGGCTGTAGTACGCTGCTGGCGTGTCTTTGATTGCGTCTGACGTGAGGAAAGCTTTGACTGACGAATGCGCTAGAGCAACAAATGTAGTACGCTCGTCGTAGACAATTAGGCCTTGGCAGATCGAGAGAATGACATGTGGATCGAAGAGTCTACAGTCGTCGTCAATGGTTTTATCCCCTTTCGTCAGGATGACTGCATCGCTCAGCTCGGACAGGGTTATCTCCTGGTAGCCTGAACTAAGCCAGAGTAGTGTTTCTCTGGCAATTTCCCGGTCATACGAAGGTATTCGACATAGTATAGTTTCATAGGTGCCGTGCAGGCTTTCCGGCATGCTGTCCAGAGCGCGAATGACGTCCCGGCCGGTTTTCTGGGCACTTAAAAGGTCGATCTGACATTGCACGTATCGAAACCTGCAGTAAACGCCTGAGCATGACTCCTTTAGCTTGGCTATAGAGCATACGTACATTCCACCTGCCTTCTCAAGCAGGACTTTCTTGATGCGGGATTTGATGTGTTCCGGCAGACGTTGAAGAGATGGGACTGACTTTAGCTGAGTGTCGAGAAACGCCTCAATGTCAATTCTATTAGTGGAAGGTCGCATTTGCGACCTGAGGATACTAATGGCGGGATTTGACACTGGGGGCGAAGTTGTGCTTGTAACCATAATGCGAATGTTATCCGATGACTCCAGGAGGGTGAGTAATGCGTCGAGAATCTTTGCACTTTCACTGCTCTCATTGATCGCATCCACAACGATGAATAATTCTGACAGCGCACCTGTGTATTTTAGAAGCAGACTCATTAGTACGTCTGGTAGAGGAAGGGTGCGTTTCTTGAAATTTTGCAATTCGGCGAGGATGTCTGGACAGGTCTCAGATAGCTGCACCAGCAATGCTCCTAGCAGGTAGACCAGCTCCTGCGACGAATTCAAGTGGAATGAGCAATAGTAGTAAATCACTTGGCTGGAGGTACGGGTGGCGATAGCATCTTTGACGGCTTCAATTGCTGTCGAGCTGATGAAGATTAGCAGCTGGCATGGCAAGGAGTTCCAATATGTACCATAAAACAGTCTTTCCTGATCCCGCTGGTCTTGGTCAGCATCTCACTACACTCGCCATCAGACGACTCACATTTTCCCTCTAGGGAAAGCAATCGGTACTTGCTCGTCGTGGCAATCCATGAGTTGAAGGGTCCTTGGATGAACCAAGCTCCAGTACCAGGCTGACAGAGCGAGCGAGCCTTGCGATGCATTGAATCGAAGTCAACGGGACATATCCACGTCTTGATCTTCTCGTGCGTTTTCTCTTCATGAATGAGACACGTGCAAAGTAAAGTATCACATAATAGGACATACCTTCTCGTAGTTGCCTCATTTCCCTACTCCAGTCAACAACAGCATCAATAGAATGCGCCGTCTCCTTCTCAACAGCCCTAGACATCGTCAATTCCATCCATGGTACTCAGCTGAAACGCACACGCACGATCTATCATTCAAAATCACCAAAATAAAATACGTCTTCAGCCTCTCGAGCTGGGCAATATTCCCCTCCAGACCTCCCTTCTTACTCGGCCACCCCAACTTCGCCAACCGCGACTGCCGCATCGCTCTCCTCTGCAGATCATCCAGAATCTCCTCCAGGACGCTATTAGCCTTGAGCAACGCATCCCGGAAGGCCGATGGCCCCGCTTGAATACCCTTTTCCTCGCTGTTGTCTGTCTGTATCTGTTCGAGAATCGCCTTCAGCGCGAACAGCTCCCCGAATAACTCGCGGATCTCGTTGTCGGCATTTTTGACTTGCTTTGCAAACTCATATACTCTTTTTGTAGTATGGACTACCTGTAGTATCAGGCCGAGAATGGAGACTGGGTCCGCCATTGCCGGTCGTTGTTGTCTCTGAGCTTCTCAGTGTAGTGGTGAGGCTGAGCAAGTGTGGTGCTAGTTTATCCATTAGCCCTGCAGCAAGCGACGAATCACTTGGCGTCGATGGATGGTCGCGCGGGGTATTCTATTCTTGCCCCTCGTTTGTTCCTGATGAATGAAATATGTTGTTCTCGTGATACTTTGGACTAGGCCCCAGGCCAATCTCCTGGAATTGCAAGCAAATGCAGATGAACTTAAAAGCGCCTTAGAGATAGACGCTCCAATGCTTGTCGGGTTTAGTATCGTTTAAAGACTAACATTTCATAACCAGATTCATTCATAGTCTCTGAGTATTAAGTCGAATGATGGACACAAATGAGTGGATAAATGTGCTAGAGAATATCAGGAGTACACACTGCAGCAATACAGAAGGATCACGTCCTAGTTCGAGGAAACCGACATTGGGCCACATTCCACGCAAGTCCACATTCCAATCAATGCCTAGATGCATCCATCTCTGCGAGCACTTGGTCCACATGTTCTGCAACGTTATACGAGAAGACCTGCTGCGCGGACTTGTTTATCACGCTCGGAAAGAAGCCTATACCTCGAAGTTAGCCAGATCCCCCAATCCAATGGCATACATACCCATAATCCACATGATCGAATACATCAGATACTCCTGGATCACTCCCATATCTCGCTTTTGGTTTTGCTTCTTCCTCGCCTCGTCCAGGATGGCCTGGATCCGCGGCCGGCGTAGATCCATGTACTGCTTCGCAGCTGATTTAACTGCCTCCTTGCACTCCTTGGCACCATTGCCCTCCACCTTGCCAAGGAAGTAGCTCAAAAATTTCGTGAACGACTCTACATCCTCCAGGGCCTGCGACGATCCCTGTCCTGAAGTTGACGGGAGCGCATGCGCTGCATCCCCGACCAAGACTACACCATCCCGCTCCCACGTCGGCAGCTGCGGCGACGTCCAGGTTGGATACATGCTCTTCACGCGGGCGGACTTGAGAACCTTTTGCACGACCGGGTCTCCCCAGTGTTCGTGTCGCCTGTGCAACTGCTGAAGGACATCATCCATATCTAGCGTTTTGGGGTCAGGGCAGTCGTCCACAGAATAGGTCGACCACCAGGCAAGAAGATCACCAGGCTCGGAGACATGGTGCGGTGAGTCCCGGTGCGGAGCGGTCGAAGAACTGGTGCTGAAGAAGTAGCCGAAAAAGCCATTCCCGCCGAAGATGAAGTTCATCGATCCTTTTTCGACAAGGTCTTTCACTTCGTTGGATCGCAGGAAGCCGCCAATACCGCAAACACCTCTACTCTTGTCAGCTCTGATACGCGAGAGGGGATAAGGACAGGCTCACTCATAATGAGGAGGAAACGGGTCCTCCTCCGCCTCTGGGAAGAGAGCCCGTTTAGCCACACTCTTGATCCCATCAGCCCCAATCACCAGATCTGCTTCGATAGCTGGACTGCCATCTTTAAAGTAGACGGTGTTCCGACCGTCAGGACTGGCGGTGACCCGTTCCACACGCTTCGTCACTATATCCCCGTCGGGGATCCTCGCGCGCAGACAACGCCATAGCCACTCACGGCTACAACCGACCATGTACATCGGCGGCTCATCTCCCGCACCTGGAGCAACACTGTCCATACGGATGAGAAGACGGCCATGCTTGCTTTTCAGATTTCCGTGCGGGACTACGTATCCACCTCGGACAATGTCCCGGAGGAGGTCCTCGTCCAGACGCTTGAGGACACGCAAACCATTGGGTCCGATACCTAGACCTCCACCGACGATGAGGGTTGATGAATGTGTGGCATCCTCTTCTTGGCTACCCTTGGACGCGTCGAATTTGCGATCCCTGCTGGTATCGTGAGATTCGTAGATGGTGATTGTGTGGGATCCGGGGAGGTGTTTCTTGAGTTGGAGGTAGGCGGTGCATCCGGAGATGCCTGCTCCAATGATGACAATCTTCATTTTGATGGATCATGGATCATGGATTCATGCAAGATGTCGATGACGAGAGAAGGTGAAGCTCAAAGGTGAATTCGTCTGCCTGGTGGCGATGCTGACTCATCACCTCGTATTCCTGAGGCGAAAGTTTGTATAGTTGCAAAGAGAGAGACATCCACGAGCACTGAGAATAAGCAGATCACAGTTAACGAGGTCAAGCATGGATAATCATAGTGTGAGGTTGTTGAATATCCGCGAGTATAGCATCTATCGTAGTGATAGTAATTGGTTATTTTTGACTTGACCAACTAATTGGTCCTCTGGCAAGTATAAATACATATTCACTCCTTAGTCGAACGCGCCACGCTGTATGCTCTTAAGCACGCAAGACCTTCCATCAATAAGTCTGCTAGTTCTAGCACAGTTTGGTCTGAGATCCTCGCCAACCTTGTGATACTTATTGTGATAGCACAGAGGAAAAAGGCCTCTTCTTGTAAGAGTTGAAGAATGTTAAATAAAAGCTTTCGCGCCTGTATTCTCCCAAAGTGTTGCGCTTCTGATAGTCCAGTTAACGCAGGATTTTTGAGCAAATCCAAACACAGCTGTAGTTGTTTATGTTGATAATGGAGCAAAGGATATGTCTGGTCTTTGAAAGTATTTAGTCCCTTTTGGAGAAGCTTGATTACTCCAACCTTCAGCCGCGCCGTCTTATGTCTTCCCGAAGAAGTCATAATAAAATTAGATAACACTAGAACAAATAGGTAGTGAATAGCAAGAAATCATACGAGGTAATCAGAAAAGATACAATAATAAAGAGGGGGAAACCGAATAAAGAATAGATGAGAAAGATGTAGGGGGCAGTAAGAGTGGGCAGGAGGACATAAGAGTTGGAACAAGGGCATAAGAGTGAATAAGAGGGTTGTGTCTCATCCCCGCAGATCCGCCTTATTGGTCCACTCATCTCCACGCGCTTCAGAACAATGTTCTACCTTATGTTCTTGAAAATCAATGGATACTACCTTCAGAAAGTACCATTCGCGGAGGATACAAATAATAAGGGCCTTGCAAATGCTCACGTCGCTATTGTTACCAATCAGTGGACCGCCAAACAGTTGGCAAACTATTACAAGTCAGTGGCAGCGCCTCTTGTTCCGATGACTGCAGAAATTATGGAGTATAGAAGCTCAGCTACCGAGTACTAGCCTTACCCTCGGCGACATTTCGAATGGCGTCTGGGCTGCGTTCTGATCACAGCATCCGCCCTTCGCGAGTTTCAATGAAATTCCTAGTTACGAGTTATTTTCATCTGCGCTTCTGCGTTTAATTCATTTTATGCGCCACGGTTTTGGAGGAAATGGAGGCGGACCTCGTGACGGCAGTTCTTGTTGATTCATCATACTGTTTCCTGTGTCACATTGTCAAAGTTGAGACCGCATTTATCTCCGCTGCCCTTCCCTTGAAAGAGGCACATTGATAAACGAATAAATCCGGTGCATAGTCTACTCCTGCATTTTCCCAAGAAACTGTAGAAAGAATTACGTCCAGGCGAATTCTAAAGCATTCACAAGGACACTACCTTGGTACATTGGTGACATGCGAAGTTCTCATTTACCGATAAGACTTCCGAAGCCTCGTGGATCACCAGCAACTGTCTCCAGAGACCCGAATCACACCATCCTCGACATTGCAGTGGAAACAAGTTGACATCACATGTCCTTCAGCTGGTTAACTACACATTCCAGGTTCCGTCCAGTAGCGCTTGCGTTCTCAGCAAAATTTGCTATATGGACATAATGGATCAGTATCCGCAAAATGAAAGGACCGGAGACCAACTTATACCATCAAGAGTTCCATCAAGAACTATCTCATGCATTTTCCCATTCAAAAATAAAGTTGCGGGGCTCGTATTTAACTCTGTCTGGCGAGGGATTTGGCTTGGGACATAGAGACGGGGATAACTTGATGAATCTGGCATTAAAAAAAAGGTTTGTCAACGCCGGCCGTATAGAAATCTTGCACACTGGAAACTTACCAAACCCAAAGTGTCGCGAATCGTGAAAAAACGTAAGTTTACATCTATCTTTAGCTCTAGAAGCAGAACCTGACGCAAAGGGGCTGGCAGCTTGGAGAGCACTACCAACTCCTGGGTCAATCAGGATATAAGCTTCCCCTGGGTTACTAATAATAATAGGCACCTTCCTAACAACCAGATCTCCTCTCGCATCATAGTTAATGAAATCTGTTGTAACCCGATGAAAACGCCGCGCTGAACAAGCGCTTCCAGTGCTGTACAACGGAGAGAAGGGCCGAGAAGCACTGCGAAACATATGGGCTCGGATTAATTAAGCTTGAAGATAAGTCATTTAATGGGCAGGCAATTCCTTCACAATTGAGGAAGCAATGAGCTCCAACGGTTGCAGGATACGTCGGATGGTAAATGTCAAGTGCAGTTGAGGCTGCGAACCAGTTACCTTTATAAGCTCCCGTCCCTAGATCACCTCTCGGAGCGGAAAAGGATCGGCGGATCATTCTCCACACAGGCGAATCCACTGCCCGAGAGTGGCCTAATCAATGACAAAGTGAATCTCACTGATTGGCCTGCCTTGCATTTGTTAGATTAAGGGCAACCCGGATTCATATCGTCCTAGCTTAAGTTTGAGTGGACACGTTATTTATTCGACTGGATGCGTCCGTCAAAATCTCCTACCAATACATGAGAAGTCGGGGAAAGTTTCGTGGCTGGAGACTTCCATTGAGATTATTTTGACGAATCGGACATATACAGAGTAGAATGAAATTTACTATGAGCGCTGCAAAACTGATTCTCAATTTGATGTTGTGGTGTCTGATAGTCACCTTTCTCTCTCAAAGCTAGGCAAAGCAGTTATCGTTAGTTCCAGTGGACGTTCCATTGCCTTCTCAAGAAGGCCGACTATGGCCCTGTTAGAGATTGGCGCCATAGAGGTAGTCTTTCCGTTCTTGGTTCGCTGGTTTGTCGGCTCCAATGGATGGAAATGGCGCGCAACCATGGGCGATCCTGGGCAGCAGT